AAAATGTTTTAATTAATTATGATGAACTCATCAGGATTGTATATGAAAACTTTTTTCTATTTAATCTTTAATCGAAATGATTAAAATTTATTGAAAATAAATAAAATTCTTAAATAAATTTACTACAACAAGTAGCAAAGCAGAATTTTATATAATTAAAGAGAAAAGAAATTTCTACATCACGAGTTTCTTTTGATGATGCTTGAGATAATGATGGACTTTAATTTAAAAACTGTGTTTAAGTAGATAAAATGTTTTATATAGTCTTAAGTATGATATTTTCTTAAGTATAAACGTGCACTCTGATGATTTCTATGGAATGTCAAAGGATGAGAACATCACTTAAGCAAATAGAATTCTTTTAAATCTATCTCCAGTGCAATTTATAACTTCTGCTATAAAAAGCTCTTTTATCTCTCATTCAAAGATAGATATTAACTTAGGTGTATTAGAGCGGAAACAATTTCTAAGAAAATGATGTCGACAAAGCATAGTTCGCAACATTTATTTCAATTCATCCCAATACAATAATCCATGAGTAAATTTGCAACACTTTTCCATTTCGATTCCCACATGTATCAGGAAGTTAAATGAAAAATAGCCTTTTATGGCCGAAAATATCTTACATTTATCGTAATTTAGTGACTTTTTGTATCGCAATTCGCAGCACATTCATCCCAACCAACATAATGCTCGCAAAATGCGTTGTGACAAAACACTTTTTTGATTAATTCTGAAAGAAAAGAAATTGCCTTGAATGACAAAATTCCTTTTGATAATCACGTTCTGTTCCATGGAAATTTGATGGGGTATAAAATGCGATGATAATGTTTTATGACTCATAAACATTTCTTGATCTCACTTTTCTTTTGAGATACACATAATAGTCAGTCGTTAAAATAAAAACACATAATCATTTTCATTATAATCCATAATCATGAAAACATTAAGCGATTTTCTTTTCTTCTCTATTTTTTTTCTTTCAAAAACTATGATTGTGAAAGCTGAAGAAGCAAGATGAATTATTGATGACTTCTTTGACGAATACAATTTAGAATTTATGAGACAAGAGCGACATTTTGTCTCAATAATTTGTTGATTTCGAATGAAGGACTAATGCGATGTCACAGATCACATTTCTCATAACTTTTTCCTGGAAATTGTTGAATTTTATCTTCATTTAACTGGATAAAGCATCGAATAATATTTTTCTTTAACGAATCAATCAAAATAAAGGCAGAAACCAACTGTAAAAGTAAAACAGCAAACCCCAAGATTTTCCAACAATTTTAGATAATTTATTTTTCAATGTTGCGTTTCATTTCCAACAAAAGTTTTCTGCTAAAGCTTAATTGAGTTTCGAAAGCGAAGGTAAAGAAAACAGCCATGGAAGAAGAACAATTACAGGGTTTTATTTATTTTTTGCTTTCTTTCTTTTTTTAAAGAAAACTTAGGATTTTATATCCATTAATTAAAGACTACAGACGCAGGAGTGGGAATACTTCGTTAGGTATACTTTAGACGAATGAATTCAGGATTGGTATTTGTGATTCTGTCTTAGATAATTAAAAAAACAAAGATGATGTTGAGTTGGGAGGGTAGCAGAACATCTTAAAATATTTTTCCTGTTTTTCCAGAAAGTGCAAAAATAACATAAAATGGGACAAAATTGGGTATTTGAGAAATTTTTCCAATATTTTCCTATCCAGGGTTTTCCCAGAATTAAAAGAAATTATTTTAAAGTCATTAATTATTTATTTATTTCAATGTTGACAATTTCAAATAATTTATTGCAAATTACTTATTTAAATCCAGCGTATTTAACCTAATTTCAACATCAAATGAAAATTATTACGCATGTATGAAAATTCGTGAAAATAAATTTTGATTAGGCCTTAAATTTCAGGAAAACATCATGCAATCATTTCTCATTTGGCAAGCTAATTTCTATTTATTTTTCGAAATGTTTTCACAGCAAAAAAGCTGAAAATATTTTCATTTTAACTCAAATCATATCTGAAGACGTGAAGTTCATGGAAGGCTTCAAAATTGCGTAACAAAAATCAATCACCAAAAATCTAATCAAATAATTAATCTTGTGAGATGAAGCTGAAAGTAAAAGCAAATATTTTCTTGCATCAACGGATAAGTTTGTTTACAAAGTTAATATTATATTTAGATATCTAGAAATAAATAAATTTGCTTAGTAATTGAACTTGAACATATTCCCAAGACAATCAACCGACCTTTCAGCAAATTAAAAATAAAGATCAGAAATCTCACGGTGGATTATTAATAACCTTCAAGAATGTTTACGACTAGCTTCATCCTTATAAAGACAGAGAACAACAATATGTTCAATAACATTTATTCAAGGTAATTAAAATAAATAATTAAGCTCAGCAAGAAAAAGTATGAAAGGTCAATAGATCAAGTGATGTAGTCCCGTTTGAGCCTGAAAATTCGCAAATAATTTGGAAAACATCCTGACGTCAGTCAAATGGAGTTGGGTGGGCGAATGAACGGCATGATGAAAGTGAAATTAGGCATTAAGGGTCTTGATGAAAAATGCTTCACCGTCCAATGTAAGCAATGAAAATTGATGAACGTGTTTCAATTTTTTCCTCGTATTTGATTTTTCACAGCAGTAGCGCCAGGCGTGATCTTCTTTCTTGTTCTATTTTCCTCTTTTTAATAATTTCGCTCTTTTCCCCATGAGTGACGGGCTTAAAATTTATATCATTGAATAATGAATATAATATTATGAGTCTTCTTCATAGGTTTATGTTTGTTGTAAGGTTACACGTTTCGCAGACTTTAAAAAAGAATAATTTTAACAGAGCGAACAATGTGATAATAAAACGAAAATAATGGCGCTTCATCTTTGATACTATGCGAGTCTTTCCGCTTTATGATGTTCATAAAGTCGTAATATATTGTTTATATATTAATCTTTCATACATAAATTTATCGTTTCATATGAAAGTTCATAATTCTAAATGGAAAAAGAGAAAAAGGAAAATAGCATAAATTTCCATAAAACAATTTCTTTTCGAATGAAATTTTATGAAAAAAAGGGAAAGAAAGAAAATTCAATACGAAACGCTTCATAATGAAAATGTGATTTAGAAAAATTTTCGACACTTGTCTAGACCGAATAGAACGATATATTAAAACATTTTTGTTTCAAATGTTATTCAAATTATATTGAAATCATTGTAACTTCTTGGGGGTTCATAGGGGGGTTGCTCGTTGCGCGAGACACATAAAAGTTTTTTAAACTTTTCTTTGGAAAACTTTTTTAAGCTTAATTTTCAGGTTTAATAATTTATAAATTTTAAAGAAGTAAATTATGAATGTCCCGTAAATCCTCAATCCCCAACATATCCTGACATAGATAGACTAAAAATATAAATCATTTATTCGTTTCACAATGATATTCATTTCCCCTAATAGATATTTCCCTATTCACAATCTTAAAATAAAAGATGAAAAATGTTACAAAATTTAAACTAAATCAGTCTCAATTTCTCGAAGCTCTTCAGAGATGAAAAGCAAAGTGAATTGCAGATAAAATGCTTTGCCTGGAAGTGCTTTATAAATTAGACCTGAGGGAACTTAATGCAAATATATCTTTAAAGAATTAATTGGGCGGATAAATCACTTATTCAATCATTGTATTTTCATCATATCCTTCGAAATGTATTTTCAAGAGGAAATGAAAGTTTCGTGCTGAAAAGTTCAACTTAAAACTCACATATGGAAATCGCTTCATAAATTATTCATTCTGTTGAGTGATTTGAAAGCTCGTGAACTTTGATATTTATATGCACCGTTGTAGATGGAAAACTTCTTCTGACAACGACAGAACGCCGGAAAGAAAACAGAGACGAGAATGTTTTCGAAAACTTCATTTACACAAACTTTCCTAGGTGAATAAGAAGAAATGTCGTGCAATAAATGTTGAACTGTTGCGACGTATCAAAGTGAAACGGAAGACAACTCAAAAGAAAACTTTTACTTTACCTACTTAAGAATGCTTGTCGTCGTCTTTACTTTATCTGATTTTCGACAAACATGTTATGTTTCCTTGTGTAACTTTCGCAATGACAAATCTTATCAATACTTTCAAAGTTGGAAGTGAAAGATATCTAATTAGAATTTAAGCAGGAAAATTTTGAATCCATTTCCAAAGCTTTTATGAATTCTAATAAAAGTTTGATGAAATATCACAAGCACTTAGTGGTTTATGGTTTGTTCAGTTTCATTTTCTACATTTATATACATACGTATTAAGTAACCAAATTCCTTATCAATTAATAATTAGAATAATCTTCTTTACCATTATGCGCTGCTTTGTCACACTGACGAAAGGTTCATCATTTCTTACATTTTTTATTATTGAATTAAAACAAAGAGAAATTTTATACCCTAAACGCATTGTGATAAGAAGGATTAAGCTTCATGACTGAGTGGAATGTCTCCAGATAACAATTGTTTCATTGTTTGCAAATTCGTATTTAAGTTTGAAATGAAATAATTCCGCTCAGTTTAACCAATCTCTTCTCCCCTTCCATACACAATGAGTCTTGAGTTTGTTAAAGTTCTGCTTGTGTTTTTGTTTGGGTTAAGTAGTGCTGAAAATTCGAATGTGATTCAGCCTTTCATTGTTAATGGCACGGATACTCGAATTGAGGATTTTCCATCTATGGTAAAAATTTTATATTTGGGTTCATTGAACCGAAAATTGAAATATTAAAAAAAATGTGCCACTTCCAGGTCTCCATTCGACTGAAAGGCGATCATTTATGCGGTGGAACGATTTTGAACGATGAGTGGATCCTTACGGTATGCGTTCAATTGTTAACAAACTCAAATATCCAATGTAAATTTTCAATTCTACAAGGCTGCACATTGCCTTTATGGAATGCCTTCAGATTTTTCAGTTCAATATGCAACAACAGTTATTTCACAAATCGGCATGAACGTAGCGTTTGCTGAGAAACTCGTAAGGCATGAAAACTACAGACCATCGATCCATAAGAATGACATTGGATTATTAAAACTTAGAACCCCACTCAACATAACAACGTTTAGGAAGAACTATCGGGCGACATTAGCCATGATAAGGTCGCATTATAGTACGGGAAGTCGAGCAGTATTAGTCGGTTGGGGTGCAAATTCGGTAAATTCAATATTTGATGATATCGTTTCTGAAAGTCATTAACATTGGGGATATTCAGTCTATAAGTTCAACGATGAAAACACTTCAACGAGTCGACCTTCAAGTATATTCAAGGGATGATTGCGCCCGGAAGCATTACAACGAAATTCATTTTACAAATGTTTGTGGAGGTGTTGAAGGTGGCATGCAAGGACAATGTTCAGGCGATTCAGGTAAAACATCATGAAAAGTAAGGTAATAATCTGCAGATATTAAACTTTACAAAATACCAGGAGGACCACTTTTCGTTAATGGTATTCAAATCGGTATCGTTTCATGGAGTGTGAAACCATGTACAGTCCCGCCATACCCCGGAGTGTACACAGCTGTGGGACATTTTATAGAATGGATCGAGAGAGAAACCAAAATCAATTTTAAACTTACAATGTCTTTACAGTCTGTCGATTAAGCTTATCTTTGTTTTACCCTCAATGACAATTAAAATCGTCTTCATTGCTTTTCTGTCGGAAAACTTAATTGTGGATATGTAATTGAGCTTGGAAATGAATTTCTTACATCATATTCCAATTTTCATTCATTTTCTTCTTCTTTTTCTTTTGGTCTTTATTATTCTCTTTTGTGTACAAAGAAAACTTTTATCTTGGAAGCTATTTCTCCAGGCTGTTGTCAGATATTTGAAAAGTTTCTCGATACTCCGTTTTTATGCTTTTAACTCCACAAAAATCTTTTTTGTTGTCCTTTCTACAGAAAGTTTCTTATAGAACTATGTACATCGTCTTGTGAAACATGAAAGCCCCTTTTGATATTTATTGTTTTTGTTTGTTTTTGATGTAAAAGTATGCAAAGTTATACAAAACATTCTGAAGTTTCCAGGTATTTTTCGAAATGTAATCTGACATAACAAATTGAAAGAGAAATTATTTATAAAGATAAGTGTGTAAATACTTATAGCTTAAATTTTCCTTTTTAATATTGAAGTTTTCCCAAAAACTTTCAGATTCTCAGTTGATTTTTAAGAACTGAGAACTTCCTTTAAATCTGAAAGATTCTTTTTGAAAATGATGTGGACTTTTATAAGAAAACATTTGAGTTAAAATTTTACGTACAGTGGTCATGAGTTCGTAACATAAAAGACTTTAGAATAACATTTACCTTTTCCCTATTCACAAATTTTTAACTTTTATTACATAACTCAAATGTTTATTTAAATTCTTATGGCAACTTGTTTTTCTTTCATTTTTCTAGCAGGCAAAATGTTTTGTTGAATTTGTTCAGCTTCCGTGAAGTTTACATGACCATTGCTGTAAGCCATGCAAAAGTATTTTGATGTAGATTAATGCATCACAAATTCAAATTCATTTGATGAATTTAAATTTCTCTCGGCGTTTAGTTTTCTAGTACCAATTGAGATTTGAAATTCAATTTTATATTCAGATGAATACATTAATAGCTTTTCATTGTTCGATTGTTCGCATGTAAACGAAACCTTTTCATTCGTGAATTAATGATTGTCGAAACAGAATCTCCACGGAAAAATGTGAAGTTGAGTTTAATTTTTAACTTTTTTAAAACTAGTTTGATTCATTTTGATGCTGCAAAATTGAAATAAATGCACGAGCGATTTTAACTCAAAGAATTGAAACCAAAAAATAAACTTAAAATTAATTTGCTTAAATATTCATTTCTGTAGGTCATTAAAAATTAAATTGAAATGTTTATCTACTTTACGAATCAATAATTAATATTTGCTTATCTCATAATAAAATTTTGGAAATAAGCTAAATGTCTGTAAACTTTGCATAAATATTTTAAAATCAAATTGTAAGCTGTAAACTTGTTCAATTTCAGTGAAGTGTCATTAATTAATTCAACAGATAATTTCATTAAGCTATCAAGTGTGAAATTGAAATCTAATTAAAAATGAATTTATTGAAGAATTGTGAACGAAAATAATAAATGTGTCAAATATTGTCCATTAATCAATAAGAAATTGATTTAAACTGCACAACTTTTAGAACTTTCATCAATTTTCTCAGCACGGTAAAAATCAACTTTTATTTGATTTCTATTTTCCAATTAGCATTGATTTGAATCAATAATGCTTTTTCTTTTCAAACCATATTTCCATGGTAGTGCAATGGAGAAAAAAGCAAATTTATTCATATAAAAATTTGAAAATATTGGGAAATTTAAATGCAGAGCTGCAACTCATAAATAAAATAAAACGAAATCTAAAATTTCATTAACTTCTGGGAGGGTTTCAATCAAGCTGTTGACGACAGTCTCAGTGTTATTTTTATTAGCAACAGTTAAACTTTGGGATGAACTGATGAAAAATGATCCCCATGTGATTGAAAGCTTTTTGAAGCCCGTCACAATTCATGAGATTATGAGGCTATCATAGCACACACTTTCCGTATTGCTTTTGGTGACTTTAATACTCTTATCCAGTAAGGAGATTATGCTTTCATCATGCGATATAAAACAACGAGGGAAAAACGTTTCTTTCCTACATTTTCATTTCCAATTTGAGAGAAAATCTAAAACGTTTGCTTTTCCAATTTGAGATCGTTTTAGATTGCTTTGGATCACGAAACATCGATTCAATAATTTTAATCTGATATTTCTATTATTTCAAAGGATATTTAAAAATTGTTCAGGATTTAATCTCTTCGATGTATAACAAGATACAAATTTGATATTTTAATCCCATAAAAGTTCTCTGATTTACAATGAGCTTAATAAAATATTCCATTCTGACAAATACACGAATTTTAACGGTTGACTTCAAGCGTTTCAGTTAGCATTATTTAGAATTGTGAATTCTGAACTCATGGTAGCTGTTCAAATAAACCAGATCAATTGTGAACTTTTCCTCAACATCAAACCTCCGTTTAAAATCATAACATGAACATTTAAATGTGATAAGAATAAATTAAACATATTAAGTATGTCAAGGCGCAAATCAAACGGAAAATTTCCAACTATATTGTCAACTCATGTGTAGAATTCATGTTCAACATTTTATTTTCCATTCATGTTTTCCATTCATGGGTGAATTAGAAAGGAAAGTTTTGGTTTAAGCTTAATGTTCAACCAAAGTGTTTGAGGTCGATGACTTTTCCTCATTATTGGTCCAAAAGTTTTCAGCAATAAAAATTAATCTCAATTTCAGGAATGGAAACTTCTTCATTTAACTTTCAAAGCTTAGAGAAACAAAATATATTTGTTGCCATATTGCAGATAAAAACTTTTAGAATCGTTCATTAATCCGTTCTTATAACGCTTTATGAGCTTGGCAAGGTGCAGAAATCCATTAAGATTTGCATTTAAATTGACGATTTTTTGTTAAGAACATGAAAGTTCAAGGAAGGCAACATGCAACTTTATTCCCTTAAGATGTATTATGTATATCGCTAAACATTAATTTTGAACATAAAACCTTGAGTCGAACCCTGTTGTGCAGTAGGAATAAGGGAATATGATACGCGACATTAATTTTAATCGTTAAACCTCTTACATCAAAATATCATGAAGATTTATAACGTTGCCAGGGGAGAGAAAATCCATTAAATAAAAATTTTTGAGGGACTCAGAAGTCTAAATTCTTGTAGGATGTTAAAGAAATTTATAGAAAAGCTTTTCATCTCCTCAAATGTATTTTATTAAAATAAAATGAAATGAGTGAAGGAATTTTAAGAGATCATAAAGTGTTTACACGAAAACGAATGAATTTCGATGTTCACGTACCATATACCCTGGATTTATGTTGATGTAAAGTGAATTAAGCATATCTACTCATTTTTGATATCTTATTTTGATTACAAGTCATTAAGAGTGTATCTAGGTTTATATTTTGATGTTATTTGAGTGTAAAATTTTTGATTTACGTTATCTAAATATTTATCTACTGATCTCAAAATCGAAAATGTGTTGAGTGAAATATGTCAATTGCTTTATGATGTGAAAATTCGTCATCCATTTCAAAATTGTTCAATTCTATTCAACAACTGCTTCAATTTCTGCTTCATTAAAAGAATTTCCATCGATCTCAAACTTTTATTTTCACTCTCGAAAACACGTTTAAGTTTTAATTTTAGCTTTCTCTTCTGTTTTAAGGCTAAGTTTCCAAGTGTAGGTAGAAAATCGTTGACTTTGTTACATTTTTCAATAAAACTTAAACCTTTTTTCCTAGAACAATCCTCCATCTTGTTGAAATTATAAGAAATTGTAAAATTTTGGAGAAATAAATCAATCAAATTTCTCTTCAGTTTCAACAAATTATAATTCTAAGAAACGTCTTTCTTTTATTTAATCTGATTTCTTCCTACCGGAACGTGAATTCATTTCCTATTTACGACATGAAAATTCAATTTTCCACTGGTTGTGCTTTTTAATGTCTTAATTTTCAAACTATCCACCAGACTGCGATAAAGTATTATCGTACTAAAAAGTCCCGCCCTTAAAACTCAATACAATTAAATTAGCATATTCTCGTTAGCTGCTGATAAGTAGTTTAAAAACGCTTGAGGAAAATTTTGCGCACCCTAATGATAATTATTTTAAAAATTCAATTTTTCTGTTATGTTCAAATATTTTGCGAGCAACGTGTGATTAAATTTTACTATCACGGCACCCGAAGTTGTAATGCTGGATGAGTTGAACTTCGGGCTGTCTTTCATTTCTTTATTATTGAGTTTTTTTTTAAAAAACGTGAAGTGATAACTTAGTTGTGAAGGGAAAAGCCGAAGCTTTGATAATTTTCTCTTTATTCTCTTTAGTAAAATAATAATCAAAGTTATGAAGGAATAACATTGCATGGTAAGTAAAATTATAAACTCAATTATTTCTCACAGAAATTATTACACAGTTTTTCACTTTAAGTGCAAATTATATTAAATTTTCACTTTGATTTAACAGAATAAACTCATTCAACTTTTAATGTGTGTAGATAAGTTGAATGGGGTCAATAAATAAAAAGTATTGGAAATTAAATAATTATGAAATAATAACAGTAGAAATTAATGGAATGTACAGTTTAGAAAGCAGAAAGCTTATAAAGGCACCAACCATACTCAGTCAAAACTCACTTTAAGAAAATTCCGTCCAAATGTGAAACTTTATTAATTAAATTTCCATAATTGTTCTTAGATATTCATAACTTCTCAAGCATTCTCTAAAACTTCCTCATTCAAGCCCGCAATTCATGATTTTATTGTAATGGAAAATTATTTTCATTAAAATGTGACTAAAAGTGAAATATCAGCACATGTACTTTTCTGCAGGATTGCGAATTCCCTCCGTAAATCACAAATATAAATTTAATTGAAGTAATAAATCTGTTGCGTAACATTTCCATTACACATTACGACACATTAGACTCTACCAACATAAAATGAAGCCTTTGTGATTAAAGGAAGCTAATTTAATTTGACTTTTATGTATTTAGAAGTATGAAGCATTAAGTTTAAGTTGGAAAGATAGTCTAAGCGCAAATTTGAAAATATTGTCAATAAAATTAGCATTTAAATTGCTTCCTATATGAGTCGCCATTTACTAAAATTGTAAAGAAAAATGAAAACGTGTACTTAACTTGTAGTAGAAGGTAACTCGAGGCATAACGAGAGTTTATTTTCCAATCCAAGGAGCAAAGACAAAAATGAACAAGGCAGAAGGCATTCAACCATTAAATGGAATTAAAATTTAATTAAAAACTTTCTCAATGTAACCTTCGAAGAATTTTCTTTATTATTGTGTGCCTGTCAAAGGTCAATAGTAAATATTGAAAATCGCTTCTTCTCGTCCTTAAGGGAATAGAAAAACATTGAAAAAATAATTGAAGCAATAAATCAATTTACTGATATCATAAATTCTCATGACCGGTCAAAGTAAGACTGCTTATGATTAAAAGAATGAACGACGTTGAAGAATCTTTTTCCTAATAGAAAGAACATTCAATTGAAAGCGTACAATTCAGGTTTTTAAAAACGTGGAATCTACATGAGATCTGAAATGTTTTCATTCTCTTTTTTCTCTTCGGTGCCATAGGATTTGCCTGTTGAAATTCATTCTACAAATTCCTTGGAAACGATGATCATGTTAGATTACGAAACCTTTTTTGTTATGTAACATTATTAACTCAACCGTCGGACTTTATTGAAAAGAAAGTTTCTCCTTCTTTGTTTGTTTGTTTGTGTCCGTTTGTGCTAAGATAAATGTAAAAAGTTTTTCTTTCGCCTTTAAACATAGATCCTTTTCAAACCCTTTTCAAGCTTTTCTATTTTAATTAGCATCTGATCCAACACAATGTCCTGCATGTTTTTTCTTTTCTTTCTCAGACTGTCCTTTGGGGTCAAAATCGATAGAAAAAAATAGAAATTTCTTTTCTTCTTTTGTTCTTCAACTAAACAAGTGCCTAATGATGTTAAATGAAACACTCATTGAAGGTTCCCGAAATGAGAAAATTTGATTTAAGTTGAAAAGAAAACTTTACCAAATATTTTATTACCGACTTCGTGCTACTGATAAAAAAATAATTGTAATGGAAAATTCACATTTAATGTCATGTGTGAATTATTTGAGAGCGAAAAACATGAATAACTTTCTTAATTAGAAAACAAGATATTTCATTTTCAGTTTTAATTGAACAATTAATAATAAGTGACAAGCAATTAAAACAAATTCATTCAACGTGACATAATTAATGAACAATCCCATGAACAAGCGTTTTTGTTTATATTTGTTTAATTTGGTTTACAATCTGATACGCGTAGATTCCTCTTAAATAATTTGGTATTCAAATGATTAAATCACTACCTTGCGTAATAACATTTGAAATTTACATAAGCGTACACGTTTGCCGCTCTAAGAAAACGAAAGCGAACATAGATGAAGGAACATTATTTATTTCTTTTAATTCCGTCGAAAAATAATGCGATTTAAATTGTAAGCTCAGATACTCCTTGCGCGTTCAAGACATCATCATCATTTACAATGGAGGAAAATGATAAGCACAAGAAGAATCCTGACGTTGAAGAATCTCTGAAACATTCATTGAATTGAGGTAGATATAAAAAAAATTCCTCCCATTTTCCCTTTCACTTTCAGCACTCGAGTGATGTTTGATTGTATGAAAGGAACGAGATAATTTACCTTTTATGTATGTTGCACAGATAAACGAGCCTTTCACATAAAACTTTCAGCTGATATTTTCATACTTCGTTGATTGCGTAACTTTATTGTTGTCGGAAATCACACTTGAAGGTGGGACAAGCTGATTAGAAAGAGCTTTCATGCTTGTAATGAAATTATTCTACAGGATGAATACAAAACAACTTAATTGAGCAATTATTTTAACCCATGCAAAAAAGCTTTTGAATTTTTCTTCCTTGTCATGTACCTTTGTGAAAAATCATTGTTGTAGTTGTAATCACAATGGAAGAGCGGATCTCATCAGTGATGTTGAAAGAATGTTACCAAATCGGATTACATATCTTTTTTTAAATCAGACTATGCTACTGCAAGCGCAATAAAAAATTATCTTTGAGCTTTGATTTTGAAAGTTCTTCGAACTTTTTCAATATTCCTTTGTCTTCGCAACAGTCTCGTTCAAGAACAAAAAAAAAGTTTTTCTTTCTTCTAAATGATTTCTATGAAAAGAACGTGACGTTGATTTGAGTTGGCAAAGTTGAAATTTTCATTTCGTTAAATGTTTATTCAATTTTTATAGCTTTCTGTTTTTATTTTTAAAGACATGGGTGGAGGCATTATGTGTATGGAAGGAAGACAGAAAAAAGAAAATATTATCAACATAATCTTCAATTAAATTACGAAAAAAGAAAGCTGTGAAGCATGAAGTGTAAGAAATCTTCTTGATTTTGATATTTGGAACATCTCTAAGAGGGCGTCGATTCGCTGAAGGAAAACTTTCCGCCTTGGGACTTCAGAGACGGAGGAAATCTTATAATTCTATGGAAATGTGATATTTTCTTTCGTAGTCTAGGAATGCTCAGAGTATAAGCAGCTTACCTTAATTTAAAAATTTTTAAGCTTCCCTTCTTCACAAAATATAAATTCAATGAAGCTCAATAAAACTTCTACCAACAAAATTAAGGACGTGTTTGATAAAATTAGTGTTTCATGCCGCCTAAATTAGAACTTGTCGAGTCGTAAAACAACCTGAAAACACGCAACTCGTTTTGAGTTATATAACGGGTAAAGCTTTAAACACGACAACAAAAAAATAAATAAAATGCTCTTTAAATTAATGGATGGATTTGATTACAGTTATTCGATTGCACGTGAGACTTATTTATGCTTTGACACTTGAATCGAAAAAAATATTGAAATAGAAAATTGAGGTCTGAGTTTCTTAAACCGCTTTTTCGATATGACTAATGGAAATGCATTATGATTTCGGATACAAATTTGTCAGTTCAAGGCTATTTTGTGATATAAATAAATCGTTAGATAACTCACTAAATAAATAATTATGTTCACTTAAAAATACATTTGTAAACAAAGCAAACATAACAAATTATATTTAAGCAACTATTGCTCAACCTCAAACCATCTCATTTGAAGTAAACAATAAAAACTCGGGAAAGCTTTCTGTAAACAAATATAAATTATTGTATTGACCTTCGCTGTCATTGCATTTTTATTTTCATTTCTTAAGTAGAAATGTTGCCAGTTTTCCTGACGTTAAAACAATGAAAGCACTTTATGTTGGAATACTTGAAGGTAAAGTGTCTATGACAGAGATTTTTTCCTGAGTATTCCATTTCCCATCCCCTTACTGTAAACAATACGAAAGTTATGAAAAATAAATGAATTAATAAGCAATCTCTGTAGCTAAGGCTTCGAAAAACTAATTACTGGGTAACGAAATTTTTGATATTGGTTGGCATTGAAATCAATATCACGAGTTACTATCACATTTCCTCAATTAACGCTACATTTTTGTGAAGCTCAACACATGAGCTTTAAAGGATCGAAAGAATTTCTATTGTAATGAAATAAATTTAAAGGGAGCGGAAGAAATTTTCCTCAACTGTCACCTTTTTGTCGAGAGAGAATTGTTCGATTTTTCTTTGTCACGGTTTCGTTTATCACAAAGTTTTAAATCAAATTTCTGTAAAATTCTAAAATTTTGCTTCACCTATTATTAAATCATATTTGAATTATTAATGATTACCGAGTCGAATGTAGAAAAGTCTTTTTAATTGTTTATTCAATCGCTTTATTATCTCAATTACTTTGAACATCACAATGCTTTCTTATATGAATTTTCCTTAAGACTCTTAAATAAAGATGAATCTAATGAAACATACTTTTAAAGTTTCCCCATGAAATATTTCATTTAAAGTTTTTTCTAATCTAAAAATTCCACATTAATGACACAATTAAATTAAAGTGCGATGAAAAATTCAGAGACTCAACTTTTTTACGCAATCATTCTTTGAAATGGAATGGAAAATCCTGTAAAGTTTTCAATCTTCATTAATAACTTTCACAACTTCAAACATCACTACATTGAATACATTAAACTTTTCATTGAACCAAACGTGATTGATGACAATGAATTAAAATCTGTAAGAATTGATGATCAGCAGGTGCAAATGAATGTTCAGAATAATATGAAAGAGAGAACAAAAACTGATTAATTGCCTTAGAGGACAGATGACGTTTAATGTCGACTATGTCTAGGTACAGAAATGCAATTTGCGAGTTGAAAACTTTAAGCTGCAAGAGATTTTCCTGATTTTTCTTTCAGAGAATGAAGATATTTTCAAATGAGTTTCTATATAAAATCGAGACTGCAACTTGAATAAAAATCAATGATGATTGTGCAGATGAATATCCGAATTATTAGAATGAAATCAAGTAAGCACAATGCATTCAAACTTTCCTTTACATTCACTTTCTATACAATAGAAATTTAAATTTCTTCATGAAACAAGATACGAACAGGTACTTGCAACTTGAAAGCATTTTAAATGGTCCTATAAATTATTTTTTTCTTTTATTTATGATGAAACATAATTCTACAAGACCATAAATACGAGTAAGTGTACAAGAAGTAGTAATGAGTAAGATAATTGAATCAATTCATGATACGTTTTCATCGCTACACTACGTGCTATACCTTTTATCATTAAACTTTGCGGAAACGAAGATTTTTGTTGTTGTAAGCTTTGAATGGTCTCGAATACTCGTAAAAGTGTCGGAGCATAAATGAGGGAACGGTCAGAGTGCGAGAGGGCAGAAGCATCATAAAATTCCAATTACGTTCTTTTCTGCCATTAACATCAGTAGAGATTGAAAAAGTTTCGCTTCGCATCGTCAATGTGTCTGACAAAAGTGAAAAGGCAAATACTAAAGCTTGCAAAAGCGTTAAACTTAGAAGAATTTTCTTTTTTGGTAAAAGCTAATTGGAACTCGATTGCGAGTAAATTCAATTAAGTTTCTCTCAGAATATATATCAAGCATTTAACTGGAGAAGTTTGTTAATTAAGTTTGCGCAATAAGAGGGAAATTTATCCACCCTTCTGTCAATTTTTTTTCTTTCTTCTATCTCAGTATACCTAGAAAGTTGTCCCATATTATCTTTATTCAATAGAATTCTATAACGTCTTTAACTCTCTTTAATTGAGCATGTAAACCTTTCAAAGAACTCAAAGCTTCTCTGCAATTTAAGTCTTTTCAAATACTCTTTCAAACTTTTCTCATTCTTTGCTAAATCAAACCTAAAATTTTAATTAAAAAACTTTCTATAGGTATCATAAATTGGCTTTTACTGCCTCATCAATATTCGTATCGGAAGTCAATAGGAAATATTTCCCAGTGTTGAAAATGAGATGCCGAACGCTAAAGGGAGAATAAAAACATTCACATCAATATAATTGCTTCATTTAATTCGAATTTCCTTAATGTGGTGGCACAAGAAGTGTGTGTGGGGCTTCGTACATAAGCCTTAAAGCTAAAAATAAGTTTCCAAGAAATTGAAGGCGTGGAATGAAAGTAAACAAAATTTAATTGTGAACGTTTCATAACATTTATGATATCACTGAAATTTTCAGGATTTTTGAATAATACAAAGCCAATTTCCTTGAATTTTTACGGAATTCAGAATTTGAACTTATCGTAAATCTCATTTTATAAAGAAAAGGAAAATATTTTCAGATTTGTTTACTCATCCAATTGCTACGTTGAGAAATGAAATCAATTTTTCTGTCTACGACGAACGGATGCACATGCAGTACATGTACACTAATTTTTCACAATGTTTTTATCTTTCTGACAAGCTTATTTGTATTTCACTCTAATTTGAATGTCCATGTTTTGAGCAATGGATACATGCTTTGGGTTGCATGAACATTCAACAGAATTTTGTATGTACATAGTTCAAGATATGTCATCCTGAAGCTTATCATGAAGACTGATAACAAGCCTCACATTTACTGGTATGATTCAATTTCTCTTTTAAGCTTATTTGAGAATAAAGATGAAGAGAACAAATCCGGAAATTGAAAGACTTAGGTATTTTGCCCGTTGCTTTCGTAACAAAGAATTTTATTGACACTGCTGATATAAATTTCAATTTCCGTCGCAATACATTTCTGCTATTGATTTTTTATTTCTCCGATAGATTACGTCAATAAATATTTTGTGTTATTGCTTCTTGGAAGAATAGCAGCGGAAATAAAAGATAACACTCCAACCAATCGCTGCCTCATTGTGCAACAACGATTTGTGTGCTTGCAAAGGGAAAATATTTGTTTTGCGGATTTATAATAAAACAGTTACAACAACCGTTGCAAAAAAAAATTGTACAAACAAACAACGGTTTATGGGAGGGTAAAAGTTTTTCCCACATACAAGACACAAACATCACAAGACTTTTTTTGCTGTTCTTGCAGTTGTTTTGAAATTGTAACTCTAGTTAGTAGAATTGAATTTAGAAACATTTCGCTTAAACTTTTATTGCAAATAATTTTTAATTTATTTTATTTTTGAGCACGTAATGTTCATGTATTATGAATACTTAGGACGCTCTCTTAAAAGCAAATTGAAATACCTAATATTTTTCAATCAACTGTACGAAAACATTGTTGTATCGATACAGAAAAGTTTAAAAAAAAAACCAAAAATAATTTCTTCAGAAATGGATTCAATTTTATAGAAAGTTCGAATTTGTGAAGCTTAGTGTCAGAGAGAGCTTTCTTCTTATTTTACGAACTGAGATTAACACAATCTTGCTTGCTCGCTTTATAATTTTTACTTCTTAAAATTGAGTTTGATGAAATTTGTTTTATTAGTTTTTAATAAAAACTTTTTATCAATTCAATTATTGGAAAAGTTTCCATCAACTGAAAAGGGTTAAAATGTTTCATATCGGTATAAATTTCTAAGAAAGATTGAGTTTAATTTTTAGGAGCTTATTAAATGTCTGTGAAAGTCAAGAACAAACAAGATTTAGACTTGCAATTCAACGAGTTATTATAATCAGTCAGAGGTGATGAAGAATTATATCTTCTTATGAATTATGAATAAGGATTTTATCATATATTTATTTCTCGCGCTACCTTCTCTCTGAATTTTTCTTTCTTTCATTTATAATATGACGCATCTGGTGCCGAAATTATTTATATTGTGTGAAAGAACTTAAACCAGGGGATGGAAACTTCTCAGAAATCATATGAAAGCTTCCGATTTTGCTTCCCAAAATTATACGAAGAGCTTTTGCTTCTGCTTTTACTTTCGCTTCCAATCTCTGTTTAAAACTGTTATAAAACAATGTTTATCTAAATCTAATATTCAAAAATTATCAAGTGAAACGAAAATTAATTTTATAAAATTAAGCGAGTAAATATTTATAAATTACATGATCTCATATTAAAAAAATATTCTCTACCATAAGCAGCTACGTGTTCAAAATGATTTTGAAATTTTTACATTTCTATCCTAAATGTGTCGGATTCGGAATCCTAAAAGTGATAGAAAACTTTTCCGTGGCTAACTCACATTATTTTCTATCCTTTTTGTTATGCTTTATGTAAAAACTCATCTGGCATTTGTGCGAAAAACGTGAGTAGAATTTGGTTATTGAATATGAAAATTTGTTTACGATTTAATTAGAATTATTGAAGTTTGTTCCTGCATAAATAATTGATTTGGACATATTTGAATATCAATTTATTGGCTTAATAATTGAGTGTTAAAAAAACTTGGCAATTATTTCATGAATCAGAAATGTTTCCTTTGATTTGATATCTTTTTAATAATATCTTTAATTAAATGACGTTTAAAACAATGAATAGAATGTGCGTTGACTTTTACTCGGAAGTTAATGAAGTAAAACTAATTAGATAATTGTTTACCTTTACGTTGAAAAACATTGAACTTCATCAAGCGTTTTATGAGTTTACTCGAAGTTATGAAACCTTTTTTTCAATTAAAAAGATTAATAGCTTTTGATAAGAAAATCAATTTTATTTAATTACTAAAGGCATCATCACTGATAACCATCTTGTTGTTTTCTTGACAGCACATATGAAAGCATTATAGATATAACCCGAAAAAGCTGTAAATGTTAATTAAAATAGATACAAAAGGGTTGATTTACTAAACAACAAGAACGAGAATAAACTGAACCTTTTCGACAGACTGAAGCGTTTGTTCATTTCTTCTATGCTTCATTGAAAATTTGTCTATGTTAGACGAGTTGGTTTGCAGTGTACAAATAACAATTGATACTGCTCAGCAAATGGAGCGTAAACGATGCTTAGATAATTTCAATTATACTGATATTGTTCAATCTTAATTAGAAGCTTTGATTAAATTGACAGCATAGAAGGCATTGACTGAAAGCTCATCACAAGTCATGACTCATGGGATTGTGCGAATATTTTTCATATTGTTTTCATTGAGTATAATGCTCTTATCCATTAAGCAGATTATTCTTCCATCACGTGGTATCTGAAAGTGTTTTGACACATTGCAATTATGTATTCTGAAGCTAAATAGCAAATATTTGGCCTTCTTGAATTGACTTTTCTTAAATGCGAGTCTTTTCCAAAAGGAAGACTATCAAGGAGATGATTTCAATTTTATTTACTTTTGTTCTCTTAATTTCGTGAGGGATTTTTGGATGAAGCTCTGATGAGTAATTTGTTGTTAAGGGATCCATTGGTAAAAGAAAAAAAATAAGAAAATGAAACGTCATGCTGACGGTGAGCCATGAAATCATTTATATTCTGAGCGTTTTGTATTTGCTTCTTCCTTTTCTACACCTTTGCTGTTCTCCCTCAAGCTTCAGGTTCACTTGAAACTCAATAAAAGCTTATAAAGAGCGATTCAGTTATAAATAACTTATGAAGAGTGATTTTCCGGAAATCTTTTGAGCATCGAATACAACATCATGAGAAAGCTTTTTTTTTCTTGCTCTACCATAAACTCAATATTTATAAAAGTGTAATCAATTTCCTCTGGATCAGAGAATATGGAAAATATTAGTCATGTCCCGTGATTCCAGTCATAGTCAAAATTGCAAGCGAAGTAAAACTTGAAAGCGATGCATTGAAATCGTTTTCTTCCCTTTTCTAAAGCCAAATAAGGAATTTATTGCAAATGTTGCATTTCAATTGATTACATTTAGCAAATTCAGCAAAAAGAGCGAGACAAAATTTTATTTAGGTAAACAAATAGAAATTGAAAAAGTTTTCGTGCTTCAATTGCCATGAAACAAAAGCAAATAACTAAGTTGGAGATAATGTCAGATAAAAATTGACAGTCATAAATGTTAAGATAAGTTTTGTTGAAAAAATTTCCATTTATTTACAATAAATAAATGCAGATTAGAGATTTATCATCAATAAAAGAAAAGTGGAATTTACAAGATCTGAGAAATTTTTCAGTTACTTCTGCTGGCTCATAATTGTCAAGAGATTGTTTGATAAAAAATGAAAGAAAAAATTTTGGACCCTTCAGCTACAAGACCGCAGAGAATTTCTTTCAAAGTTTTAACTTCCATTTAAATTTTTTTAATTCAATTGACATATTTTATAAACATTTTAATTTATACAAAATATTCCTCATTTTACGATTTAGTTTTTTCATTTAAAAGTCAGAAAGTCTGAAAGCTGAAGCTTTTTAATTATCACCAAAATGATTTGTTTTTATCCTTAAATTGATTAGAATTTATTGTTTTCATGGCTTTAAAAAAAGTTTTACTGTCAAGCAAGTCATTAAAATTAATGTTCCAAAATTTATTACTCTTTCCCTTGTCTTCAGCCGGTCCCGGAAATATTTTTTGCTGTAAAATTTTCCCCTTAATCATGATTTATCGATGTTTCTTAGCTGTTATTTATTAATTCCAAAGAAAAAAGGTTGGAAAATTCTCTTCCACAATCTTCGAGTTTTAATGATTGAAACGAAGTCATTAAGTGGCGGGAACCACAGAAGAATTATTAAATTAATTAGGGATATTGTGCTGATTTGTTAAAATTAAATGCGAATTGTGTTCGCGTTAATTTTCATCGATTATTTGTAATTGCCAATTCACACTTTAACCATCAAATGTTACGCAACAAAGTTTCATTTTGCTGTTTACAAAACAATTCAAACAGACTTCAATTTAGTGTTCAAGTGATTTCTCAAAAGTGCAAAACTGCTTTTCTCATCGCATCATTTAGACTTCCACAATCACCTCCAAATTCAATTTGAATCCGCTTCAATGATTTACGAGACGTGAATGGAAATTATTTCGAATGTGCTGAGAATGAATAATTTCAAGAGGATCGTTTGATAACTAAATTCAGTGCAACGTTCAATTGAATCTGATTTTGATTTCCCAACAAGTAGACTGCAACGCAAGCACGTTTCCATTTCTCTTTGATTTTTCTTCTTCGTTCAATCTCAATATTTATTGGAAAATTTGTTTTCGTAAACATTGAATGTCTTCTTAAAGGCGTAGGTTGATCAAATAGAGATTTTTATCGACATGTTGAATCCAATTGTAATTTGAATTCAGATTCTGATTATAATCAGAAGCTGTTGCCCTTAAATCTTTTGATAAGAATCTTTTTCATTTATACGACGGTGGGCCAATAAAAATTTCATTTCAATTTGAGTGTAGATAAAAAATATCTTTTGCTTTTACATTAAAAAGATTAGAAAGAGAATTTATCTGTTAATGGTTTGGAATGAGGACAAGAAAATATTGTGCAAACATAATGCGGATACCCGCCCCGTGGCAAGCAAAAAAGGGAACAAAGCATCGAAACCTTAATTCTTCATGTAGCATTACAAGATTGCCAAAGTGCTGAAATGAGGGAGATCCTTTCAAGATTTGCATTTAAATTGATGTTTTTTCCGAATGCTGCTTTGCTCGTTTTAAAATATATTGGCAAACATCTTAACTTAAACACATTTCGATGAATATTACAAGAAATGTTCACATAAAACTGTCAGACATTCTGGAGCTGAAATAAACGGAATATAAAATTAAATCGTTAATTCTCATCTTGCGTCAAGATATCTTGATTTATTACTATTTTTTTGTATTTAAAATAAAAGCAAGAGTTTGCGTTTAGTTTTTGGATTAGGTTGAGCTTGAATGCTTTACTCAGAAAGGGAAGAAATAAAAGCTCGAAGATGGAGAAGAAATTTATTTCAAGTGACATAACTCATTTCTCGAACTTTATTTCTCTGCTTAATGAACCCAAACTACCGGAAAACTAATAAGAATCACACAAGGAAGTCAATCGATAAATCGAATTGCCATTGCCAAGTTACTATAAACTTTTGCCATGATTGCGAATATCCGTGCGAATCACATTTGGAATAACTGAAGGAAATTTCTCGGCGACTTCCCCCACTTGCCGAGAACTTTATTAAAGGCGAAGCGTGACAGAAATTTTAAACCTGTCGAATATCGGCTAATTTATGTGATATATTTTCATCGTTTAATGAGGTCACGTAGGAGACAAATAAAAATTGAACATTTATTTCCCATTCGCTTCTTGTGTGTCTTGTTATTTAAGCTAAGATGAAAACATGAGGATTTATTGTTGTTTGAAAGTTGAAATGTGAGAATGTATTTACGATGAGCATTAAAAAGTTCTGAACCGAAATCATGAGCGAAGCTTCTTTTTTTGAAGAAACAACAAAAATTATTATAGCGAAATCGGATCCTCATAAAATATAAGAGTTTTGCTAAAAGTGGGATGTATGTAAACCTTTGTTGAAAATATGGGATCAGAAGTTGATTAAAAATGAATGCTTCGGAAAGGTTAATTAAGGGAGAAAAGGTTCAAGTGTAACTCGAAAAATCTTCATACCTTTACGGGCAGGACATGTGAGATGTTTTTTAATCTCATTCAGCTCACATAATTTTCTTTTCAATATCTCTAGAATGGTTGCTAATGAAATGTTTTGTATTTTATGGTTTTTATAAATAAAATTTCAGACCGAAAGAAACTTAATTATAATTTTCTCTTCCAACATTTCAAGGTTTGCCTGGTCATGGAAATGATCAATATTTATGAATTCAATTAAACTCATAATTTATAAGTTACAATTAGTTAGATAATAATTTATTCTTAGAGATTCAACACTCTAACGAATCAATCACAATTTTAAATTCAATATTTTTAACATCCACATCGTTTACTAATTAAAAATGCTTATGAAGACTGTTAACAACAAAGCAGCAAATAATTAATATTAATTTTAACTTGAATATTTTACTTCATGCCTTCATTCTACGAAATCATTAATTAAATCTGCCTAATATTTAATAAATTAATAAAATAGCCATATTTGGTGTGTTAATGTCAGCGAGGAATTTCTATTCCATTAATAAAATGTTACACTCTCCTAATTACTTTATGTGATTAACATCACAATTACGGTATAATGATTCTAAATAGTAGAATAAAATGAAATGAAACCTATGTAAGTTGTACTTGACAGTTTTTCCTTCTCCATTTTACTACACAAGCTTTACTAGTGTCAGTTTTGTTCTCATTAAAAACATTCTAATTCTCTGTTCTATTTCAACTCAATTGGTTTAATGCTTGCACGCTACTTTACGATTAACATATCTTAGAAACGACAGTCGTTTGACTTTTTACCTTCGACAGTATTTTTAGGAAGGCAAAAAAAGAAACTTCTGATGGTGCAATAAATAATTCGGTGTCAACAAAGCTTTTCAGCCTGTCGTTTCATTCTTGATACTGATTATTTATTTAGCAAACTTTCCTACGTCGGGAAGAGACGAGTGGATGGAATTTTTGCAGGCTCGACAACGGCTTTTGTTGGATAGAAAATAAAAGGAAAAGAAAATAGAATGAAAAGAAATAGAATCGGAAAAGACATGCAACTTCAATAGCTTTCTCTATTATTCAGTTGTATAAACGTTGAGTGCTTCAACAATAGAATGTAGATTATAGCAAAATAATTATCTTACCCTCTCCAATGTAGGATGGAAAACTGAAATACATGTCAGACTGTTGTTGTTCAATGCCTGACAAAAATGTCAGATTTCCTTTCTTTCTTTCATTGAAAAGCTGACAGAATTGATTTAATGATTTTTAAATTTGTTTGTTTAAAACTTGTTAAAAATTTATTCTGTTTTGAAAATTTCCATTCAATTTTGATGTTTCGAAAGAAATTTCTTGTGAATTGCATTGGTTGTTATAATAACTTGCATTGCACAACTCATTCATTGTTCTTGTAACGTTTGAGAATATATTTTAAGCACTCTTCCGCTCTTTTATATTTCTTACAATTTCCATCTTCTTTCAGATTCAAACATCGGCTGTAAAACTGCTGTTATCCCTAAGTGCGCCCTCATGAAAAGAGTCATTACGCTCAATCGTGGCGTTAAATTTCCTCGACACCTTGAAAGAATACAAAATTATGTAACGAGTCCTCTGAGATGGAACGAGTTCAGTACTCAGGATTGTGCTGTAAAATTTGTTAAATTTGAACGTGCTTTTGTTACATAATTTTTTTATGACAGAAGGAAAAAGATGTATAGAGTGAATGAGATGATGAAAGGTAGCAAACATTTGTAAATCAATAGCAACAGTCAATTTTTTTAACAGAATTTTTATAAATATCTAAATACTCTGAACGCATTGGCGATGTTTCTGTCGGACCTACATCGAAGTTCAAACCTATGTCAGACTTTTTTTTTAATTTCAAATTCTTTAAATATCCACGGAGCTCAGCTCTGAAAATGATTTGACATTTGGAAGATTATGTGACTTGTCAGTAACTGAACGGTAGGGTAGTAGACCGTAATAAAATATCATAAATTCAAAAGTCAAACGAATTTTTCACAAGAGAAGGAAGGGAGGGAAAAAATACGGAAATAGGTTACGAAATCATTCACTCGAAGCTTTGATAAATGTTCTAAGGTAGATATCTAATACTCAGATCAAACGAATTGAATAAAAATCTAAAACGCTGATAGGGAAATGTTTCATAATATTTACAAAGTCTGCTTTCAATGCCTGCGTCTTGCAAACATTTATCAAAACGAAGAACGAAGTGTTTGTACAAGTTTAAGAGGAAAATTTTATGTTGATCGACTTATGAAAACGAACTTTTTACTTGTGTGTACCGAAAATGATGAAGTAAACTTTACTTTCAGTTAAAAATTCATTTTATTTCTTCCATCATGTTTTGTCTCATTAATTATTGTATAATTTTGTCTCCCTTACGTTACTAAATACAGCAAATAACACTTATCATTTTTTTCTCATATAGGAATCTAAACATATTCAATATTTTTTTTATTATTTTTATATTCGTCATGAAAAAATATCACCAAATTACTATTTTTTTTTCTTTTCCGTAAAAGCACTAAATTTTCCCCGCTTTTCATCCAACTTTCTACATACATAGCAACATTATCCATTAATCACGGTTAACGGAAAATTTTTCGTGTATCGTTTTGGGTGTAATTTTTCTTCATCAATTTAGTTAGAATTTAGTAATCAAATTGTAATTTATTCAAGCACTGCTTCTCTGCCCATCAAAACTAATAGCGAACTATGTTCCTAACATTTATACACTGTTTTTAATTCAATCATTGTTTATTATGTCTTTGTTTAAAGTGGTCTCCACTTGAAGTCCTTGTTGATCAAGTCCATGTTGCCTGTTGGTTATCCTTTCATCCATTCTCTTCTCAGTTACCGCTGATTTTCCTTCTTTTCAGTGGAAACTTACAATCGATGATTCTCATGTGGCAGCTTTTTGTGATAGCTCAACAAATACATCCAATCTCAACAAAGCTTTGTTACAAAAATCGTAAAAAATAGTATCATGTAGCACTCGAAGAATACAATGGTGAAAGGTTTCGATGATGATGCTGAGTGGTCTTTGCGAGATAAAGAAAATTAAGACGAGTATGAAACAAAATAAAATAAGGAAGAAAACAAAGGAAAGAAATATAATGAAGAAAATTCAATTAGAGTCAGAGAACGCAATATCAATTATATCATTTTCCCAATTCAACTTCAATCTCTTACCTTTTGTATGTTGATTCGTCAAAAGTCCTGTCTCTGTCTCTAGAGACAAAACTAGATCAGCTTCTTCATCTGAATCCGGATCTGATGACGTTGGTTCTTGTTCTAGGAAAAATGTGAAACAAAAAAAGAAAGAAAGGGAAATGGATTGAATAAAGGACGGAAATTAAGATTGAAATATCAATGACATAGCCAGGAGGGATTTGACAAGGGGATGATTGTATTATCGGAACACATTTTGCACATATCTCGCACTGCATGACATTTGTCAGACATTTCATGTCTCACAACAACCAAGCTTGTGAAAAAATATTATGAAAGAATTTCGTTTTCTGTAAGCTTTTTTTATGATAGCAGATGATGATTGAATTCGAAATTGGAATGTGAAAATGTGATATGGAACATCACGTAAAATGTATGCTTATTGGTAACCTTTGAGGCGTTATGATCAAAGTATTTATTGATTCATTCAACTATTCACTCACCATAATAAACAGTCTCCTGTATCTTCGTATAGTTCGTGTCTGGTATTGTTAATTGACAGTTGATTATCGTTTCGGACTTCAAAGAATTCTTCGGATATTTTGCAACCACTTTGACATCAAATAAACCATCTCTACTGTCCTTAACTAATTTAACATCACTTTTCAACTCTACATTATTTATGCTGCAATATAAATTTTACATATGAGAATCAAATTAGCATATTTTATGCTTTTGCCATTCATGTTCATGTCGGTGTCATCTGCGTGTGATGTCGACACAACAGTGTTTAGTTCGAGCGACTAGTAACGCCTTTGACATCACACGCAAACAACACCGAAATTCATGTTCTGAAAATCATACTTTAACGATAATTTTGGTTCCGGATACACATTGAAAGCACTACATTTGATTTGCACCATACTATCGAAGTCTGTACGGTAATTCAGCTTGAAATGCGATTCTGGCACTGAAATAAAAGCAAAAAAAGAGAGAGAAATGAGAAGATTACCATCACCGGCAGACTTTACAAATGCCACTAAATTTTAAAGCAAGCGGAACATAACAATGAAATTTAATTAAGAAATAAAATCACATAATGGTCGAGGCAGAGAAAGGGGCTTGCACGGAAATTTTATTCATTCAAAGCTCTTTATTTAGCTTCTGAGGAAGATAAATTTTCATTAATTTTCATTTCGGTAAATTCGTGTTGTATTGCTGTGAAATGAAATTCCATTTCGAATCTATGGACGGTAAAAGTTAATTACTAATTATTTCTATATTAAGTATACTTATACGTATCTACTCTTACAATGAAGTTTCATTTGACTAAACATTAAATGGGAAATGGAAAATTTCCGAGAAATCCATATGGAAAATGTTACAGTTCATTGAATTGAATACAGATTATAATTTATAAATGCAAAACGTAAAAGGAATCAACACTTTCTGAATGTCATTGTTAACCACTTCCGATATGCCTCAACATTCATAAATATGTAAATTATTTCATTTTATCAACACTCACCAATTATTTGCAAGTGTGATGTTTTCTTATCTGAAGATTGAAACGTCTGCACTGAGCAAGTGTAGTTGCCCGAGAAGTTAAGCATTGGTTTCGTCACAGCCAAACCGCGATACTTTTTCATTGGATCATCTGAAACGGTGAAATTCTTTCTAATTCGATTTTTCAACAGCGAAAGCGCTGTTGGCAGCCGAGGTGGTATCCATTGATATATGGCCTGGTTATTTAGTAGCCATTTGATGACTAATCCGCTTTCATTTTCTTCCATATCGAAATCACAATCAAGCAGGAACTCAGGGGCAGATAAATTTGGTCTTTCGCTTAAATTTAGATTGTAATCCATCACGACAACAGATGGCACAGTGATTTTTTGTATTTTTACTGAGCTACAAAGATCTGTAATGAAACAGATTGGGATGATGTGGGGACGAACAGACATTTATAATAATTGGAAAACAAATTGAATTTCACGTAGAGCGAAGAAGATACATACGAGGGATTTTTATTTATAAAAAGAAATTCTTTTGCTTCAACTTTTTCTTCGTTTCTTCTTCATCTTCGTCTTCTTCTTTCTCTGACTTTAATCAATTATTTCCGAATCAATATCGTGTATCATTTGTTGGTGACATGTGCTTCGACAACTCAATTTATCATTTGAAAGACTCTTCTTCCTACGCGAACTCTTGTTGTTGTTGCAAAAATGTGTAGTAGTTAGATATACACAAAAAAAAAAGAAAAATTAATTGCTTTTCGATCGACGATGAAGCGAGTTCTAACAGTTGCGCTCCATGGGATATCCGAGACTGCTGTGGTGATAGTGAAGATTAATTAAAAACTTTCAGGCATCGACACGACTTCGAAATTATTAGCAATTACTTCTGTATGCGAAGTTCAATTTTTGTCATAGCTTAATGCCATTAAATGTTGTTATGTTCGTGGATATTTCAGTTTCTACGTCAGTTTCATTCATCCCCTGTTGTTATCACAAATATTTATTTAGTTATTTGATATCGTATCAATTTATTTAAACATTTTAGTGTCGGCTTGCTCAATGTAAATATGTACCTTTAATAGAGCTCAAATGAGAGAATTTTATTAAAGCTTTTAAAGTTTTCTGTTTTCCAGATTAACAAAGCAAATTGACTTTCCAGCATTATTCACGTTAAGCGGGCTTACCGTAAAAAATTGAAAGCTCCAAATGCTCTTAACTTATTTAATTCATTTTTTTATTTTGACTTTAACAGTTGCGTTTGAATCTTATTAGATTATTTGAAGAAGACTTTCATTTGAAGAAGCAGCTGTATTTACGCTTTATAACTTATTCAAGGATACCCTCAATTTTATTTATCTTCATTCGTTGACATTCGCGTGATGCTATCTTTTTCCTTTCTCTTTCTTTTTATCTATTTCCGGGTTCATTTCTAAATTTTTTATAACTCAAACGTTTCACTTTTTTTTCAAGTTACTCTATTTAACCATCAGTCAACATGTCACAGACAGCTTTTATTTCTTAGAAGCATTTTCTTGCTGTTGTCGCAACTCGTTGAAGTAGAGTTACAAACAAGTTGTGTTTTATTTTCATTTTACCACTAAATTGCAAAATTTCATGTTTTCGTCTAGCAAATATTTTCCTCTCCGTTCATGCTTCTATAGGTCGCATTACATTCACTCTATTTGCTTCTCGAGAATGAGTGTAAGAAGAAAAAAAAGGCAGCCTTATGAGGCAAATTTATTCGTTATCGATCGACGAGTATTTTTCCTTGAGCTTCGAAAAATATATTTTTAGTCCCTTTTTGCCGATTATTACGTTCATACACACTCTTCACTCATGTTATGTATGTTTGTACACGATGTGTGTCGTAAATATCCCGCAAACCAACATTTCACCCGAAGAGGAAAAAACCTTATCGTAAACTTAGAATTCATAAATTTTGTACAATGAATTTTATGTTTCGCCCCTTTTTAAGTGTCAAAAGTGAGCCGTTTAAAAAAAACGAAAAACGCTTCAAAGCTTTCGATGCATATTTCAACGAAATGGATAAACACTTTTTGCTTTTAAATTTTCCAAGTCAGTTCACTTGAATAAATTCTTGTGCCGTTTATTTCGAGACTTAAAGCGATGTGGTGTCGTCAAGTATTAGCATAATTTTTAACCTTACATTCAATAGTTGAGATTTCAACATGAAATTGAATAGAAAAAAGTTTTTCGTTTCCTTTTTGTCGAAATTGAACTATTTTTGTGTAAAATATTTTCTACCAAAATCACTTTTCTTTTTTAGACTTTCTTATTATTGCACAACATTGTCACCAACAAATTAACAACGAAATTTTATATTAATCTCGTTGATCTAGCCATAATCCATCAATTAAGAAAATTACCTTCGAGCATTGCTAGAACTAATCCAATTATCCAAAATTTATACATTTGGTATATGATCTAAATAAATATTTTCACGGGGCTATAAAAACAATGACGACTGTTACGATAGCAGAGAAAATCCAATAATCCTTAATTTCATCTGTAGAGACACACAAACTCGTCCTTATTTTGTTGCTTGTGGCTTTTACGAGATTTTAAATTATTATGTAATGTGAATGAGTATAGTTTCACTTGCTGCCTTTTTGAGGCATCTCATTATGTTGCTTGCTTTTAAACGCGGAAATTGTCCCACGTTATAGCACAACAGGAAACAATAGTTCACTATAATCTCTCACTTCCTTCTTACTTTTTGCCTTTTGCTTTCTCTTTGGATTTTAATTATCTATTTTGATTTTTATATGCGCTCCTGTTTTGAATCTTCTTCCAAAGAGCTTTCAACGGGAACTGAGTGATGAAACAACATGCAAAGGATTTTATACATTTTCTGTTGGTAGAATTGGAACGATTCTCTTCTTTGTACGACAAAAACCACGTTTTGGAATGATTTTCACGTCGGCGCGTAGTGATGAAGCAATTTTTTCTTCCAGTAAGAGAGTAAAATAATCCACAGAATGTTTGTCACAAATTCGAATCTTTAAAAGCCACAAGGAGCAAAAACTTTTTAATTCCAAAAGCAAACAGCTGTTTTTCATCTGATTCGAATGATTTTTCTTGAGCATTTCCACATTTTCCCATTCTCCACTTAATCACTCCACCGCTGACATAAATGTAAACGTTGTTCTATTATTTTTGAAAGTATATTTACAGTTCCCCAAGATTAACAATGAAGATGAATTTACTTTTCCTCTAAATGTTTCAACAAAAAACTGCTGCGGAATTAAATGTTTCTTTTCCTCTTAATGAAAATATTTTCAGATTTTCCTTCTCGTTCAACATTTCGGTCTTTCGTAGTCATTGTCACAAAAAAACAAGCAAACGAGCTTGAATTCCAAATGATTGTTAACAAGACTTTTTAAGCTATGTGTGACAAGTTAAGAGATAAAAAAAACCCAAAAGAAAATCGGAAACCGAACCGTCAAAAAAAACAAGTGGAAAATCAATGGCAAGTTTCATGTTATCTGCGTGTGTCTGTACACATTTTATTTCCAATTGTGGCGCACATTTCTCCTTTCACATACCCCATTTGACATCAATACCTTCAAGTCATTTCAACTTTTTTTTCTTCTTTTTTTATTATATTTGCCTTGTTTTTGTTTTCTTTCAATATAATGTGCTACCGCTTGTTGTGTTGTTAAGCGAAAAGCAGTTACAAGTGATTTGGGAAATCCTTTCAATCACTTGAAAGAAAATATCAATTTCAGAATGGAATTTTTTATTTTCTTTTTCGTCTTTGTTTTGCTTAGAGGTAGTTAAGTGGATTTGATGCGAGTTGATTGATTGGAGATGCTTGAATTGGTTACGACGATTGCTCAGCTCTGCAAATATTTCAATTGAACATAAGAACATGAGAATTATTTTCTCACTTATCGATGTTAGATTTGCATAAAAGTTTACTTTTACAAAGTTCTTCAAAGTTTTTCCTTTTCAATTGAATAAAGGGGAAAAGACCTTAATGATCTGCCTTTTAACTATTTAATTGACTTCCTCACTAGTTTCGGAATAGAAACTTATGTTGAAGTCGGGTCTAAGCTAGTTTCATAAAATATTGTTATGGTGTCCTTAAAAATCTCTCAAGCTAGTGATTTAAATAGACAAACTGCGTAGATCCGAGTCATGACCCTGATGGAAATATCTCGTTTTCTGACACATATATCTGCCATGGAATATCCAATGATATTAGAAAACGTTTACAAATTCCTCGAGAATTGGCATAGCTATATTCCGTTCATCTCTTTAAGCCTTAAGTGTTCTAAATTCGATTCAAGACGGAGACAAAGTCTTGTGATATGTCTAGCTTTAAAAGGATCCCATCGATTTTTCGAAAAGAAAAGAAAGTATTTTGAAACTGAAAATTCTATTTTCTTTAAACGAAAAAAATGAAAGCAGATAGAAAAACATTCGAATAAGTCCTGAGAAGAAATCAAATTCTGTCTACCCAAAATAATTGTGTTTATTCAGCAGAGAAATGTTCCTTGAAGAACGGAAAAAGACAAACTTAAAATTGGATAAAAACCTCTTTTTTTTCTTGTTATCTGTGAAGAAATGGAAGGGTGAAAGTATCATAAATAAATTATACGGACTTCAATGCCTCTTGTTTACAACCCCCAACATCATATTCAAATAATTTCATTTCATAAATAACGCTTTCAGTTCTCATATAAATTATCAGATCTGCCACCCTTTGTAAAGCTAAAAAAAAGGAAAAGCCAAAACTTTAACAATAACAAGTAAACTTCCTAAGGACACAAAAAAGAAAACAAAAAATCTAACCAAGTCTGAGTACACAAAACTGCTCGCAGTGTGGCGTGACTTAATAAAAGAGTTGGCCACAATTTTATGTGAAACGAAAATTATTATGTGTGCATCTATTAATTAACATGATATCTACTTAAATTAATACTACTTATGCTTTACTTCTTTCCATACAGTTCTTTTACTTTGTACAGTTGGATTTCTTTGAATTATTTACTGATTAATCTTAATGCGTGACATCACATTCAAAAAATTTATTCGAAATGATTTCAAAGAGTAGAGTGAACATAAATAGAACCAGCATGCTATGTAAAGCAAACTCTGTGGCAACAAACCACACACGAACCATTCAGAAGCATTACTGTATGAAACAGGAAAACATTTTTTTTGTAGTCCGTTTAAAATGATGGATCAAAGAGTGTCTTGCGTGTTTTGTGGCTGTTTTATGACTCGACAAGTTTATTTCAAAGCCTTATACATAAGTAAAAAACACTAATTTGAGCACTTCATTTAATACCGTCAATTGAGCAGCAAGCCGCTATTATGGAGAAGTTTCAGGAAATGTTAATTTTTTTTGAGAATTTGTCATATTTGAAATTCAATTTTCTCAACCAAGAATTTCTGGCGAAAATTTACGACGTTATTTCTATCCTTGGAAATTTGCTATTGACATCAATGTTAACATGTATTAAGAGATCACCATAGAAACTTTATTCGTTCAAATTCATAAAAAATAAAGATTAAAAATCAAATGATGACATCAACGAAATCTGCACTGAATATGATGCTGATCCCCATGGCGCAAATATTCTGTATGAATGACATGCGACTGATGGTCCCACACATTCTTCAATTGTTATAATGTTATTGCAAGCCTTTTGAGGTTTAAGGCCTGACTTTTTGCCTGATATGATCCAAACAGTCATGTCGCTACCCTTTTTCAACTTTCAAATATGATCCGTCAAAAAAAGCAAGCAAGCTCGTGGAACTTTGTAATCATAGCTATTATCGCTGATTATTTTAATCCAATGCCGTTCATGAACGTTGACTCGTTGAATACTTGCTGGATTATAATCTGATTAACTCTGTTTTTGTGGCTTAAACCATTTCAAAATTTGATCACTTTATTCCCAAACTCACTGTTTAAGTTGTCAAAGGACATGCTACAGCACACCTGGCAGATGATATTCATCTTTTATTAAAGATCATTTAACCACAAACATGAATTTCTATCGGATTTAAACGATAAAAGAAAGCTTCATTGCCATTTGATAAAATGCCACTTTATTGACAACATTGGTGCAAAAGTAGACCAAACATGACATAATATTTGTGCAAACAATCTTTTGTCCTTGAACAAATATTGACCAAACAATACAACACAACACAGCACTTTAAGAAACGAAAATTGACGATAACAATTATCAGAAGATAAAATGACAATCTCAAAACTTGAAAATATTTTAATGATTAGTTGAATAAAATTTCATTGAACAATTTTAAATATTTTTGCCATCAGAATTTCACTTTTTTAAACACTATGCAAAAACATTCCCAGTTGGAAATTAAGTCCGCTGTTCTCGGCAATCCAATCAACATAGGGTGCAACACTTGTGAACACACCTAAATAAATTGTACACAAATGAGAAATTTGATTATGACTTATTAAATATTTGTTTAACCTGGGTACGGTGCAACAGTACACGGTTTAATAGACCATGAAACAATTCCGACTTGCACTCCAAGCGACATAAGTGGTCCACCTAAATTACCATCAATTGTCATTTCTACACATTGAATAATTAATTTTTTTCATTGAAATACAAACCTGAGTCGCCTGTGAATTCACAACGTAAAATTATAAAAGAACATTTCAGTTTTAATTAGGATTTTAAACTTTATGATTAAGTTGAAAGCATTTTACCATTGCATTGACCTTTTCCACCTCCAGGTACTCCTGCGCAAATATTATTGTATAACAACCATCCTGGTTGATGAATTTGAGCGCAATCATATTGATTGTAGATTTGTAAATCAACCTTTTGAAGAATTGTGCTGATTGGCATGCCAGTTCCTATTCTACCCCATCCTAATAAGTATGATTTAAATGTTTTTGTTAATAAGCATGATGAAATTATCAGATCAAACTAACCAGCTAACACTGCTGGTATGCCAGTTGCAAAATAAGCATCACGAACAGGCAAACGAATCTTGAAGTCAAACAAATTTATGTCAAGATGAGATCTCACTTTCATCAGGCCAATATCGTCATTAAGGTTTGCCTCATCATAATCTTCATGCCATATCAATTTCTCAACTTGTCTTGTTTTAAAGCTTCCAGGCGTTTCCGTGACGTGTGTTGTAGCATATTCAATAGCGTATGATTCTGGTTCTTCATCGTAAATGCAATGAGCGGCCTGTAAATAGTTCATGTTAATTAAATAAGATCAACAGAATCGAAACAGAGAATTACGGTCAAAATCCAATATTCATTCAAAATCGATCCACCACAGGTATGCCAGGATAAAGTCTCATTGTAAATATAAATCAAAGATACAATGAAGGGAAACTCTTCAATTTTTGCATCAGTTCCATTAACAATGTACGGAACTACGCTGACTCCATCTCTGAACTTTAGAGGAACAGCTGAAATTGTATTTATTGAAAAATAAATTAATAATAATTTAAAAATCATCTTGTCAATGTTTGTACGCAAGGCAGAGAATAAACTGACAGATTAATTGAAAAATAATCAGATTTTAGTCAAAATGCTATCGTTGAGCACTGGCTAGATTAGATTAATGACGGAAGCTTTTACGACTGCGAGTCATAAATCAGAAGTTGATTGGACTTGGACTAGATTGACAAAATTATTTCTCAATCGCGATAAATTCAATTTGAAGAGTTTTAAAACTAATCTCAATCCTAAATAGAAGCGAAAGGAATCTTTATCGAAAAATTGAAACTTTTCAATTATAGCATTATTTATTTAATTATTTTATTATCACAATCATGTTGAATAAGACAGACTAGCAAATTTAATTCATTTAAAATGTGTCCCGATATACTTTCCAAGGTGAGATAACTAAAATATTTACGACTATTAAGATGGATAAGTGATTGATATGATTCCTAGAAATTTTAATTTTAAAGTTTCGTAAGAAAACTCATAAATAATTTGTGCTTGCAGCTTTGAGTTTAGATAGAGTTGTGAACTTACCAAGGAACAAAATTTCACTAAAACTTGAAATGTTTCAAATAGGAAAAGAAAATTTGATACTTACATGGAACATGAAACTTTTTCACTTAAGTGAAGTTTCTAAAGTTTCTTTGTTAAAACCTTTTATCTTCATACGAGAAAGACTGAATAATCTTGTTTAAACTGAACAGACTAAGTAATTAGATACTCTCATATTTTCTTAGAAAAACTCTTACGAGTAGAAAGCATTATTTATTTTAATAAATTGATATAGAAAGCTTTTGAAAGATGTTGAAGCTTTAGAGGGAATATCGAGTCATGGCAACGTTCTGATCTCATTTTTTACTAGAATTATCTACACTAATGCGTTGATGTGTTAATATTGATTAAATTTTACACAAGATTTTAATAACTTAAGAAGTTTAATAAATTTTAAAGTTTTCCCTGTTTTGAAATTTAAATAAAAAATTTATGCTTTGATCATATTTTATGTTGCTGTAAATATTATTCATGCCATGAGAGATTCATTCAATTTATTTATTTTGCAATTCTTTCAGATTGCTGAAACGATAAAAATCAAAGGCGTTTGTAAGGTTTTATTATTATTTTCCGATAGTAAAAAGGTTTCAAAGAAATATGGGGAGGAGAGACGAAGAAGCCTCAACAAAAACTGGCCATTTCATGAATAATTCAGCACAGATTGAATGTTACTTAACAAGCTATTCAATGGTCAGTTGTTTAAATTTATGAAGAGAGTTCTTCATGTGCTTCCATCCATTCAAATTTTATGTATTGGTGATGAGAGATTGCTAAGCCAAAGTATGAAATTCGAATTGTGGGTTCAAAAATCTTTTTCTGTTCGTTGGTCTGTAAATAATGGACGAACAGAAAGGTAAATAAAAATTAAAAAAAGGGATTTTATACTAGTGAATTATGAAATGGTTTCAAAACTAAAGTTATTAAATTCCTATGTCGATTAGAGAAATAAATTTGATTTTTTCATCAAACATATTCCTTAATTTTTATGTCACACTGCAATTCCAAAGTTTTCACCAATTCTGAACTCAATAGCAATGAAGTCGAGAGGAAAAATAAAACTAAAAAAACGAACTGACAATGCTGATAAAGTCAAGCGAGTTGAGAAAAAGTTTTTCCGTGCATAAATTTCAACATTTTTTTCCAAACATTTGTGAAGAGAGAAGTTGATGATGAAAAACTGTTACAAACTTATGAAGTGAGTGAACAAAGTTTTTTAACTTCAAAAAGTGTTTCCAATTCGTCAAAGAAGAGGGAAAATTATCTTGTAAAAAAAGCACAAGAAATAAAAGCAAAAGGGATCTAAATAGAGAAGAAGAATAAAAGGCAAGTACAGTTGGTGTTCTTTTGATGGGATTACACAAAATAGATTTTATTCAAGCTGAGATTTAATGTCGTTCTCATCTTCATTCATTCTTAAGCGTTCGTGAGTAATCCGGTCTTTTATATTTCAACATTACTTTTTCAACCGCGAAAATTTTCTTTCTGAGTCATAGCAACGAAAAAGGATGAGCAGCAGCAGCAGTAGAAAAAGAAAGAGAAATTGTATTAAAATATGCGACACATTTCAAAATTTTTGTGAATTTATGCTCGATGAAACCTGAGCGGATTGTCTCGGAAGCAGCTTTTTGCTGCTGCGAACAGCACCAGGAAATATGTACAACACAAGATTGCTTTCACACCCACAACAAAATACTTCTGACATCTTTTGAATGTGATATTGTATAACGAGGAAAAATGCTTTATCGGGTGTAGGAGTGCGTATATAAGCCATAAATATTTTATGTTCTTATCACACATTAAACAAAGCTAAAATGACGTCAATGCAGAATTTTAGCATAACAGGAAGAATCTTCTAGATGAAAACATGTCTATGAAAATGTTTTTGCAGACGATCATATATAAAATCAATAATAATAAATGATACGATTATGTCAGATTATGTTGAGTCACGCAGTGATAAACGGGGAAAAATTTGCGTGAATAAAACATGAGCAATTTTGCGATGAAAATAATTTGAGTGAATTATTGAAAGGAAAGAATATTTTATTAAGACATAATTCTAAGGATAAATCAGTTGAGTTATTCAATATTTCATACGTTTTTCGCTTTTCAATCGATGGCCTAATGTCTAATAGTCTCATAAGTAAAAGATATTCTTTGCGCCCCAAGGAGGGAAGCCAACCAAACCAACAGGCAAAATGTCATCAAACAGATGTAAGATGTCGATAAAAGACACGTTTCTAGCTAATGTGTATTTGCAATCACAAATCGAATTTTCGTCTTCGATATCGCATGAAATATGAGGTCGATTTCGGCTTGTAAATTATTTATGGTGAAGGCAATTTCCTCAAATTCCCAACATGGGAGTAAACATCAATGTATGAGAATAAAGTATTCATGAAGAAAATCAGTTTTGGCTTCCGACATGACTTTGCGAAATTGGAAAGCAGAGGAAAGTTGGTTAATAGAGAAGCCGGAAAGAGTGATTTCAGTTGGGAATTGCGTGATTGGGAGCAATAATTTCTTAAATTATGTTGAGCATTTCACAAGACACGGAAAAATTGCTTTCGGTGTTGAAATCGCTATAAACAACGATTTCAAGTTTACCCTTCTTCTTACTTCTACCTCTTATAAAACGTTTTAAGTTTTGTTTAGCTTCCTGATGTATGTACGTGAACTACAATCTCAGTTGCATTCAAAACTTCTTCATGTTGTGTAATCAAGAAGTTTTGAAGTTTTGTCGTCTCTTTTTACTTGATGTTGGTTGGAAAAGTCACAAAAACTAATCTGTCGTAGACAGAAAATTTCAAGAAAACATTGAAAACAGACAGAAACCTGCAGAAACAATTTTTAAAGGAAATAAGAACAAAACAAACTTCTACGTCGTCTAAAAAGAAAAATAAAATTCTTCTATGCTTGGTTAATGTTCCACTTGGTGGTTGAGTTTTTTCTTTACTTTTTGCCAAGGATTTTTCTTTAAGCGTGTCACTTTCATTATATTATTAAGAAAATTATAAAAAATAATTGAGGGTAAAAATAAAGAAAACAAAAGTCTTACTCGGATTAATATTTGAAATTTAATCAGCTTAAGGTAGACATTTTGTTGCCATGGAAAATATTGATTTCATCTTTCCCTTTTTATTAAAATTCATCGAATACTTTGAAACTTGAGAAATTTTTGAGCATCTCATGCCAAAGATCAGAAAACAACATTAATTTGAATGCGAAATACTCAGAAATCGGTAAATCGCGATTCATGTAAGCTCTGCTGAACTATCTACTGAGATTCTAAATTTGAATATCAACATAAGAATTCCACTTTCAACAAAGGAAGAAGAAGAGAAAAAACAATTTTTAATGGATATTACCATGTCAAGAATGTTTATTTTTAAGATATTTTTCCCTTTCTCATGCGTTCTACATACCATTAGATGAAAAGCAATTTCGTATGGCAAACAAAAAAAATAAAGAAAAGTTTGTTTTTCTTTGAGTCAAAATAATGAATCTTTTAAAATCTGACATCAATGTATGCCAAGGATCTTCATTCCAACTTGATATTATTTGAAATGTTTATTTTTAAGAAATTTTTATAACATATTAAATGTCGCTTACATTGAGAAGAAAGTTTTATGATAGATTTTGAGAGAATTAAGCGCCTTGAATGGCAAATAAACATTATCGTTAGCCAACGAAATGTTTCATTAAACAAACCATCAACAAAGCACGCATGTGAATAGAGTTTTCAATGAATGTTATCTCGACCACCCGTTGATAAAAATTGTGTCCAATAAAATTTAAGTCGTCCCAAGGGATGTTCCATAAAAGCAATTCCATCAGAAAGTTTTTGTTGAGTTGAGGGAGGATTTGCCGGATATTTTTGCATAATCCTCAGCTTAGGTTGTGACACCATAACCTTAGAAGGTTTTAAGAATTTTGTTTACTTTTCCACCAGAAGCGTCTTGAAGAAGCGAACTTAAGAAACTGAAACTTTTTGTTAAACCACACGAGAAAAAACTAAAACGCTTAAAAGATTCCACTCTAAATATTTTATAATAATTTTGGATGTTTCAATGGGATTCGTGTCAAATTATGACGCACATCTCTTCGTTGATATGGTAATGATGAGAGAAGAAAAATTAGAAAACAAGATTCGCTAATTGAACCGTGCTTTTTCAAAATTAACTTTCTCGTCATCTTGGAAGAGATTTAATTTATCAAAAGATTTTACACCAACAAAAATGGTATTTTAATCTTGTTATGCTTGGCATTTTCTTTTTGTGTCGAATGAAGCCTCGAATAAGCCAATCTTATTTATGTGCTGTCAACTAAAGACCGAGGGAAATTCAACATTAATTGATGAGGGTACATGTAAGATTAGACCATAAAAGAGATTTACAATTCAGATCCGACCATACATAAACATCAAAGTAATCTCAATTTAACTAAATGTCAATAAAAGGTCAAACGAGATAAGAAACTAAAGCATTGCATAATGATTCTTTTAAGGATTTGAAAGCGAAACCACAATTTTTCTTTGCTTTGTGTTTCCGTCGATAAAACATCTTTCCATTTATGAGCTACACATAACGAAGTTTTCTCCTTAGCAACTTATGCCGTACTTTATAAATGATGTCAATATTATGATAGGAACATAAGTATCAAAGATTAAACATTAAAAGTTATCAGCTCTCACTCAACTTCCCAAGTCATCAAAGTGATAGTATCTCGTTGCCACGACTGAGAATATACATTTTCCTTTCAACACTCACACAAATCTTATGAGACATGATATTTTATTTCCCTTTGTTGTGTGGAAAACCTCAAGAAAGAAAAAAACGAAGAGAAAATGTCAGAGAAAAAAGGAAAATTTGTGGCTTTTATTGCCTTTCATCAACATCATTTTCGCAAGATTTAATGTCTCATAAATTTGCCTCATTGTATCAGAAAACGAAGATAAAGCATCATATTTCTTTCGAGAGCTGAATGTATTTGAACATTGGTTGTGCAAAAGGAATGGAAAAAATTTCTAAGCTAAGCTCAAGAGGAAGAAGAAAAAAAATTTAATGGAAAAAGTAAATATCAGGTTTCCAGAAAATTTCTCTCAGCTTTGTGTACGAATGGATATGCACTTAACTAAAGAAAATAATTAAATTTCTTTCTATTCAGATTCCTTAGTATGATGTAAAAGATGTAATTTGTGAAACAAAAAAAGTTACATAATTACCGTAATCCATCTCCATTATGAAACATGACAGAAATTTCCTCACGGCAACTTTTTCTTTCTGTTCTTTCCACTTCTTCTTTATTTTCAAAGTTATAAATATTGCAGAATATTTGTCAAGTTATTTATGGTGAGAACAAAACGAGATGGTGACAGGCACCCCTTGAATAGAAATGTAAAAGTTTGTCATCTTTTCGAACATTTGATAAGCTGATATCTAAAGAAAGACTTCAAAACAAATTTCAGCAAAGTTCTTTCATCACCAATACGTATTTTCAACCCTACAATGTAAACAGAGGGTGAAAAGAAAAACTGTTGTGAAAGTTGACAATTTCGTTTCTTCTGAAAAATTCAAATTTCCCAAAAATGTTTGTCTTCGAATCAGATGTTAAAATTCAACAGCAGCACTAAAAATGCGCAAAATAAATGAATAATTCATAGAACTGAAGTTGAAGAAAATTGAAAAATTTAAATGAGATATTCATGCATACGAATATGCATTTGAACTGAATTTCAACAATAAAATTCATCTCAAAGATCCACTTAGAAAGGAAGAGATTTCGAATTGGGCGTCGTCATATGTTGATCGAGAATAAATTACCATCAAGCTCTTGATTTATTACATCCAATGGAAGATTAAATGTTGGATTATCTGTAGATATTTGAATAATTAACTCAAAGCTCATAACAACATTCGAACCATTGCATAATTCTAAGGATAAATTTATGTTTTACTCAGCGTCATTCAATTTGATTCCAATGGTCGAGTGACTCAGAAAAGAATTAAGAATAATCAAGCAAGAAATCCCTCTTAATTTTATATTTTTATATTCATGAGAAAATCTGTTTGTCGACAATGATAATTCGCATATCTCCAAGGAAATCATCGTCGAAATTATTTTCAATTTTTTTCTCTTTGCTTTTGCTTTTGCTTTCATAAGAAATGGATTTAGGAAATAAAGAAAAATCATTTTTCTCTTTATTTCCAATTTCTCATCAGCTTCAGCTCGAAATCTCCGCCGAAATGAAAACAACAAAAGTTAAATCACCATTGAGAGTTTTATCTTCATGAAAATTAATGATGTTGTGTTTTAAGAAGAGGTGGGGATGGGAGAGAATATATTTCACGAAAAAACGAACGAAAAAAAAGTATTTGAAGGAAGTTGTGATGGCAGAAGAGAATGAAAACGAAGAAAAAAAGAAATCTTTTAACGAGTTTTTCTTTGAATAATTCTTTATGGAAATTTATTGAAAACGAATACTTTTCCATCATTTTCTTAAGAAGCAATTTTTAATGATAAATGCTTACTTATGTAGATTTACGGGAAGAAGAAATTCTAAATTTGGCAAATAAAGATTTTCATCAACAATCACTGTGAAAAATGTTATTTGTGATTACTACGTAGCGGCCAAAACAGCAACAAAGAAAATTGAAGTTGTGAAAACCGTTTGATGAACGTTTAATGGATGGAAACATAAACAGTTCTTTTAAAGCACTCATGACGCACTCTAAAGGCTTGTTTGTTGATTCTGAATTCATAACGATATCATTTTGTGGAGACAATATAAAGATGATGATAGTCTTGTCAGTGGATAAGAACTTCATGATGCATTAAGAAGTGTTATCTTTGTTTTATGATGATCGAATCCATTATTCATGTGTTTCATGTGATGTTGAAATATTCATGGTTTTAAAGGATCACAATTTTCACTTTAAAATTGAAATACATAGATGAATATCATGAATTTATTTTTTAAACTCATGCAATTCATTTTTAAGAGAAATGGTTTTCTTCGTTCTAAGAATACCTTAAAGAGTTGAAACATTTTTCTTACCATAACTTGAAAAAATTTAAGGGCACATTCACGGGCAGTTTCTCACGTCGAGCATTGTTGTGTATAATCTTGTTTAAACATTAAGTATCGTCGTCGTTTCCTGCACGCAACGTTTCAGTTTTAAAGTTTTTCTCTATGAAATGGAAAAATAAAAAATTCACTTTCTCAACGAGAAGAATCAAACTTGAACAAGCACTTGTACACTTGGATTCATAATTTTTTCATAACACAACTTTTAAAGCCTTCCACGATTTTATTTAATTGACTGTGAATCTCTTGAAGCAAATTTATCACATTGTCCTAGAAAGATCACACCCAATCCAATTTGTCGATACTTCTGATGCTGCTTAGATGTCTTTGCTGTTCAAATCAAACCTCTTCACTTTCTTCCCACCTGAGATAATTTTAAAGATATTTTGTTTAAACAGTTGGAAGACATTGACGAGCTCTGATGAGAAATTTTCTTAATTTCGATCCATTTTATTTTATGATGCCTGTAGAACTCAACTGAAGTTATTGAATTTTATTCATTCAAAGAAAACATCAATAAGCTAGCAATGGACTAATATAAAAATAAAATTCACACAGAACTTATTGATGGTTTTCTTCGAATGAACTTTTCTGAAATTATTTTTCACTTGAAGTACTTTTGTCAATGAAAGTCGAACGAACAATGATTTAATTTCAAAATACTCGCTAATTTATATTAAAATGTTTGTCGTGATCACCTCATGTTTACCTAAACGTAGTTCGTCAATGAGCATTGTTTCCTCTCGCTCAATTTCTCTTAATTGTTTGAGTAACTCAAGAAGCTTCAATTATCAAATAAAAACAAAAAATTTCAATATTGCTTAAGGGTGTGAAATCGTTTGTTGAATTATTTTTAATTAATCATGAAAGATTCATTCTATACTAATTTAACAGTAAACGTCGTAAGTAATTAATACTGGATGAAATTAACAAGTTTTGATCATAGAGATGCTCACCTGCTCGACTCATTTTGTTCTTGTTGCTGAGGTCGACGATTTTCGTCCGTGAATTTCCCCTCGTGAAAAATGATACTTTGACGAATATCTTAATTGTGATTGCCGCAAAGGAAAATCATGTTATCGAAAGAATTGTTACAGAAATAATCATCCCTGTCATAAGGAAATTAGTACGATTTGTACATAAAAACTCGCCATCATTAGATCAGAAGCTTAGCTTGGGGATTTTCTTTCCATGGCATTTTGAAAATTGATACGAAATTCTATCTCATCGTCTACATAAAGACGGTCAAGCACTTATCCTAATGGATTTGAGACCCTACTCATACATTTTAAATGTACAATAAATTATTTCAAGAAAGAATCATTGGCTTAATTATTGCAAGATTATTTTTATTTCTGACGTTAGTGTGAAAAACTTTTAAGACATTTTTACCTTAAATTATCTAGAATTAAAAATATCAAGCAGATAAAAACTAATATTTCTTACATGTCAAAATTCATTGTTAATTAAAGTGTAAACATGGAGAAATGTGAATGATCAATGAGATAAAATATTTAATAATTAAAAAATCTTATGAAGAGTAAAAGCTTTTATCTTAACATCAAACCTTAAAAAAAGCTTCATGAAAAATTTGCTTGAATTAAGAATGCAAATTGTAAGGTTAGATAGAAAGTAAAAGCACGCCATTATGGCCCGAAACCATTTCATCTAATTAAGTTGATTTGTTATGACCCAGGAAAACTCATTTCATGAATAATTATTGCACGTTAAATACAATGAAAAAGAAAGTTTCCACATTGGTTGGAGGCTTTTTTTTCATCTTGTGGAACAAAAAACAAAAACTTGCTGCCGAATTCATTCTTTTCGTTTGTTAATAATTAATGGGCTTTGTGGGAAACTTTCTGTTACTCAGTTTCACTCTCGATTCTATTCTCTTCTTTGAATCTCCAACCGCTTCCCCCTTTTTTAATTACGTTGCTGTTCTTGTTTAGGGCTCTTGAGAAACAAAAAGGGGAAAAAGAATGAATGAAAGAAATAAAAAAAAACTTTAGTGGCCGTTGTAAGTACGAAATCTAGACGAGCTCGTTTTAAGATAAATCAATTATTTATCATTTTCCTGATTTGCGCCACATCGAATTAATCCTTGAAATTTCATTAAACATTCCATTGAAATCTCCGTAGATTTAGCGAGGATTGGGATATTATTAGGAGTTTTTTTATCAATATTTTATACCACTGACTGAAACGATATCTCGAGTTTTACGATAATGGGGAATAATAGAAATGGAATGCTATTATTAGCCATAAAGTTACATTCAAACATAGAAGGAAAGAAAAAGATGAGAGTGAGAAGGAGAGTACGGCAATTTGAAATATTGATTCCAATATCTTCTATTTCAAGACCTTTTCTCAATCGTTTTCTTCCGCTTTCAATGGCTTGTTTGTATTTTACGTCACATCGATTTGCAAATATTATTATTTATCCTAGAGATTCATAGAATTGATGTTGTTTTCCTTACTGTAGCATAAAATGGATTTAAGAAGATTTATAGTTGTGGTTTCTTTCAATTTCCAAATGTTTTGCTTCATTTAAAATAATTTTCAAACTCTTTTCCATCAACACATTAAATTTTAATTAAAATCATCAAAAAACAAAAATTTTCAATTAATAGTTAAACAACTCTGATTATTTACTTCATTTATTTTAATTAATCTCTTGTATGATAATAACTGCAATTTTTTTTCATTCGTACGTGCAAACATTAATGTTTTTATTGGAGTGGCTACTTCTTCGCTGAGAGTAATTTAAAATCACTCGAGATTTTAATTAAAACTGAAACAAAGTCAGTAATTTTATGTGCTTAAATTTTTAAAATTGTTCTTCATAGTCGTTATGTTCAACATTGTGATATTTATGCTGCCAAAAAATTAAAATGATATTTAATGACAGTGATATAAAAAACCGACAGCGAATTCAGTAATTTGAGTTCAGTTTTTGTAACAAAATTGGTCAAGAAAAATCAGCAGCTTGGAATCAAATAGCGTGACATGATGATATGTATGTAATTAAGTTTATTACATTTCTTTTTTCACAATATAATGGATAACTCATTTGCTATTACTTTTGCTGTCTAAGCCTTCAATTGCTGTTCTTTTAAACCCTTCTCAGGTTGTAGGAGTCGAAATAGCCTTCTGCCTTCATTCACCATTGATGTAAATTGATGATAGTTTGAGAAAATCGCCATAAGGTTAGATCGTTAGCATGTATCTAATGCTTTCTTGTTTACTAATTAACGATTGATGTTTCGTTTCCTAATTGGAAACATTAATGACGCAAGCAAACACATCTCTGACACATTTTCTATATTGTTGTGTAATAAAAAAGAATAAAAAGAGTTATTGGTTGGGTAGCTTATCTTACATTATTATCAATGTACCTAATACTTAATTTCGTTGGAGTGTATGGCTTTAATCTAATTTAATTTCTTCTTTCAAAAAAAGCTTCGTTCACATTAAATGTAGCATCTAAAATTATTCGAAATCATTGAAATGCTTTACGTACTGTTGACTTACTTCTGAACTCATCAACGATTGTTAGGAAAGACGGAACGGAAACGTAGATAAATTATCTACTTTTCTTGTTTGTTTAGAAGTAATGGTTTGTTGTTCGGTTGGCCTCAATAAACTTGTGTCAATTTCAGAAACAAACATTCGAACCCAGAACATTGATGAGCCTGAAATTAGAAAGATGAATGACGTGGGTTGACAGAAACATTGTGGAAGTATTTGCTTTCTCGTCATTGGATGTTTTAGATTTCCGCTTTCTTACTCAGTTGAAACCTTTCTATTTTTAAGCCTAACTGTGCGTATTGATTTAGATTTGCTTTTTTTTCTTTTTCGATTTACTTTTAAAGCACGTTCACTTTTAAAAATTGCTACTTTCCTCTTGTTATTTTGTATCAATATTTTTCCTTCTATAATATTATGGAAGGAGCTTGAGTTAGTAAAATGATGTCTTCTACATACCCGTAAATAAATATGACATTTTGAAGTGTTTGCCTTAAACTTCTCTAAAGTAATATATTTTGATTGTTTTGAAACACGTAATAAGTATCACTAATTCTAAAACACCGCATCGAAATCATTTTTGATAAACATAGATGGAAGAAGAAAAGAAAAGAGCTCACGACTCTAGAACCACTAAGAAAAGAGAGGAAAATAGCTACATTAAGAAATGGAAAAAATAAAAATATTTTTTGTGAAATTCCTTTCGTTCCCTCTTTGGCATATAAAGTTGAAAAAATTCTGAAAAAACACAACATCAATCCTTATTTTACAACGAATGGAAACTTGAAAGACTTACTTGGAAGCTCCAAAGACAAGATCCCGATGAAAGAAAAACCTGGAATTTACGAAATTAGCTGTGCAAATTGTCCAAGCAAATATATTGGACAAACTTATAGAAGATTCAGCGATCGGTTTAAAGAACATAAGAGATATTTCAGGAAGGGACAAAGAAAGAAATCTGCTATGGCCATGCATTGCATAGATGAAACACACGAAATGGCTGAAGGCAAGATAATCAAAGAAGTAAGAGACGAGAGACAATTGGACGCTTGGGAAAGTTTGTACATAGAAAATGGAACGGAACTGACGAACATTGACGATCCTCCGATAAAGTCAAGTCTTTTCAAAATTGCACTCACACATTGACGTGTACTGAGAGATAATCCTTAGTACGAATCGAGATTCTGATGATGATAGCCGATGCGCTATCGAAATGCGCATAAATAAGGTAAACTTAGTTAAAGTAATAAGTAATAAAAGTGTTCGGTATTCGTGTTCAGTGTTTTAGAATTCTCTAAAGTATTTTGGTATGTCAAAGCAGAGTTTAACAATTTAGATGATTTTGTTTATGTTAAAATCCTCTAGAGCTTATCCGATCACAAAACAATCTTCCAAATAGTTTTTTATTTTCACATGTCAATCGTCTGAAGCAACTTCATTACTTTTAACAATTTTTAAGCTTTCGTTTGATTATAAAAAATATAGCCGGATTTTAGCATAAAAGTTCTAAAGTTTTATTTTTTTGCTTGGCAGAAGAAAAAGACAAGAAAATAGAATCACCAAAGGGATTCAAAGGATTTCACTCTCCTTTAGTCGTTCAAAACATCAACCGAGAGAATGTTTGCCCGTAAAAAAAGGGCATGTTGGAATGTAATCCCTTTTTATCTCCTACACGCCGTAGACCATTTCGACTTATTGAAAAGAAAATTTATGGTTTCATACGGACAAGTGAAAATATAAAAGTTTCAACAAGCATCTCACATGTTCATGTAAAGCTCTTTTTGTGTACTCGTTGAACCTTTTTTGTGCCGTAATTAACCTTTTTCGAAACGCATTTATTTTTAATCATGTTACGACCTATTTTTGGATTAGGGCAACATTTTTCTTGTGATGCTTGAAGTGAAGTCTTATAAATTCAAATAAATATGAGTGAATAGTCATAAAATTTACTGTCTTGGCCCGAAAGCTTTTCGAAGTTTGAAAAATTAATTTCTTGTTTCATGAGAAAAACAATTTCGGATTCACTTTTAGTAGTCGTAAATGAAAGCAAGCTTCGGCTCATAAATATTGATGAAGTCTTAGTTCTCTGTTGCTGAAACACTTGCTTAATTAATCGAGTACAAGTCGTAATGGAACTGTTGAAAGTAAGCTTACTTGACCATTTTATCGTTCATTACAAACATTAAATAACATAATCTTACTTGCAGTTATAATGAAGTAATTCATCAGTCCTAGTAGCGTGTAAAAATGTTTAAAACTATAAAAAACTTTATGCCCGCAGTTTTAAACGGTTCAACCGTGAGTATTAATATTTACATTTTAAATTCCTTTTAAGTTATTACAGGCAGTTTCATTAGTATAAAATGTGTAAAGTAGTTTAAGTTGACTATAAAATGAAACTACGATATAAAAAAATTCTATAATTATGTTTTCATGACATTTACTTACTTAGTTATTAAAATTCTCGTATATACCTCGTTATAGAAGCAGTCTCATTAAAAATAGAAAAGATTGAGATATCTTAAAGTAAATGAAATCCGCAAAACAAATATTTGTCAGTTGCAAACCAACAAATTGTTGTTGCATAAAAAGGGAGCGAGCTGTTGATGCGATATCTTTTATTTCCGCTGCTATTCTTCCAAAAAGCAATAACACAAAATATTTATTGACGTAATCTATCGGAGAAATAAAAAATCAATAGCTGGAATGAATAGCGACGGAAATTGAAATTTATATCAGCAGTGTCAATAAAATTCTTTGTTACAAAAGCAACGGGCAAAATAAGTCTTTCAATTTCCGGATTTGTTTTCTTCATCTTTATTCTCAAATAAGCTAAAAGGAGAAATTGAATCATACCAGTTAATGTTTGGGGCTTGTTATCAGCCTTTGAAATAAGCTTCAGGATGACACATTTCACATTTCAAACTACGAGATTTTGTTACATGTGGCATGTATTCAGACAGCATAACATGGACATACAAATTAGAATGAAATGCTGGAAAGCTTCATGGTAAGATAAAACTCGTGACAAATGCATTTGAATAGATGTCAGAATTGTTAACCACACAACTAATTTACACATAACTGGCTATATGAAAGAGAATCTCATCTTCAAAAACCTTTCTAAATAGTAAATTTCTTCAAAATTATGCAACGATGAATTCAAATATTTTGATTTAGAAATCTTTGTAATGTCTTGGTTCTTGAGTGACAGTATCATGTTCTGTCATTGCTGTTATATTGGCTTGAGTGTGGTTGAGTAGGCGACTTGTTTATGGTTTGAGTTACTAAGCAGCTTAATGATTATACACTCAATACAATATCTCCAATCACTAAACTAAATATTCACCAACTGAATCAATCATCTGCCTTCTCAACCACTCAAAACCTTTCCATTCCCCGAGTATCATTGCATTAAACACCCACCACCCATTAATTTCCGAGACAACGGCAGAGATTTTAATAAATTCTTCTCAACTTCTGCCTTGTTAATCACAAGACAGCTAAGTTAGAAGGTTTAGTTGATAAGATATTGCTTTTCATCAAAAGCACTTTTCATCTGTTGTTACTTTAGCTGGAAAAACTTAATTAAACATTGACTTTGACACATACACCTTACAGAGGGACTGAATTATTTGTTCGGAAGTACGTAAGCAAAGCTTCCTTCATTTTATTTCTTCCGCTTTGTTCAAACTGAAATATTTCCCTAGAGAGTAATTAAGTATTCTAATATGTTTATTTTTCGGATGATGAATCTCTTTATATATTAATGTTGATCTATTTAATGCGACTGTCGAGCATATTTAACATAATTTGGATCCAAAACTTTTGTCCTATCGATCATTTTAGCTCCAACACAGTTCAATCGCGAGCAAAGTATCGCTTCTTCATCATTTCTTTTCACAGAATTCATTTCGATGTCATCAATCACCGTTTCTGAAAGAAGCAAGAGAAATAAATTTCTTCCGGAAAGTTCATGTCAACACAAAATAAAAGCAAAACGTAAAAAGACTTACTAGAATTTATATTTCCCGGGACTGTGACATTTGGTTGTAAGTTGATTCGAGGCTTCCACATGTTAAAACTTATTTTATTACACGAAACAATTTTTGGCCAGAAATTTATATATTTAAGCTTCTGAAACTAATGTAATGTCAATTCTAATTCTTGTCTCATGAAGACTTCCAAAGCAAAGCCTACCAAGTATCATTGGACGAGAAAAAGTTGATTATGATGAAAAAAAAGTAAAATAACTCATTGATAAACTTTGCCTGTCGTCGGTCTTGGATGTTGTTATCAGCTCAATTATTCAACGCTTGGCTTCATCTTTCAGATTAATCTAAAGCTATTTTCGCAGAGTTTTCATTCATCTAATGGAGCAATTTCCTTATCGCATCTTCTGTTTGCTTTTGCTGTTTTTTTTTCTAGGGAAATGAAATCTTCCTCTTCACTGTAAAACGCCTCGATGCATTAAAGTTTCTCCATTCATAAGTATTTTGAGAGCTGTTTCGGTTCAAGTCACTTTCACTCTGTCTCGACCTTTCAAAAATGTCTCCTCGACACTGTCATTGGCAAAACAATTTTTTCTTCTATTTAATCTTCAGCTTTGATTTAATGCGACAATAATTTTTCCGCCTGATGATTTCTTATTAAGAACCTTTTCGACTATAAATTATTCAATTTTCATAGCAGTCGACAAGAAAATTCTCGGTAAAAAAGGAACTCAACTTAATTCTTGAAGTGAAATTTTCAATTTGGCGCCCTGACAGAGAAAAAAAAGATAAAAAAGAGAAAGAAAGTTTTTGTTCATTAAAATTCATAAACTTTTGCTTTCTTCCTCGTTGAACGACATGTTTAAGAGTTGAAAAAGTGGCAACAAAAAAACTAGTCAGTAAGAAAATTATGTGCTTTCACTCTGTCTCTCTTTCACTCCCCATCCAAATATTTCACAACTTTTATTTGCTTGAGTAAAAGCATCTCATTCACTCCACTTTCTTATTATGAATTTTAATGGCTCATTCAGCTCTCTTTTCGGGGTTGAAGCAAAGCATAAATGCCAGACGTTCTTACATTTGCTTCAACAAAATGGAAGCAAATATAATAATGTTGATAATGAAAACGTGGGAAAATTTTTATGCGATGCAATGAGAGAAATGCGAAAACAAAAATGACACGAAATCATTGCGAAAAGCGATACTAAAGCTCTGAATATTTATTTTCCTTCTTTTAAGATTCCTGTAAGTTGTGATGAAATGTGAGCTGAATGTTACGTTTGAATTGAATTTTCCATGAAAGAGTTATGTAAACAGACATGTCAATGCCATTTGCAGCATGATGTTTAAATTTACGTAACTTAAAATGAAGTCATTCAAAAATAAGAGCAATACAATTAAATTACGTTTCGTTTTGTTGCCATTAATTTTGCATAAATGTTACTTTGGTCGCATTTGTTATTGACATAAAATAAAGCGACGACTTAATTGCTTTTTAACGGTGCTGGTAGAAATTGAAATGTAAAATTGAAATCAAAAGCTTGCATGCTTGAATAATTGAATGGGGGCGCTCATTTTATAAGGTTGATTTTATTAGAAGCGATGAAAAGCATGAATTGCTCAATTTAAGGTTGCTTTCAATGAACTCTTAAAGTATTTGAATCATAAGCTGTAAGTTCAAAGAAATTCTCTCACTGGAAAGTTTGTGACAAATTAACATACACGCAAGCTCATATAAACCAATTCCATGAGACTTCCAGTCAACCAAGCTTACTTTTTGTTGTCATGAAATTTCATACAAAACGAAGCCACAGAAAAGTTTTCTCAACTTTAAACAAACAAAATGTTGTAAGAGCTCGACCTTATTTTGAATGATTTTCGAGGTTTTCGTATATTTTTCATTATTTTTCTCGCAAACCCGTTCTCACCCACATTAAATGTGAAAAGCTATTTTACTAATTTGCTTTGGGAGTGAAAGCCAGTAAAAGCAATTAAAAAAACTTCGTGGACTCAGTCAATGTTATGAGATTGATATCAAACTCGACTCTGTCACATACAAACGAATGGACAGAGGAAAAAGGAATGACAAAAAGGATTCAGATTCGTAACACAGATTTGTAGCCATCTGTCAACTAATCACTGGAAAAAGATCCCAAATTTATTGAAAAAACAGATTTACGACCAAAGGAAAAGGAAAAGAATCGATCAAAGTGAACAGTTTGGTTTGATAGCATATATTTCCATATTCAGTTTATGGTGACGTTAGATGAAAAACGAGTTTGAGTTTCAGTGATTGTGGGTTGACAAAAACCAACTTTACATCCGAGTAACGTAACTTTGAATCTACTTTGGATTACTTCATTTCATATTAAGTTATTTTAAGTATTCATCAAACGATGTGCTACTTTGTTGAGGTTTATTCATGTCTAAAAATAATCGAAGGTTTCTTACTTCAATTAAATCTTTGGGCTTCGAATTCGGTTAATACTCGACCAAAATCTTTTGTATATTTTTAGAAAAGATCTGTCAACCGAGAATTTCGGTTTGTTTCTGTAAGTACATGAAAGATGACAATGTCGGCAATCACCGTAAATCTTTCTTGGAATATTTTGTAACCGAAACATGAAGATAAAGTGAGTTACAGACCCAGATATGAATGAATTAAACTGAGAATAAAACCATCGCACGATGTTGAAAGATATCAAGAAGGAAAAGGATGACTCCAAAAATGATCCAATTATTTCGTACAAAAACTCTTCTGTTACTCACAGGAACTTGACTTGTTGTCTTGCCAGTTTTTCTCCAACCTAAACTTGATTAAAAACTTTTCTTCTATGGAAAATCAAACGAGTCAAAGCACTGACTCAGTTGCCTAAGGAAATGTATCATTTTCATGAGAAAGATAAAAATATGAAAAAATCCTGCAAAGCAACGACTGATCACTGGAAAAAAAGTGAATTAAGGGTTTTTCTATGAAATTCTGTTTATCTACTTCTTTTCTCTGTAAAAAATATTAGGAAAATCCTCTTGAAAATCCAAGTCTAAGATTATTTCTAAAAAAAGAAATTCTTAGTGACATGAAAGTAATCTAAACAATCAGACCCAAATTTGATCAGGAAAAAAAAGAGAAAAAACACTCGCTCTATGGTATAGACTTAAAAAGGGTCACAAATGTCATAAATAAATTATGGATGATGTCGTTTGCAGCCTAACACCATGAGCGAGTGGTGGGTCGAAGTGGAAACATTTATTGGGTGTTTCCCCCGGTCTCACGTAATGCCCATTATGGAAACAGCTTCTACAATGAACAGACTGAAGAATTTAAGTTGAATGGAACAAAAAGCTCAAACAGTTATCGTTTGTATTCGGTATGCTTACAAGTTCCACTTCAAAGCGTTCTTTTGATGAATGAAAAGAACAATGAAGTTCGTTTCTGTATCACAATGACCCCTCGATTCAAAACAAATGAAATTATCTGAAGGCCAGTTGATGAAATTGTCAATAAAAGAAAAGAATCAATAAATTTTGTTTAATACATCCCGAAGTTTATGAATTCTTTCTTTTAACATCCAGTGAAGTCAGTAGATTAGAAATGGAAGAAATGAAAGAAAACTAGGATAATTTCTTTTGACACGTGACAGTTTACATGCAAAGCCATTATTACGTCACTTCAACTACCTACATAGGTACTCATTCAGGAGTCGAGCGTGTCTATTAATAATTGTTAGTCTCAAATTACACTTCAGGTATGCTTTAGTGCCTTTTCAAATGACGAAAGCTTATTCCAAACGGTGTTTGCGGCAATTGCGTGCTGCTGAATGTTTCGTTTAATTCCCAAACTTTATTTTGAGGTATTTCAAGATGTTTCAGTTCTGTTAATTTTTCTTGTAAAGATATTTTCTTAACAAGTTAAAGTTAGAAAGTTTGAAAATGTTATTAAATTGTCGCCACAACTTAAACTTTTCCGATATTGTACCCATCAAAAGAATTTATTTATATTTAATTGAATACTTGAAAGCTTAAATTTATAAGTTATAAGAAAAGCAAAGCGAGATGAAGAAGAAGTTCTGAAATGTTTTGCTTCTTTCTTTAATTTTGACTTATTCCGTCAGAATGTTTCCGCAATATTTTAGACAAGTAAAAATAATCTTAAAAACGCTCTTGGCAAAAATTTCTTAAATTTCAAGCTGTGGAGTTTTTTTACACTTTACGCTTCACAGAACATTCGCCAGAATTAATCTTCAGCATAAAGTAAAAAAAAGCTATGAATAAGTATCTTGTCATGTTACCCTAAGATACGAGGGAGATAATTTTGTCATTGAACGTTGCTTGTCATAATGTTAACGATTTTTATGAACCCGAAAATATTAAAATGAAAACCAGAATCCAAATTGTTCGACCCTCGATCATCAAATTTCATTAAAAATCATGAATAATTAATTTATCCTCTCTAAACCCTTTGGGATTATGAAAATTGATGTCAAATTTAATCATTTTCATCATCAGATGTATTGTTATTATTATAAATATTATAGAGTCGGTCACCCATCATTCCAAAAAATGCTAATGATGGTTAGGAGAATTAGGATAGTCTCATTATCAAAACATCAAAATTTTAATCAAAAATTGTTTTTCAAGCAACGTACAGAAAGATTTCTTTACGTAAGCTTATTGATTATCTATTTAATTAAAAGCGTCGAGGAAAAGGATCCTAACTTTTGTCCACTACATAATGAACCAACCTTACCCCAACTCAATTATTTATCAATGAATTATGTTTATGTTATCAATTTTCAAACGCAAACATTGTTAATTTAGTTTTATTTTAAATTTCATTTCTGTTATTGTAACAATCACAAAGTTTTCAAAAGACTGAAAGCCAGACATTTAATACTCAATATTTTAAAACAATTAATTAAGTCTGCCATCTGTCGTGGTTTTATAATTTTATTAATAAAGCAATTTTTTATACTTTCTTGTCTTCGAATAATTGAATCGAATAATGAAGCCATTGGACGTGTTGATGAAACGGAATTTCGAGCAATTTTAATTTTCTTAAAAGGTCTTTCAGAAAAATGTCTAAAATAGAAATCAAGGAAAGAAATCAAATCCATTTAAATATAATTTAACATTTTTTCTCTCTTTTCGTGTATTAATTATTCAACTTCATGAACCATTTGTGCGCAATCAAGTATGTAAATAAGCTTCTACTTTTTTACTTAACGCGACGTCAACGGAAAGGTTTTCATTTGCAATTCAAATTTGCTTCAATTTCATCTCCTTTATTTTTGATTTTCATCATAAATTCACATCACATCGCTTCGTGTTGAAAGCCACCAAAAAAAAAGAAAAAGAAAAGCGGAAGCAGGAAGAAAAGCGAAGCGTCTGAAGTGAAAACTGAAAAGTACATGAAATGCCTTTCATTCATGATTAAATATTAAAACCTCGTAAAATATTGAAATCGTGTTTGATGAGGCAATCGATTGGAAAACTCTTTCACCATCTGAAGGCACGAGACTCATTGTAATTTTAAAATGAAAAACGTGTCTGTGGGATAATCTGTGAAAAAAAGAGAAAAACTGGCGTGGGGTAAAACACCTGTGAAAACTTTCGTGCATGTTTGACTGACACGGAAAGTTTCATTGCCAAGTAACATTTTTCAAAATAAAATATCTTTCGAATTTCGGGTGATTTTTCGTTCTGTTTTACCTCAATTTTCCTTCCCTCCAATTCCTGAAATGTTAAAAATATTTCCATTCAATGAGTGAAGTCTACCATAATTCCAGCTCGTTTACATCAAATACAATTTATCCAACAACAATGAACGCTTACATAATCAGAAGTAAAGAAAGTTTTCGTTGAGGAAAAACGGTTTATCGGTGAAAAGTGGTAAATTATCTTCCCTTCTTCATCCTTCACCTGCCATTAGAGCATCGCTCAAGTGGAAAGAAAAAAAAATGTTTTTTTGCAGATTTTTCAACGTCGCCTTATTTCCCTATTACACTCACTTTTTCTCTCGTTTCGTGTTGTAAATGATGATGATGTCTCATGGGGCGAAAGAAAGAAATTAAAAAGAAAACGAATATAAACTGAAAGAGGTGAAATTGACAGATGTAAGAAACATTAAATCTCATTGTGTGAAGAATATTATTCTGCATAATTTCATTCCATTCACAGTCACAACAAGAAAAAATCAACAATAAATCATCCTTATTTACGTTGGGCTTGTAACATCTTGATTACATGAAAATTATACACATTCAATGTCGTCTTTATGGAGTTTTGAAGAAATCGTACTTAAATATCTTAAATATCTCGAATGTTTACCTTTTTTAACTTTTCTATCAAAAGAAGCTTTTAGTCTGATGTTACACTTTATAAGTTTGACACTAATAGGATTTGAATTTGTAAACATTTTGATAGAATTTGTAGTTATTAGGGTTGATGTTCTTTACGGAAAACACAAGAATTTTTAAGAATTATTAGAATCAAATTTTAATTCAACAAATTTACATTGTAACTTCAACTTTTTAAATATATTTATCTTTCGAAAAGTTTGAAAGTTAATCAAAATCGTTTTATGAAAATTCAACTAGCTTGATTACTTTCATGCTTATCAATCGTTAATATTCAATTTAAAAGCTTTAAAAATCCAACAAAATGAAAAAGAATTTTTAAAAGCTTTATAATCTGATTTAAGTACATTAGTGCTTTATCTTCTGTTGACCGGAAATAATACGTGGGCATCATCAAAGCTTATTGAAAATGTGGAAAAGCTATTTTGAGTTCAAAGTAGCGCAAGTAATTGAAATGGACATGAACTGTGCACTTAACTTCAGATCTCGTCTACTTAGGTTTTTAAATTTGTAAAGGTTTCACATCTTAATCTAATCCAGTAGATGAAGATTTATTTGATGATAAAATACCTAAATATCTGTCATTTTAACAATGCTTTTTATATATGACAGTTTTTCGTGGAAATCCTCAAGAGATCAAAAGCTACAAAGAGCTTTGATATAAATGCTCAATGCTTTCTTCATGCTCATCATCTTGAAATATTTTATTTCTTGGACGAGACCACATTGCGTCTTTTATTGCCTTTCATCCACATCATTCACGCAGGATTTTATGTCCAATAAAATATGCTTTCAGGAAAGATAAAATATCTTCCCTTATTTTGACAAATGTTTTTAACGAAGTTTCTCTTGGGAAAGTTTCATGTCAATCAGAAAGAAGTCAGATTTTTAACGAGAAAAAAGAATAATTCCAGCAATAAATCTACACAAATATTTGTTTTAAACAGATAAAAACAATGTAATGTAGCAAGTTTATAATAATATTTACTTTCTATCTTTCTCAGTGAATTATAAAAAACAGAAGTTAGTTGTTGACTATATTTTCATAGTTCTTTGTTCAAGTCACAAAAAAAGCTTTTATGAAAAGCAATATGTGTTTATTTTATAATTTATGGCATACATTTTATGTTTCTGGCATTCGAAAACTTTCTAGAAATTTACGAGATTTTTAACAAGATATTTTACCTCGTAAAATTAAGCTTAGAATATTGCTCAAAGAATAAACTTCAACTTTTAATGCTTATAATTTATAAGTAACAACCTTGTCCAGAAACCCAACAATTATTTAAATTCTGACCAATAAATTTGTTGAATTAGTTTAATGAAGTTTGAATTGCAAAGAGCTTCGAGTTTCAAGAAACGGAAGAATTTGGATGGAATTTTTCAAATATTTTCATACAATCAAAGATTTCTTCATCCAAAAATAAAATTTAATATTAAAGTCATTTTATTTTCTGTTGAAAACTATTTTGCATTCATAAGAAATTTGAGAAGAATTCCTAAAGAAAAAAACTCAAAGCAAGTTTTTCTTCCATTTTAAAGTTTTCTGCTAAATGGAAAATATAAATTATTACGGTTTTTATTACGTGCTTTTATTAAATAATAATTAAATTAAACGTTCACTTTATCAGTGATATAAAAACATCTTCAGCATCTCGTCTAATTAAATTCTTTTTAGATGTGTTTAGTACCAGGCGTTTCATTCATTTGAATAAACAGTAATTATGAAAACAGTCTGGCACTTTGTGGTAGTTTAATGAAAAAGAAGAATGAAATTACATTCCAGAGTAGAACAAAAAGTTTTTTCTTCTTCCCCGTTTTCGCATCAAATTGCATAGTGCGATAACGGGAAAAGAGAAAAATTTCATCAACAATTTTCCTCCATAATTACTCCCACAACGATGTAGCACTTCAGCTGCTGCTAAATTAATTAAACAAAGCGGTGAAATTAACTTTTCTCTGTAAACTACTCTTCTTTCGTCAGACTAATAAATAGTCAGGAAATGATTTTTGATACCTAAATGAATATTGAAGACTTTAATATTGTCGAAACATTTTCAAACATAAATAAAATGTTCTCGTATCTATTTGAAACTTTTCCTGCAGACATGCAGCTCTGTACCAAATTTTTCTGTTAAGTTTGCGATATCAGTCGATAGACAAAGTTTTAATATGAAGCATGCTTTCAATTCACAATCAGTTAAATTGCTCAAAAAGAAAAAGTTTGACTTGTGACTGTCTTGCTTAAAAGTGCTAAGAATTTGAGATTTTATTGAAAGCTTCTTTATAAATTTAAGATTTTTAACATGCGCAACGTTATGTTTTAATCAAGAGGAAAATTACAGCATAAATTGTTTCCAAGTGCATTTGCTGATAATTACTACTTTTACTGGAATTGTTGGAAACATTGCTGTAGAATTGTAATAACAATTAATTGTTTCATCGGTATTTCAAGTAATTATTGCTTCATAGAATAAGCTGCTAATTTTTCTCTGTTATTACCTAATTGGCATTTCATGTCGATTTATTTATGTATTAGAATTTTTTTAAAGAAGAACAAAACACATAACCAACTTGTATAGTTTTATGAATGAATTTGCATAGTGTTTGTATGACAAATGCCAATTAAAATGTTTATATTACATAACAAAATGGTCATCAATGATTCGTTATAATGTAAAATAAAATTAGTCAACGATGAATGTCTAATAAATTCTAAACCATTCAAAATTAAAAAACTGCCTGCAAATATCAAATTTCTCTTCTCCAAATTAAAATCTTGATTTCAAAATTATTTTATTAAAAAATGTTTTATTGTGATTGTTTAAATATGGAATTTTGTCTCAATGAGTGAAACATTACTCAGGGGTTATTAAATACCTTAATCTATTCAACAAAAAAAATGCAAGCATTCTTATGTACATAAAATACCTTCGCTCATCATCAGATTGTTTAAAAAATGGGACTAACCACTCGTAGGAAATTTTCCTCAAATTCCTTCTCTGAAAAACGATCCACCGACGCCCTAAAGGTAGGAAAAAGAAAACACAAATTTAAATGGATTTTATGGAGCGAAAGCAGCGAAAAAAAAATTAATGTTATACGATGATGAAGAGCAAAAGAAGATAAAAAATATTTGTTGACACAAATGACTTTCCAATGATGATAAACAGAAATGCGAGCGAGAAGAAAAAAGCTCTTGGGACGTTTTTCACGTTCCTGTCATCTTTTCTTTATGTGATTTTTCTTTTCCTACCTTGCTGCTTGTCTGATTCTCTCGTTGTGTTCATTACTGTTGTAAAGAATCGCTGCGATACATCTCGCATAATCTTCCGCTTCATCAGCCAGAAAGCCTGTTTGACTTCCTTCAGATGTTTCGATGATGTCCATACGCGGACCACCAGAGCAATTTGCAATCATAATTATTCCTGCTGCCATCATTTCCACTACACTTATTCCAAAATGTTCATTCCACATTGCGTGAATTCCGATAAGTGATTTCTGATAACATTGAATGAGTTCTTGATACGAAGCATTAACTTTAAATTCAACATGTTCATCTAATGCTAAATGTTTTGCGAAATCTTTTAAATGTTTAACACGATCTAAATCTTCTTGATTTCGACATGAGCCAACGAAAATTAGCCTCATTCGATTCCACAGATCTTCGTCATTAACTAATAAAGTTCTGAGTTCATACATCGATTGAAGAATCAGTGGATGGTCCTTTTCCGGTCGATATTGACCAACTGATAGAATATAAATGCACCCATCACTACTTGGAACATGTTGAATGTCTTTCAAATGTTTCACTTCGCATGGTGGATAAACTCGATGAGTTTTGAATGGCGCATTCCAAATTGACAGAATATGATTTTCAGTCCATGATGAATTCACCATTACGGAATCAGCACATCTCCCCACCATTCCATAAAAGGCTGAGAAAAGTCGATAGTAATTAAGTTTCGCCCATGAAAGAAAAGGATTTTTAGCTACACGACTTTTGTTATTGTGCGCAATTGTTCGATTGGCAACTCGACGTAGCATATCTGTGCTGATTGTTGGATAATGTGTATAGGAAGCTAATTTACACTTTCCGATGTATTTAAAAACAGGATAAGTGAACGCATATCCTGTAATTAGAATAAATATTACGAAATTATTCAAATGAAATCAATTATTGCAATGTTTACCCATTGTATCGATATAAATGTCAGGTTGAAACCTCAACAAAGCTTCAAATCCTAAGATAATTGATCCGATACTCTGTCCTAATAGAGTTAAGATAGGATATTTCTCTGCTTCTACCCATTTTCTTTGTGTCAAGAAAACAAATTCAAGACGTTTGTCATCGATATTTATGTTGAAATTATTGCGACACTTTGAAAGGATTTGCTTTGGTGTCACATCATTATCACCAGTGTATAAATAAATTTTAATTCCTTCATACCTTTAAAAATTTTGAAAAATAAATTTATTAGCAGAATAAAAAAACTCATCGGAACAACTTACTTATTTTGGAGAGCTCTTATGGCACACCATAGGACTCTTTCTCCACCACCACCGGCATTGCAATATGGATGAAATATTCCAACACATTGTTGCGAGGATGATGCAATTCTTTTACTTTTAGATTTCCTAATAACATGACTTAAAACTATTATTCCAAGCACTAATGCAATTAGAAGAAAAGTTCCAACGAATACGCCGGTATAAATAAGAGAGAAAAGAGCACAAGGACATATCAACATGATGCACACAGTTTAAGGGACTTATTATTAAAGGTTTAATTATTTAAATGCTATTTATTTCATGTTAAGCCACGTATTCTAAAGAATGAAAAAATAATTCTTATCGCGCAAGTATAAACAAATGAACCGATTCACAACCGCTTTGAGAAAACGGTTGAAAAATATTCTCAACAAGTTACATGCCCTATGTTTACAACCGAAAATTCAAATTCTTTATTAAAAATTGTAATCATTTGATTTTATTCAAATTTACTAGCCCAGAATAAAATGGATTACATTCGAAGTGCAATGCAAAGCATAGCAGCTTGCTGCTTAAACTGTCAAGAAGAGACTACAAGAGCAGTGAGTCCGATTTTTCAAAATATTATTGTTTTTTCAACATTTTAAATAAGTTTATCAATATTGTTCAAAAAGCCAGATGAAATAAGTAGGTATGTATTATCTCAACTATTCTTTTATCTTTCAAGGGAGAACCCACAGAAAGAACTGCATTACTAATCGAACAACAACAAAGGAGAAATATTGCAAACAGTCCACAAATAAGAAGAATTAGCGAGGAAGATATTGAATATGCTAGTTCACTTCCCAAACGTGATGAGCAAACAGCCCTCAACAGAATTGTTCAGGAAACAAATTCGTAAGCTATATTGATTTCAAAATGGAAGATAACAAAACTCACGTGATACGTTTTAGAAATATTATTGATGTTTCTGCATTGGATACTCATCTATTAGAGCCAAGTGAATATAATGATCGTGTTAAACTTTATGCGCAACGTATTGCTCATCAATGGAACAGTATACAATATCTGGATACAAAATATAATGGTAAGTATGGTTTAATTAGTTTATAAATTGTGAATAACTGCGTTGCAACTTTTTAAATTGAAGGCTTGCTTAAAGATGTTCCAAATGCTGATGTTCTCTTGGCTTCCAATCCTAAGGTGGAGGAAATTAATATGGTAATTTTGAGTATTATCGTTTTTGTAATTACTTAGCCTGTTAAAATGAAATTAATTTTGTTTAAAGATTAAAAACTTTGTCAAAGATGCTGCACAAGCTATTAATGAAATGAAAGTTGAGAATAATGATGAACTGGTCGTGCCTTTTCTTATCACATAAGCCAGCTATCTAGAAGGTTTTCGTAATCTTTTGTTTCCCATGTCGATGTCATTTTATGTATAATGAAAAGAAATTTAAATAAAAGAAAAACAATTTATGAAAATTTTATATCTAAAGAAAATATTTGGAAGACGTTTTAATTTTTTTATTAATTTCATACGTACAATTTAATATTCTTTTAAAATTCAATGAATGTTTTCATACTATTTGCTGTGTAATCTGCACAAATGGCATCATCAAAGACTCCGTCGTTATAAGACCTGAGGTTGTTTTCAGCTAAACGTCTAATATTTGATGTGCTTAGTTATTAAATATTAATTTGGATGATGAAGAGAATATTTGGGATTCACCAAATAAAAGTGAGAAAAACTATCATCTTTAATGCCTTCTTATTTATAAGCAATTTTCCAAGCAATTTTCATATACAGTACAAAAATAACGAACTGAGAACATTCAAAAATTTAAATTTAAAGCGACCAGTAAGAAAAATTCAAAATTTTTTACATTTGGCTGCGAATCGCAGGTCTTGCAAATTTAAATTTCACCTGTGAAAAATGTTAAGAAAGCACATGACCTTGGTGGTCATTTCAGAAAAGAGTTTAAAGGTCATATCATTCAAGCAGATGCAAATATTGACTATTTCGAAAGCGCATTTAATAAAATATAATAAAGAATTGATCATTCGATATGTGCTGAACCAGAAACATAAAGTCACATCTTGTAAACACGTAAGTAGTATTGTTCACAATAAGGACATAGATACAAAAGAATCGTTTTCTAAAGCAGTAAAATAAAATTGAAGATGAAATTATCGTTTTGGATCATGTGCATTGTTCATTTGTTTTCACTGAAACCTTCTTTCGATAAGTAGTAAAATTCGTTTCATGTAGATATTTCAGTGACACAAAATGAAGAGAAATGTGTCATGCCGAATTCCATTCCTAATTTAACTGCTGAACAACTGTGATGAGACAAAAAGAAAGAAAGAAAAATTCAAACTCATGGAGCATCTTTCCACGCTCCATTCGCACATTTCTTCTCTCCACTGCGCGAGGGTTGAAAATGTCGATTGTTTGGTTGCGAATAAATAATTTTTCTGGCCCTTTTGAAAGTGAGTACGAGTTAGGGAGAAGACAAAACAGAAATTTTCACACATAACACAATCTTGTAAGCTTCCAGAATTCGATACTCTACCGAACCATCTTCTCCGCCAACTGCCTCCTTATTTATTGTTAACTGAAAAGAACGTGTTTTGAATGTTTACTTCAGCTTTTGCTCTTTTTGTTACTATCATTTTTATCTGTCAGCCATGAACGTCGTTTTATATGAACAGGGTTCATCAACAACATAAAGGCTAAATGGAGGCTTCACGGAACTTTATAATTCATCCCCATAAACTTCTATACCATATGCACGCAACTACACACAAGGAAAATGATAATTTTTGCCATTCGAACGAAGCATAAAATAATGACATCAATAATAATAAAAGTTTATGTATATGAATGTAATTCGGGATGAGATGCGATATGTGGAAAGATTTTCAAAGGTTTAAATGTCTGCAATGCTTGTTGTTGAAGCTCTCTAGTTGACAATCGAAGTTCCAAAAAAAAAGGTTTGAATTGCTCAGCAATCTTGAAGGTTGCTACAAGTAGATACTTACATATAACAACTCACATAATGACCATAAAAATATTGTAACAAGAGAAAGTTTCAATGAGCTTTTTTTGAAATAAAATCATAAATTAGTGAACCATAAAATAAAACTAATTGCTTAAACTATGGTAGAGTAACAGAGTTTAACGACACCTTCTTGTAAGCTTTTCAGTCCAACTTTCTAGGTACAAACATTCATTATGCTTTCATTAAATATATGTTTCAACAAAGACTTTTTTCTAGCGATTAGAAAGTGCTGACGATATGTTTCTAAGAAAACAAGTTTGACATTCTCTAAGCTTTTGAGTACGACACAAATATCTTGATAGACGATTGTCGGGATGTCAATAAAACAATTAAACATGTTTGGCCTTTCTTAGCTTCTATTCATATTTAGTTATAGAAAACATTTTAAATCGATAAAAAATAACTCAAAAATAACACTAATTTATGTAGTTCTATTAATAAAACTCAATGAAATATTTTATAAATATTATTTCCTTTATTAAAGGCATAACTATAAAGCATAGTTAAGTTTATGAACAAATATCACGTTGGTTTCAAAAACAGAAACTGCACAACAACACAAATAAAAAACCGATGGAAGAATTTTGTAAACTTTCCTTATGATGAACAGAAGGAAAAGCTCCGAAGGAAGCGAAAATGCACGTAGAGAAATAAAATGATAATTTTATGACACATCAAAGCGAGAAAAACACGTTCCTGCAAGATGCGTACAAGCGTGAAGCGTCAGAGCGAATTTCATTTTGCTGCTCGTTCTAAGGTGAAACTTTCCCTCCAGCAAATGCTTAACACTTGTTAATTTTGTTTTCTTCGCGAAAACACATTTGCTACCGGCACAAAGAAAAATAAACTGATAAACAACAGCACACAAAAAAAATAAATAAAGCCAAGAAAATGAATGAAACTAATAAAATGAAATTATGCTTTCATAAAAAAGCGCAAAAGGAATTTGCTCATGTTTTCGAGTAGAGATGGAAAGAGCACAGGAAAAAAACTTTTCGCTCGTGTTGATGGAAATTTCATTATTGCGAAAGTGGATTTGTGTGAAATGGCTGCGCTAGGGAGAATAAATGCGCACTGTGGAAATTTGATTCCCGAACAAAGTTTGGCGGTTAAGAAGTACACAAATGGACTTGGAGTTGTGAACAACTACAAAAGTCAACACGACATACGAGCAACCTGAAACTCAATTATCTATTGACATGTGATGCGATGATGTGTGCAATTGGATTCAGTCACGCACGAACGTTTCTGACTATTTTTCATTTAAAACTCTCTTTTTGTCAGAAAATAAATTGAGATAAGAAATTTTCCTTCATTTTTGTGCTTGATCAATCGAATGATCATAATTTGGGAGATAAACAATTTTCCTTTCTTTTCATTTTCTAAAATTCCTGAATGCATTTTCACTCTGTAAAACACTCAAATATTTCGTCAGCATTCTCATTCCCACCCAAACATGATGACAAAAAGAAAACTTATAATAAAATTCGATTTTTCTTTTCTTACATTTTCCAAACTATCGCGAATTTTTGTTTTTTTTTTCGTCAAAGATGTTGAAAAGAAAATTGTTTGCAAAATGAGAAGTAAAGAATAACGCAAAGTTTGAGATGTAGCAGATGGCTTTTAAATGCCATCAGTGATGTTACAAGCACGAACGAAGTCGATGGTGAAGATAGAAAACAGTAGAATGATTGTACGAGTACGTGTCTCAAGTCGACCCCACGAGAGTGATTATCCTTGATTTAGAGTTTTTACATCTGCCCGCTTTTTTCCCTTAACGCATAGCGATACATTTTCATTCTCTGCAAAATAAGATACAGAAAACTACCTACATGTGTGCAGATATCTACATCATAGCAAACCATTTCGATATTTTCCAACGTTACCTGCACCATTAAAACAAATATTTTCAATACGGAAATGGACGAGGAAAAGATTGAAATCTGAAAGTGTTTATTAATGATGATTTGAAGCGGAAACTAAAGTTCAAGTTAAATATTTAATTTATTTGAAAACGATCTGAAATATGAAGTTAAAATTCGCTTCCTCTGCCACATAAATGGAGAGAACATAAGTATAAGAGGAAATTTCAACTTTTTATGATTTAATGACATGAGTCTTGATGACAAGTAATAAAAAGAGTTTTTCCAAAGTCCTTTCAACACCTTGACTACGTGCTAGTCGACTCGAAATGTTCACAACGTTTTCAGATTCCCATCAGACGATTGTTTGCAAGCATTGAAAATATTTTCCAGAATCTAACAGTCTCCTGTGAGACTCCCAACATAACAAACAAAAAAAAAGCATGAAAAAATGGAAAATTCTTCAAAGCGAAGGCGACAAAAATTTCAGTTCGCAAAACTCAATTAATTAATGGCTTTAGCACAATGTGACAATGTTTGTAAAAAATTGCTTTCGAATAAGGTTTTCTCGTCTCTTCGTGCTTTTCAAATTGGAAAGTTGTGAATTCTGAGTACGAGGTGTTGGTTCGTTAGTTGGACAACTTTTGAGTTGTTAATAAATGGAAAGAAATTTCGTGGAAGTTATCAAAGCTTTTGAAATTCTTTAAACCAACTTAACTGCAGATGTGAGAAAAAATTTCTGAGACTACAAATAAACTCCAAAGTCAATTTATCGATTTGATCTCTAATCGCATTACCATAAACGATTGTAAGTATTTCCAAAGTTCTTTCATCCTGCTCGATGCTGATTACCCAAGAGAAAATCCATTTTTGTTTGTTGGAGAATTCTGAATGGTGGATTTGGGGAATGAGAGAGTGAAATCGAGTACTGCAACAATTTATGTCTTTCCCGATGTTTTTCTTATCGATGGTGGTGGTGCTAGGTAGATTTCCTTGATTCTTTTCTTCCGTTCATCGAGTTGAGATCTCAGTCGAACATTTAAATAAATTGACGTTTCTCATGTTTTTTCCCGTTCACTTCTGAGGCCTTCGACTAGACTTCTTGAAAATAATCTTAAAAATTATGCCGGCAAGAAAGGATCGAATCTACATAGATCGCATTACTTTTCTTCCTTTTCGTGTGTTCTTGGTGGCTTGGGACTAAATTAACATCCTAAAAGGCAAAAGTAAATATTTTATCTACATTGGAATGAGAAAATTCAATTCAAATCCTCAGATTCTTTCGTTCCAAAATGAATTTATTTGAATGTTTCTCAAGTTGATAAACATTCCACTTTAATTCATTCGATGATAAGTTCACTAACAAGCATAATGTAACTCACTGGGTTAAGGAAAATAATTTCATTTATCGGTTATCAACAACTTTTGATCTCAATTCGTATTCAAAATAAATTGAAGGAAAAATGTAATAAATTAAGCAGGGAAGCAACAAGACGCACAAGGACATGCCACGCCAGAGAGTCGACAATTTCGATGAAAAAACAGCACAAACGAATTTCATAATTTTTCAATTTCTATGCATATCAATCACAATCCGAAGAGCTGAACACAGAGCATGATAGCAGAAGCGATGAGCGCATAATAATGTGAGTTCTATTTAGTTGGACATGTCTCGATGTTCAATATGAAAATGAAGAGTGTGCGAATCGAATAAAGAAGAAATTTCACTGCGGAAATCATTTTGAATAATTTCTTCTTAAAAAAAAAAGAAATAAGAAAAGAAATTTCAGTCGCTTTCACATCATCTCTTCGCATCGCATCTTTCTTCGTCCTGTTATATTTGTATGTGATCAGAAAATAATCATAAAATTAGAATTAAGTAAAATCATGATGAGAAAGCGAAAGCATCTTTGACGAAGGAAATTTCAGAATAATTTTCTTCCTTATCACGTCATTATTGTCATACATAAATAATTTCACTTCAAGAGTCGTTTTTCACTGGTGGCTTTTACGAGTTTACGACAGTTTTGAGAAGAAGACGAGGGCTTTTGGGATGTTGTCAATAAGTGCTGCTACCCAACACTCGCAAAAGTATTTTCAAGCAAGTCTATGACGATGACTACAACGACAACTCGTACGATGTGAGCTATAAAAAAGCATGAAAAACACCATGCATGTGGCATCGAAATAAATAAATTTGCCTTCATTTTCCAGCATATAAGGTCACATTTTATGTGCTTCCTTCCCTTACAAGAATTGTAGAAAAGGAAGGAGAAAGGGAGAGAAAAATAAAAGAAAAGAGGGAGTTAAAAAATGTCAAATTAATTTATGTGAGACACGTTTTTGTTTGTCACTTTATAAAAACGAGCAAACAGCAAAATTTAGATGAACATGACAGGATGTCGAATGAGTTTTTCTCTACTGCTTCTTCAAAGGATATTTTGTAGTTATACTTAACGAAAGCAGCAATGAATAGAAGAAGTCTTTTTAGTAGCTTTTTAAGAGCTTTCTGTCTCAAAAGAACTTTTATCACGTGGTGAAGCCCATTCTGAATGATTGCCTTCCGACCATCTTTTGACACGTACAAAGAACGCAAAATGATGGGGTAATGTTGATAAATCAAAAGAGTGATGAGAACAAATGCTCGCCACAGATTTAATCTTGCAATAGTAAACTTCTGTCTCTTCCTTCCTACGATGCTTTTAGACTAAAACATGACTAGGAAGACAACAAATTCGCCTAAGAAGGCACGGAACAACATTAAACAAATATTTTCCATTTTATTTCGTTTATCATACATTATGCTTCCGAATGCGATTACGTATCTATCATTTAATCTTATGGCCTTTTTTTTTTGTTTTTTCTCCTTCTCAACATGACTAACTTCAGGAGGATTTATATTGAGAAATTTGCCTAAATTGAAGATAACATAGCTCAGCTTACTTTCAAGGGAGAATGATGAGATGATTTTTTCCTTTTTTGTCATGAGATGTTTGTACAAAAGGAGGAGAAAAAAAAGTGAGCAGTATCCCCACAGCCCCTCGTCTAAATAATGCTATTTCGAAGATGCCGGAGACAGAATGAGGCGAAAAGGCACAAAAAAAGTCCCAAATTCATTCTCGCTTTTCACTCTATTTTCCCTCATAATGCTTGATGGTTTTGTTATCGTATCTGATGCATAAAATTATAACTCAGATGGATTATTTTCGATTATTATGATAATGGATATTTGGAGTGGTGCGGTGAATGGCGATGAACAGCGATGAGGATTTGTTACATTTTACTCTCGTACAGTTGAGTGTCTTGAACTAAAATTCTTATCGATATTGAAATTTCATATGTTTAATTAATTATTTTTAGCTTCCACATTCATTTTTTGTTTCAAACGTCTCAATTTCACAAAGCCGTTTATTTATTTACTTTTCAATTGTACTAAATATTCACGATATTATGTAACCCTTTCTTGTTGAAAATTTTCTTTCATCTCTTGTGAAGCTTATCACTTTAAATAACATCAACTGTAACATGAGTTAACATAAAAATTTAAAGAGAGATGTGTGAATTGAATTGATAAAATCCCCACGAAATCCCATGCCGTGCGTAGAGTAAGAAAAACCTTCAGTGTATCTAAACACTCCCCCACCTCCTTATTCAATGTCAATCTCTTTTCAGACGCGAAAAAAGTTATCACAACGAACGATGTCGTAAAATACGATACAATATTGTGTTCGCTTAAATGAATTTTTTCCCAATTCTTATCAAGTCTTCCTGAGTTTGTGTCGCAGGTTAATTCGCCTTCTCCACCTCCTTTTTTATTTTTTTATTTTTTTAGCAGAGTACACACATATTTATCGGATTAGGTCGTTCTCTCTCCCTTTTTATCTGTATATTGCTTCCAAATGAGATAATAAACTAGAATGCGGTTGCCATTAGATCGCTGATAATGGCCTTCCTGCTAACTTTCTTTTCTCTTTCTCTCTTCTCGTTTTCGACGTCTCATCGCTGCTGCTTTCCTTTGTCAACCTCACGCGGATAACGCTTAACTCGTATCATTTAAATTTTATAGGAATTTTGAGCTTTACGTTGTTCATTCTCGACATATTTTTTTTTCTTCGTTTTTCTTCTCATCCCGTCATCAGCCTCCCATGCAAATCGGCTTTAATAACATATTCCCACTGCAAAGTGACAATCAAAACATAATTTGATTAAAGCACAACACACGAAAGAACAAAAAACCTTTCTTACAAATAAAAGCGTGTGGCGCTCCATGGAGCAAGTGAAAGGAGTGAGAAATCTGAAAATTTATTTTCACTCTCAATCGTTGAATGGAGGGAAGGAGAAAAAAAAGACGAGAAATGAGAAAAAGGATGTCAGAGGATAATAATCCAATTTGGTTCAACGCCTCCACCCACGAACCGAACAAGGAGTAATGTGATAAAAGAAATACAACAGAGCTTAATAACCCCGAGGAAATTAAGAGAAATGGAGGGCGAGAAGAAAACTGAACAAAAAAAAGCGACGATGAGATTGATTGTATCATGTATGACAGTTCATCTTGAGTTGTCGTTTATTGTTGTATCGCTTGGAAGGAAATTTCTTCTTTGCTTCTTCGTTTTCGTATTCTTAAAAAAAATCATCATTGTCGTTGGCAGACATTGAGCTGTTGAATGGAAAATGTTTTGTGATAAATGTCTTAACACACAATCTCCGACCGCTATTAATAATCTTAAGGTTTCGACATCCAAGTTGAAGGCAACGAGCGCTACTCTAATTACGTAGGAGGATTCGACACAGCACGCAACATGGCACGGAAAACTCCTGCTGGAATAACCTGTTGCTGTGCTGCCTGTTCAGATAGAAGGGAAAAATGAATAATCAGACATAAAATGAAAATATTTTCTCGCTCTCATCGGCAGCAAATGAACAATAAAAGTTTTAAATTCACTCCCATAGAAATGCTAAAAGTGGGGGAGATGAAGCATGAGAAATTTGAATTATCATGTTTTTGTTGCTTCCAAACATTCTTTGAAGTGTTGAACGATCCGAAATAGTTGAATATCATCACGTAACACCAACTTAGAGATGGGTTGAAAAAGGTGATGTGAACTGTGACATTCCTTCTATTGACTTAAGTCAATTAGGTCATTTGTCATTCCTTTGCCTTATTTTATTTATATTTTCTTTTTCTTTTCGTGAACATTGGGACTTCATGCTTCTTTACTTGCATCCCCGACTCCAACCTTTTAATGATAGCGATGTGGGGATGGATGGATTACGACTTAACGTTATCCATTTTCCGACAAAATGGGGATCCATTCACATAACAATTGAATACAAAGAAAGCAAATAAAGCGAAATACGTACGAGAGAGAAAGAAATGATGTTATTATTGAATTATGGCACAAAATTAATAGCTCCATAGCTCCTTTCGTTTTATTTTCCTTTTTCTGACCATCTTATAACAGAGCACAACATGTGCACGAAACGCTGATATGATAGCCTGCTGTGTGCAATAAATGGGAAGTCGTGGAGGGATAAAAGCATTTAGTCAATGACGGTCAGTCGCTTAATTGTTATTCAAGTCAAGAAATTCAATAAGAACATTCTCTTCTTCGTTTATCTGAATGTGTTTGTATTTATCGATTCTCGACAAGATTGATTCCTAGGTGGAGTTTTAGAATTTAAATTGACGATGAAAAGTAAATGAAATAGAAGAATATAAAACAGAAAAAATCCAATTAGGAAAACATTAGAAATCTTAGATAAAATTCTCTGCTTTTTATGATCGTAGTAAATAAAGAAATATTCAAACAATGTTGTTGTTACATCCGATAAGCATATCTGAAATGTATCATGTCTATGATATATCATCAACAAGACCATATATCGCTAGTTTTTATTACATTTTTTTACATGCCTCCGTGTTTATTATTGCATCGTAAATTTGAATTCAGTAACGTATCGAGTCATCGTCTGATATTCAAGCGAAAAATCGCTGTATTATGTAGATTCACAATGACAAAACGTTGGTTGTAATAATTTGTATCGATATTTCGGCGATTAAAGTTGACAACAACAACGCCATTTCATCGTTCATAAATCACTTGGAGCATTAACTGTGCTCTGATATCGAGAAGGGTTTTATGACTAGAACTTTATTTGTCAAGAAGTTGTTTCAATTTTGTTATTTTTTCCCCTCTCTCCATCTCACTTTCTTCTTTAAAATGTAGTCGAGTAGATAAATAATACGAACGAGAAGAGAAAAACGTTTAAATGTGATTTTAAGGAGATAATTTGGCGATTTATGGAAAAAGTTTAATTGACATTTTGAGTGCACAACGAGGATAAGTGTTTGCATTAATTTTGTTCATAGAATTAGCCTCGAGTTGTGCAATGTAAAAGTTTTGTCAACTGCATAATGTACACAGCGGAACCGTCGCCGAAATAAAAAGAATTGCTTCGGTTTAATTATGAAAGTGCACGCGCCGCGCCAGTCAAACAGGCGACAAAAGGAAAATATGTTGGAGCCGAATTGTGCAATTTTTGCCTTTCGTTTTTTGTTGTTTGCTATTCTTTATAATTAGCATACCCTCATGCTGCTTGCTACCTGTTTTTGCATGCACTCACTCAGTCGTTTTTCTTTGTCATATAATTAAGCAATATTATCGCTGGCATATCCACTGTTATTACGTTTTAACTTAACATTACATTTAATTTAATTCGAGTAATTTCAGCAGGAACGTGGGAGCTCCATCTAAATATTTCACTGCTTATAACTGCACATAAATGTTGAGAGCTAAAATCATGCAATAAAAATTTGTGCTTCGTTTTTTTTTCGTCAATAGCATGTTACTTGAATTGATTGCAAACATTTGATAATTGAATTGAAAGATATCTAAAAATTATATATTTTTTTAACTTTCATGTGTTCATTGATTGCAGGAATGAAAATAATCGAGCGTAGATTGAAATCCAATTTTTCTGTTTTCACCTTAGAAATTGTTTGCATCATTCAAACGACAATAAAGTAAAAAAAGGGAGAACGAGATGATGCATGCTATTTTATAACCCTCCATGTCTTTACATTTAACGCCCTCGTTGTAGATCAGCGTAAAACGAGTAACTTTTTCATTACTGTCGATTTCTACTTTAATATTTATTTGTTTACCGTGCATTGAGTTTAGAACTTGAGACTAAAGAGATGATGGGAGTGGTTGGAGAAAAGTTACACGATGTTATTTGTTCAAACGAACTCTTCGACACGTGAGGTTTTCCTGGTGAAAAAATTTAGAATTGTAATCGAAAATGTCGATAATCTTTTTTTTCTTCATTTACCCTTTTTCGGTTTTCTTTCGGTTGCATAAATTAAGCGAATGAAATGGAATTATCTGAGATTAAAAGGAATTTATTTCACTTTGTTAAGTGAAACCAGTGAAATCACAATAATAAAAGAACCCGCGGTGCGTTGATTCAATTACGCTTTCAATTTACGTTCTTTTTTACCCACTGAAAAGCATCAGTCAATCAAAATTCCATTTAAGAAGTGCCGTTAATTATCGCACTCAAATTTCCACCCTTTTTCATTACCAACTTCTTTGTCTTATGGTGTGAGAACATTACAAGAATTTTATTTCATTTTTTTGCTGCTTTTAAGAGCTATTTCGTCATAAATAAGTATAACTCTTCTTTTATTTGTTCCAATGCTTATGTAGCTTTTTGAAATAAAATTGAGAGCAGCAAGAACTCGTAAAATATGTTATTAAATTGTTATTTATTAATCCGCCAAAACAGAATAAAATTGATATGGTTGAACATTGGGAAAACAAAACACAACAAAAGGAAAAAAAGAGGAAACTCAACAACAAAAATTAATCTTGCGAAGCGAGAGAAAATATATTTTGCAACACGGAAATTGAAGTGGAATTTACACTATAATTACATTTTACGAGCTTTTTAAATTCCCAATCTCCATCAGAAAAACACCATAAAGTTCTTCCCCTCTTGTTTTCTACACGAGTCGAGAGTAGCTATCGTAATTTAAGCTACAGTCTCAGAGCCCACAAAAGTAATTTAATTTGAGTCATTCGTTAGTCACAAATGCGGATATAGAAATGAAAGAAAAAGAAGCAGGGAAGAAGTTGAAGAAATAAAAATTCCACTGATGCAATAAGTTATGAAACTATTTGTATCCCCCCACCACCCAAATCTTTTGATTCACTGACATTTTGGACAGTCTAATTAAGCTCTCGAGTCGAGACATCGTTATCTATTTTATTATAAATTGTGCAAATTTCTTTCTTTTTTCTTTTCCTTCTTCGTCGTTAATTCAACTTTAATAGTTGTCACAATTTTCAGTAATTCTCCTAGACTTTCATTAGGAAAGTTTTTCGTCTTCGTTCATTTCTTCTTCTCCTTCATCATCGCCCATTAAAGCAAACTAATTAATTCTCGTCCACAATCTAACATGTGGTCATACGAAAGCGTCTATCAACAACTCCAAGTACGAAATTGAGGTCATAAAAAAACTGACGATTTATATTATCCCTCGATTGATAGCTCCACGAGCGTATCAGTATGACGAACGACAACATGAGAGGCTAAACATTGATTAAAGGATTCATTTCGACTTGGTTTGCTGATGTAGTTTTATTATCGCTTGTTGGCTCTGCGGCCGTTTTTTGTTTTGTTGTTCGTTATAAGAAAATATAGTAAAACCAAAACACATAAAATTAAGCCAAAACTTAATCGGATGATGTTTTTATGACGCTAAGAATTAGTAGACTACAATGCCAGTTTTCATTTTGATTTCTTTTTATTTTGAACCGAATAGAACAAGAAGTAAAGATAAAGAAAAGAAAGAAAAACAAGAAAAATACTTCCGCTTCACGATGAATTAATTAAATGGGAAAGCTGAAAGAAGGGAAACATTAAATATTTCCCTCACGATTCTCTATTTACTTTGTGGATGAATGAAAGTTGTCGTCTTTTAGTTGATTAGTTCAACTTAACCACCGTAGGTGGAGGTTTTCGTTTAACGACTTTTGTTAATTCATCTAATTTCGGTATCTATCGGTTTTCTACATAATAAAGAAACTCATTTGAAGTTGATATCGTGAGAACGACAACGATGGAAAAATATCGAAACTTATAAAAAATAAACTTCGACACTGATCCGTAACTTCAAAAAAAAAACAATTTGGGTGAAATTATTTCATCGCTTATTCAAGCTTCAGTCTCTTCAATTCATAATCTTTCACCAACAATGTTTCGATCACTTTTTTTTGCGAACACAGATTGTGGGTGGACCCATCAAGAAGCGGTAATTTCTACCACCCAAGAATAAAAATAAACGTTTTGAGCGTTCGAATGTATATCGAGCACGATAAAGGAAAATCGGTTTTGCAAAGAAGTGAAAAGAAGGAGGATGAAGAGAAAAAATCGAGAAAGCAGAATGGTTGAGTTAAATATTTATAAGTTTTATGTAGCAAACGTGCTGTATCGGGGTAACTGCCGTTATTCCTTCTGCTTCTCCATGCTGCTATGCGTATATATGATTGTGTGACCTTCTATTTAATTTTATGCTTTTTAGCTACGTGTAGAGGCAGATCAATTTTTTATCAAGCAGAAAAAAGGTCTTTTCTTGTAGTAGAAGACGAAGACTGAGATGGAATGGAAAGAAAATTCTTTCCCGCTCATATTCATACACGATTTCGTTTTCTACATTCTCATAAAGTCTCATAAATGTTATGAAATCGAAATTACATATTGTACGTTCGAGATAAGAAAGCAGAAAGATAAAAAAATGAAAGATGGAAAATATTTGAATATCTTCTCGACCAGAGGAGAATAATATCAAATGTCTTGGGTTCATTCACAATTAATGTTTCGGAAATTTCATGTTAAGATATCATAACGTTTATCTAAGAACTTGCTTCTTTATCTTAATAATAGTTTATTTAATTATTTTAAGAATGAACTTCAATTTGATTAAAAATTGATGATAATAAAAGGTTTTTCTAACTTCGTTTTATTACTGCGAAATTCTCCAATTTTTATTATCAAAACAATAAATTTTTTCGTCTCTTCGAAATGTTTCCGTTTTCGTCTAAAACTTCAAAAAGAAAACTACAAAATGAAAAACGAATAAAAAGTTAGTTATGTAAGTGAAAAATGTTTTCCTTTCTGTGTCGACTCAATTCGACTTATGTATGTGGAACAATGAAAGGAAAAAGTGTTTTTCCGGTAAGACAACATTTGTTTATGTGTATGAAAATTGCATGACCTTTCGTTGAATTAAAATACTCAAGGAAATTCAAACCTAACAAACGAGCTCAAATTTTATGTATTTTAATGCTGTTGGTTTTTTCCTTGGTTGCACATAAAACAAGAACAAAGCAAACCAGGAAATGGAGTCATTGTTGTTGCTTTGTTTGCTGCGACTGTCGTCAAATGTCAGCGGTGTTATGTGGGAAAACAAAAAAAGAAAGGAAAGAAAAGAATAGAAAATTGCTTGTGGCGAAAAGCTGACAATGTAAAGAATAAAGACAAGGAGAATATGATCATTTTATTGAGGCATTGCATTACTTCATAATGTCTCTTGTTCTTTCCCCTTCGCTCAGTGTGAATATATTTGTTTAAATATGTATACAACCAAATGACTAATTCCTAGGGGATAATAAGCAAATATTTTATCAGTTGAAAACCAAGCAGGAGAAATTTCTTTCTTTCATCATGTAAGTAGGTAGAAGCGTGGAAATGTTTTATTTTAATTTAAGTAATGTAGTTTCTCTTACTCGTTTTTGCTGTCTTCTTCAATTTATTTGGCAAGCATTTTTCTTTTATTAAATCTGCGAGATTTTTTTTCTTTTCCAACTTTCTGGGCTTAAATTATGTGCAAATTAAAAAGAAGACTGCAGGTTATGCATTTATAATAATTTTACGATGCTGTTCCTTGTAATTCAAATAAAATAAAATTGTTAATTAATCTGTAGATTACATACAAGTTATTAAAAAACATTTTCCAAAGATATTTCTCAACTCGATGGACGATGTTTCAGAAGTGGATTAATGTAGTTATAAACAGTAAAGTCAAAGAGAAATTTGAGTCATATTGGAGTCGATGGAACGACGAATCATAAACTTGGTAGGAAACATAAAAAATTACTTAACGAAACAAATATGGTATGAAAAATTTATGTTTTATTTTACGTCAAAATATCGTGCAAAAACCTAGTATGACGAGTATTAAACCAGCCATGCACACTTACACAAAAGTTTTAGGACAAGGAAATAACAAACAACAAAATTGTTCATGTTGATAGACAAATGCATAAAGGCTTTATTATACATAGATCCTAAAATTCTTTTCCTTTTTTTGTATTATGAAGCTTCTGCTGCTTAAAGCAAATGTACTTGTAACATTACGTTTAGCTCTAGCATTGACGGAAAGGACGGAAAATGCTTTGAAAATTATAAACAGAAAAGTTATCGTCAGAAAAAAAGAAAGTTAAACGTAGATAAATAAAATAAATTTTCAAGGAGAATTGACAAAAGTTTTCTTTATAAAAATCCTTGTAAGTTGAAAAGATTTATTGAATATGTTTGAAATGGCTGACTTTTGAACATTTCTTTTATCATTAAAACAACTCAAATCGTGACATGAAATATTTACATTTTTTTTGAGAATTTTTTGTATTTTGTACAATCCATTAAAGAATGTTGGATTTTCAAACTTACTTTTGCTTTCCTCCAAATTGATTTAGTGGTCGGTTGTGACGTTCATTAATTTGATTAGAAGTTCTTGTTGTGTTACCCAAAGAAACGTCTCAACTAATCCCATCTAAATCATTTTGTACGTATGGGCACAATGCCTAAATAAATAAGGATAATATTTTATATCATTAAAACGATCGACATAAACAATGAAAGGAGATTATAATCGAGATATTAAATTTGTCAAATTAACTACTTCGAGAGTCGTGTTATTTATCTGTGAGTCTTGAACTCTACGGAAATATAAGCCTAATGAATGGAATCAATCAAACCAAATGATTTTTATATACTAATGGAAGTGAAGTTCATAATAAAAGTAATTCATGTTATGTCATTAACAAAATGGTTTTTTTATAGAGCGCGTTTCGTATTTCAGTAGCTAAGACATTCCACAAATGAAATACAATTGTGTGCCGCTCATAAAGCATGCACATTTATACGCCACCTCAGTTCTAGATATTTTGTTACGTAGCTGCTAAATAAATCATTATATGATTTTTATTTCAATTTCCCTTGAAAATATTCCTCGCGAGATACGCATCGATCGAAGGATGAGAGAAGTAAAATGTGAACAGTTTTTCCTTTTTTTTCGTTTACGTTTATTATATTCAACACGTTAATGTGGAAGGCACGTAGAAGCGTAAAAAGCGAAAATATAATTGATATTAACGAAAGCCAAGAAGAGAACAGAACAGAAACGAAGCGAGAGAAGGAAAAAGCTTAGTACATGCGATAAGGCATTTTATGACTTTATCCATGAGATCTATTTTATTATTTTGATGTATGTTTTATGTGTTTTCTGAGGTCCGCAATGAAAGCCGCATGATTGGGAGTGAGAAAGGTTGTAAATTTCGCAATGACATGCAGTTATACATCGATCAAAAAGAAGTATTTTTATCTGAATTCAATATGTCAAGCACATTCGTGGGGGACGAGAGAACAACCTTTCTTCTTTCTAAATCTTTTAATATGTCGTGTAACCATGAATTTCGAATGATACAAGACACGTGTTGAGGCCATAAAAAATGTTGTTTCTCGTCTTATTTACACAGCACGCCTTGATGTGAGTTTTGAAGATTTTGCATAACATTTTCCTTCCTACAAAAATGAAAATATGAAAAATGAATTACAAGCAATTTTTGATATAAAGCCGGAATTGTATTAAAATGTCAGAGAACTGAAAAGGGAATGAGACGCCATAAAGGCTTCACATATGACAGAAAGTTGTTTACCCCAATCATGACTCATGAGTCAGCATTCAAAGGATTAAAACATGAATTTTTTTCGCTTTCTGTTGACTCACACATGCAATACTTGGAAGAAGAGTTTTTTCATTAATGAAAAAGTGGATTTAATGTTCTTCGAGAGCTGTAATTGCTCATAATTCATGCTGAGTTAATTCTCTGTTAAATCACATCAGCAAGAATAAAGTGATTCATGATTCAAATGAAGAAATTAATCTCATCAGCAGTTGAATTTTTGATGTCGTGATGCTTTCATGATTTTTATCTGTTCTGAAGAAGATACATAAATAAATATCTGACTTAGATAAAATGTATCATTTAATAATTATAAAGTCTCGCCCTCTTCACATCTCATTTCGTCTCACTTGGTATCGTCTGGACTTCAAGGCGGCGCTGATCTATGAACGAGCTATAAAAATAGTTTTTATGGTTTCACATTAACGATACTTTGAGCTGTTTTATCGTCATAGTTTTCCTGTTTCAGATAAGGATTTGAATAATATTTGAGCACTCTTTTAGCTAGACGAAGAAGCAATAAAAATATTCGTAAAAATAATTTTTTCAGCATATTCACAAACAAGAATATTTTAATTTTGCGGGGGTGGATCCATCAGTTTCGAATTTCATAAAAGTACATTTGATTCCCACACTTTTGTGAAACAAAAGGTTGTTAGAAGGTTTCTGATTATTTCACAATCAAATAGGAGAAAAAATTAGTTCAAAGCTGCATGCATTTGTAGAGAATTAAAGACTTGGCTTGAATATCCAAAATCCTGAATTCAACCATTCGAAGAGGTGAAATAAGTTCGACCAATTACAGTTCAAAGTTTGAAAACAATAGTTGTTCATGATGTGAACGAAACTATATCGATTAGATATCCCTTTTTTGTTAATTAAATCGTGATTTTAGCTTGAAGAATGTTAGGAATGAGAAAGCAAGTAAACTTCATTCATTGTTCCTAATTTTCAATAATTCTTTTCTCCGGTAAGAAATTAGTACGAACGTCTTCAATATCTACAGAACGTGATGGATTTTCTTTGTGTCAATTAATTTTGTTGTTGATATGGCTAGCACACAAGATGAGTGTAGTCAGCTGGAAAAGTTTTATCTGTTCATGCTGCCCGATGAATCGGAAGGCAAACGTAAATAAATGCTAAAGAACAAACAAATGTGGCCCAAGAAAATTAGTAACTTTTCTCGCTTTCTTTTCCTAAAGATTATGTTTCTAATCATGGCTAGATGTGAGTTGTGAGTTATCTTCTTCCTTTTTCATCAAATATTTGCTTCCATTGTGTTTACTAATGTGAACCAAGTCAATGAGAGAAAAAAAGTAAATTAAAAGTTTTTAATGAATTTTCAACCGAGCCTTGTGGCAGTTTTTTCTTGATTTAATTCGAAGAGAAAATAGCAATTAACTCCTCGTTTACACTTGAATGATGCTGGTCTACTCATTCTTTTCCTACTTATATGAATCGTTTTCTCCTTAAAGAATGCCACAGTCAAATAAAAAGCAGCAACAATGTAAGGAGATTGAAATTCATACATTTTTAATTTTTTTAATTTAATTTTCACCCTTACTTCCAGCTCGACGAGCAGATTTGCTGCTTTCTCGTACTGTTCGTAGTTTATTTTATGTAGCATGTTTTTTACGACTGTAAGCAGCGAACAACTTGAACGAGATGCTTTGAGGAAAGAGAGAAAAAAAGTTTTTCTTATGCATGTAAGAAAGAAATTTACAACAGAAGCAAAATGGAAAGGTGAAGGAGTTAAAGTGATTCTATGTGTAATCATGGAGCTGTTATACAAGTATCCTCCACGCTTCCTGTCGAGCATCATCTTCTGAACTCATAAAAATTGAATTTTTATAATCCTGCTGTCTTTCACCTTCAGTCAGATGAATTTTATATGGAAAGCATTTCCATTTTCAGTTCTCAGGTCGACTACTGCCGACTACTTCCATTGCTGCTGTTCATACTCTTCCGCAGTGGTGAAGACTTGATGAAGTATTTGCATGCATTGGCCAAGGTTCATGTTTTTAAATATATTTTTAACAGACATAAATTCTCGCAAAAGTTTATGCAAAAAGTTACACGAATTAAATATGTATAAACATATATTTATACATACATTTTTGAATTAATAATTGAAGTTTTGTGATCAAGTTGCATATGTTGTTGAACATTCCCACGCAATTGTTGTTTGTGAGTGGTTTTTAAAATTCATGAAAAATCAACAACTGTTGGCAAAAACGTTCGTCAAAAATATTCAAAGCTAAAAGTTCACATTTTATTACATCTGCTCAACAATTGATTTCCCTTTTAAAATTTTCTCGAATAACTGCCTATGTCGGCAAATTAAAAGTCAACAGTGTGATAAAATTTTATCGAAACACTTTCCTTTTCTTATAGCAAGGAGCAAGTGCCACCAAAGATCTTATAAACAATAAACTTTGAAAAATTCTTTCTTTTGTTTAATTTTTGCTGTCCAATAACTTCCCTAAGAAATTTTCATTTAATAAAACCAAAGTTATTTTTCCTTCTTGTCCTCGAGTTATTCTCGAATTGAACCACAAAGAGTGAGAGAACCGAACGAAGCAAACTTTTACTTTTATGAGTCAGGCAAGCGAAGAAACAAGAAAGAAATAAAACCAATATGACAGATTTTTCTCGCCGCTTGTTTTAACATTGCTTTTGGCCTAGTCGTCAGGCTGTTTCTCACAAAACGTTAATTAAAAAAATTGTCATCTTTTCTTTTATTATTAAGACATCTCAAATTCAAATAAAAGTGTAATGAGAAAAATAATGTTAAGAGAAAAGTTTTATCCTTCGACGAGTCTTTAGTGTGAATACTAAGAAGCCACAAAACTCAAGAAAACAGGAAAAATCAGAAGAAAAAGTTTCCATCTCTTTGATTTTATTTGGTCGGTTCGGAAAGCGAAATTACGTCTAACAAAGCCAATGAATTTTTATGTTTCACCGCCAGTTTGTTTTAATTATGGAACTGCTAAGCGTCATTAAATATTTATACTGGGTCAGACACCCACGCTTTTTATTTCTAATTCTTATCGACTAATGGCTTTCAATCATTGAATTTCTCGACATAAGCCAATATGACACAAGCTCAAGATGTTCCATAAAATGCGCTGTATACATAAAAGGAAGGCACAAGAAACATTTTAGGAATATAGAAAAACATGTAAAAGTCTTTGGTAATCTTGTAATATGTATGTGCGTGCGTGCTGAACAGTTTTGAATATAAATGAAATGTTTTTTTAAATTTGAATTGTAACATATCGATTTCAGTTTGCAGATGCTTCCAGATGTTACACAAAATTGACTTTTATTTCATTTGTTCCAAGTATAATTTTCTTTTTAAACGACATGGTTCATCGTTGCGCAAGTATTATCTTCGATATATAAATTAATTAAATTATTAGGATAAAACTTTTCCGTTATTTTATGAGCAGCTTAAAGCGTTTTTGAACATTCCGAAATAGACTTTTTTTTATTCTTAAGGATTGATGATCCCTAAGCAATCTTTGACCTTTAAAATTTGAGATGATCGAAGATTATCAAAGATTGTCAATCTCAACTTAGATAAAAAATATTTGCTTTGGATTTAAATCTGCCTTTAAAACTTTGCCTAACTAAAAGAGCTTCCAGTTGTATGAAGTTTTTGTTCATTAAATTTTTTCTTTCCACAAAAACTTGAGCAGCTCCTTAAACACGCACAAGATTTCATCTCAATTAAGTCAATTTTCATAAAATTTGATACCATTCAAAAAGATGTCAACGAGACGTAAGTAATCGACTTTTATGTGTTGTTTAAAAAATCGTAAGTAAGGTGATGAGAGTAAAAACTTAATTAAGAAATGTTAATTCCTGAATGAAGAGAAACAAAAATTTTGCTGTCGTTTCGGTCGCGTCTCATCTTTCGATTCGTTTCACTTGCGAAAGATTCACCATCAATTCCTTTATTCATTCGCCGCATAGAATAAGAAATGAGATTATCTTAAGGCGCTTTTTATTTATCTAATTAAATTGAAGTCTTGGAAAACTGCCAGCATGAGATTGTAAATTTACATCGTGCTATTCTGGAAACGTAGGAAAATCTAGTGGGAAATTAAGATAGCGATAAATATTTCGTGAGCTTTTTTAATTCGTTAATTACATTTCTGCCTTTTCTCTTTCTTTTCAACAACCTTAATCTCTATAAGGAAAATAAAATAAAAATACCTGAAACAACATCATGTATCAGAATATTATCAAATCTCGCTTTTCTTTCCATTCCTTAAGCCATATTCATGCGGAAAAATATTACACTTCTGATACTGAAAATCCCATCTTTTCCTTATCCAAACATCACATTTCCATTCGAGTGGAAGGAGAAGAGCGAAAAGCAAGAAATATGAAAACACTTAAGAAGTGGCTGAATGGGGCCGGAGGAGGAAAATCTGTGAAAGGATCTAAATAAGAAACATGATGTTACTAGCATCGATTCGATTGTGTACATTCCTACAAGAGAAGGCTAAATACGTAAAGCGACATAATCTTGCCATACCCTGATTTGTTTCGATTATGTATGAGGCAAAAATTTCTAAGAAATAAAGAAAGTTGGGGAAAAAAGTTAAAGGTAAATTCTTTTCTGTACAAATATTTTCGCTAGGATTATCTATGATAATATCACCTTCTTTAGCTTTATTTATTTCCCGTTTACTTAAGAATCTTGAGAAGGAATCACATTCCTGAGAAGTGTCGATTGATAAGTAAATACTCGCTGAAGTTAATGATATTGAATATAGAAAGTTGAGCATTGAAAGAAAGCCTTTGTTAAGTGGAGCCGTTAGTGTTTAAGTTAAAACGACGATGACGAAACAAAGCCTACAAATAGAGGTTGTTATTGATCTGAAAATATTTATATGATTGCTTGTGAGTTGAACACAACATAAATTTACATAAAACATTCTTTACTCAGTTCAATGAATGTAATTAGTAAGAAGTAATTTTAAACTGAGACAGGTTTAAGTTATTTAAAGCTTTCAAGTTTCAATCACTTCAAATCTCTTTAATTCTGTCTCATTTATTTTGAAAATATTTTATACAAATTGTGAATACATAAAATTGGTTGACACGAATTAATAGCTGTTCAAACCATCTACATAAACATGAAAGCTTTTTCGAATTGACGAAAATAATTATCAATGAATGTTTATTATGACCTCATTACCATACAATAACTTAAGCTATAGATGTGAGTAAAGCTATTGACAAACGTAGTCGTTGAGACTAAGTTTCAACAATAAAAAGTTCACAGTCAGACATTCGTCGCTAGAAATAACTTATAAGTAGTTTCTTTTCCCTCGATAACATATATTTTTCCCTAATACACTTCGCCATCAATAGAAAAGGCACAAATTAGCCGTATTTACCTCGAGGAAAGGCGGAAGAAATTTTCGCATGGGAAAATAAAATTGTATAGAATAATACAGTGAGAACGATCGTATCAAGCGTGTATAAAATATTGTGAAAGGCGCCCGTCTGACGCGACACTAGACATCGACCGTCTATGAGCTTTTAAAGCTGCTTTTCGGTATATGTTTGTAGGCCTCGCTCTACTATGTGTCATTTGGTCTCTTTTGGGAATTGAGATGTGGGCAAAAGTTAAATTTATTTCCTTTTACATACACACAAACTTGTGTATGTACATAAAGGCAACAAAGCTTTGCGTCCTGAACTAAAACGATTAAGTTGAGTCTTGAATAATGTTATTTTATGACAAAAGCAAATTATTTCATTTTATCTGTTCTTTCTTATCGCATCTCGCCTGTCTCATTCAGTCAGTTTCCTGAACAGTAGCAACAAGTTATGAAAGTTGTTTTATGCAAATGATGATAAAATATATGAAGAAGTAATGATGATTCAATTTTATCATCATCGAAGCATTTAAATGGAAAGGAAATTCATTTTGTTTAAGTTTCGTGGTGCATTTGAAGTTACTTTAAACTAGTTTGCATACTCAGCTTGCTTCAAAGTTAGACCACAGCTAAATTTACTTCTGATTTCTTCTTTAACTTACCCTCTTCATTTATTTAACTAGGGAGGTAAGATTTTCACGTTTCTCTAAACTTTTCCTGTTAATTTTGTGGCGAGAAGAACATAAAAAACTTTTAAATTATTAAAAACGTTTGAAATTAAAAACATTAAACTCATTTTTTATTTTCTTCCTCGTCAAAAGTTGTAAAAAGGAAGTTCATTTGAAATTTCGAATAACTATTGTTGTTTAGGCGTAAAAAAGGCGCATCGAGGTGCAAATAAAAAGTTTCAACTGAGTCTTGATGGCACGGATACTAAAACATAAAATACAGAATGTCTCAAGTTTTTACTGCTGGAAATTTGTTGGATGCTTCTCGTCACTCGTAAAAATAGGAATATTCCTTCATCTCGTTTAAGCGTTACATTTGCTCGTTTAAGAGCGTAAATAAGACTCGAAGCGAAGGTGAAAGCATATTGTTGATTTTTCAGTTTCTCAACATCATTTCAACCCCTGTGCTGATGCATTTTTTATTTCTTTATTTTCGTTTCTTTATTACCTACTTTCCATTTTTAATAAAAAATTTAGTTTTTCTTTCCATCAACATCAGAGCGTTTCAGTCAGTTGCTTTTCTGACGCTAAATACATGTATCTAACTAAATAGAAAGATATATGTAGAAATATATGAAAAAGTAGAAAATTTTATATTTTTTGTGCTTAAAACTGCAGGGAATATGAGTTCTGCCAGTATGTAGTTTATGAGATTGTGAGAATGGCAGCAAGTGAAGCAATTTTTTATTCACATAGAATTTTATGGATGGTAACGAATTTTTCATCAAACAATTACTCTAACAATACAAACAATTTTATGCACATATTGAACGTTCTTTTCTTAGTTTACTTCCCTTATGATTTACGTTTGTTATAAATGAAGACTTTTCATGTAAATTTAAGTCATTGTGTTAAAGAAACAATTTAATTGTAGAGCAAAAAAGCTTTAGAAAATAAAGAAAATTTACAACTCGCAAATCTTTTCTATCAAATTATCTTCTTTCGAAAGTATATTCAATTTCCAAAGTACTTAGTTTAAGAACATCACAATGCTTTATCACAATACTAAAAGCATCATGTGGAATGTAGAACAAAAAGAGATATCACGATTATCTACAAATCCATTTGACAGCTACAGCTACACATAGCTTCAATGTTGTTGTTTTATATTTTTTAATAAAAAAGTGTCTGTTAACTTGCTTCATTCTCCCTTCAACCGTAAGTCGAAAGCAGTACGTGATATCGAAACTTTGTCATTAATATCGAGGATAAAAAGGCCTAAATGGAAATCCCAATGAACAAATGGGAAAATGGAAAAGTGTCAATGGTTGAAATGATGGGCAATGGAAGAAAATCGATCAAATATTCTGATCACAACTTTCTGATTTCTTTCAATTAATCTTTATTAATAAACATCCATTAAGAGTTTTTAGGCTTCTTATTATGCTTTCCACAGCAAGGTGGTGGATCTGATAAAAGTTTGTTTTCCGCGGTTCACCTGAAAATTTGAATAATTTTTCTTTTTATGGATTTTCATGATGTTAGCCGTGAGTTGCTTTACATAAAATTAAGGAATAAGATTCGTAAACGTGACTCTTTTTTTTATGCGATATTCCATGTTCTTAATCTCATCATGGAGCGAGTCGAGATACATTTTTTCTCCTTCGTAAAATGAAACCAACATAAAAAATTTACAAAAACTTATCTATGAAAACATTGGAAAGACGAAAAGAAGAAAAACTGTTTCACTTCATTTTAATTTAATGTTATCTTAGAATCATTTGAACATCAGATGTGTTCAAAGATAAATCTCAACAAACGAAAACATCATCATGATTGCTTGATTCATATGGGATGGGAAATAAAGGATTTCTAAACAAATATACATTTAAGTATGTTCCACAAACCCCCTTTAAAAAAATAAGTCGGAATGATGAGTAAACATTCAATAGACTTCCCGAGGCAGCAAACATTTAAATGTTTAAGTCGGAAAATGTTTGGAAATGTAATAAAAGGAGAGAAGGGAAGAAGCGTCTAGTCGAAATTATGGAGGAATCTCTAAATATTCTCAGACAAAATGCCAAGACTTTCTGGTGCGAAAGAATTTTCACTTGACTCACTTTCATGTCACGGTCATTGACTGCATGTAATCGTCTGTATTCAAATGCTATTAAAATGATTAATTGTTATATAATTAGGCAATGAGATGATGTTTACCGTTTCGTTATTTTACGCCGTTACTTGTGGGGTGTTGTTAACAGTGTTTGGTTTCGTCACTTTGTTGTGTTGCGGAAACGAAAGATCATAATGTCAGCTCATTTGTCAAAAATAATCAAAAGCGTGAACATTATCAGCAACGTGAAAAAGATTAATGCCGAATAAAATTGCCAATAGTTCGTGTTTGAGTCGGCAGCTCACAAATGATCGCCATCATGTTTCCTTTTCAGAAGTGATTTTTCTTCTTACTTGAACTTTTTCCGGCTTCAATTTATCCCTTTTTTGGTGCCGAACATTTTCACACAACCGAGGAAGTGGAGACAAGTTACCCTCAGCCGGGAAGCTCTCATTTAACCTCTCATGCTCCCGAACTCTATAAAACTCAATTCTCACTTCTTATTATTCTTCTACTTATGCGGAACTCGACTCATCTTACTTTATCCTTTTCTCATTTTTCTTTACATTTTCCGAAATATTTTCCAAATATTTTTCGTCCTTCTCTCGTCGTTTTTGAGAAAATTTCGTTCTCAATTATCTTGTCGTAGTGTTAGTGCATGAGAGAGAAAAAGGAAAATTATGAGAGATAAATGAGAATAAAGGAAATTCGTGCACGTTGTTCACGTTGCAGAAAAAATATTTCGCTTCGAAAATAATGAAAGGAATAATACAACGGGACGTGCGATATATTTTCAGTCCTGCTTCAACCTTACATCATTTCAGATTAATTTTTTACTCCTTCTTGAAAAGAAAAAAAGAAAATTCAAACAGTCAATATTTGGAACTATTTTCCTTATCCAAGTGACGAGCGATATCAGAAAGTGAATTTTTTCTGAAAATCGCAATCTTTTCCCTTTTTTAACGCTTGACATAACTGATTATTATTGGCGGAAAACAATTGTGAGTATAAATTATGACTTTTTCTCACTAATTCTCTTAAATGGAAAGTTTGTTTCGCGTTAAGAATATAAATTATGGTAAAAGAAGTGGCAAATGGAAGAAGTTACATAACGCTAGAATGGACACACAAAAAAACTTTTTTAACGTCCAAAAGAAATATCCAAAACAACTTTTTCCATTTTATCGTTTAGGTATACTTTTATTTTTATCACTTTTCTTTACGGCATTTTCTTTATCTTTATTTATAGCTATCCGGCACCACAGTAGAGCTAAAGAAAAGCAAAAAAGAAGTAACGAAAGTATAACATAAAAAGCGGCAACGAAGGAAAAGGAGAAAATTTTCCGAAACGATTGACCCTGAGCTAAAAAAAGGCAAAAAATAAAATAAAATAAAAACAAGTTAAGGAGAAGACAACAAAGTTGTGATTTTGCACATCGAAATTCATTCACAAGGACGTGAAAGTATCTTACAAAACATCTAAATTCTATGTGTTCATGTGAATGCCGGGTTTAGGATTGAGAATAACACACAACAAATACCACAGAAACGACACTAAATTTTCTCAACGTCTCCATAATAAAAATTAATTGAATATTTTTATCGAAAAACAGTAGAGAGCGAGGACGCGCTTCTGACATATTCGATTACAACACACAAAACAAGGCAAACGACGAAGGAAAAAAAGGGCAAATAAACTTTTCATATCGTGCAGAAGGAAAAAAGTTTTTAATAAAATCGAGAAACGAAGAAGAAGCAAACAAGGAAAGAAAAGTTTCTGCCTTTTTGCTTTAATCGTGTGGCACAAATAAACAATGTGAACATAGAGACGAAATTGAATATATTTTCCTTGACATTTAGCAGACAATCTTTCTTCAACTAAGAAAAAAAGAACGTCTTCTAGTAATCGATTCACAAAGCAAAAGAAAAAAAATTAGAAAAAAACTTTTCTTAAGTGAGTTTTGTGATAAAGAAACGGATCAGAAAGAAAAAAAATAGATTAGTAAGAAAGCAGAATTAATTACCAGTGTGATAATTGAAAAATAGGAAAGTGAAAATTTTTTATGTAATCAGAGAAAACAGTAGCGACATAATTTAATTAAAATATCCTATAATTTAATCATAATAAATTTGGATAAAATTAACACATTTTCGACTTATACCTTTCGAGTCTGTGGGTGAAATTCGAATTAATTATCATTAAAGAATTACAAACGAGAGAGAGAAAAACAAAGTAGAAACGCTTTGTTACTGTGCCGAACATTGAAACGCAAAACAAACAAAAAACGAAATATTAATAAGCCATGGCTACAATGGTTAATATGAACAGCTTAATAAATGGAAAGGATTCGAGATGGCTCCAATTGGAAGTTTGCCGCGAGTTTCAACGAAATAAGTGTTCACGTCCGGATACTGAATGCAAGTTTGCCCATCCACCGGCAAATGTTGAAGTACAAAACGGGCGAGTCACGGCTTGTTATGACAGCATTAAGGTGAGTTTTATTTATCTTATTTTCGTTTCCCTAAATAATATTATCAAACAATCGTTCTTGAACTCAATTTGTCTATAAAATTTTTATTACAATAAAAGTTAAAAATAGCTGATAAAGGTTGAAAATTTCTTGTTTTCAACCCCTTCAAGAAAACAGCATCGAGTGATATGCTAGCGGTCTTGAACAGCTATAAAACGACAACAAGAAAAGAAAGAAAAACTCTCGACAGCTATCTGTCTTTTCTTTTCATGTTTCAACCATCTCACACTCCCCCGCAAAACGCCTTCTTTCCGGCTTTTTTTCTTGCTTTCTCATTGCTACCCCAACATAAAACGCACATGATAATATACATAGATTCGCTCCGTTTCTGCTTTCATATGAATATTATTGTAGTTTTGCTACATATTTAGACTGGAAACTGAAGAAAGGCGAGAACGTGCTCCGCATAATATAATTTTTTTAAAAAAATACGAGAAAGGAAGGAAGAAAATTCTACTTTTTGGTGAAGAAAGCTTGGAAGAAAAAGGAAGAAAAATGCCATATAATTTATTTTCCTCCGTTATGATGTTTATATGGAAAATCACTCCTCATCAAGATGAGAAAACCTGCAAAACTCGTAGAAAAACTCTCCCAGTTTTCTTTTCAGTGTTGATCCAAGAAAAATATGAGACATGTTATGTATTCGTATTTGAGACAAACTTCATCAACCGGCTGTTTGAATAATGAAACAAACAAAGCAATCGATGGTTACATTGAAACTTCATCGACTTGAAAGTTATTTTAATGTTGAAACATTTGAAATTCTTTTATCGAATTTTTTTTCATCATTAAATTCAGACAAAGAAACATTCTGAATTCGAATTCAAAGTAAGAAACAATGGCAATAGATAAATTACAATTTTTACAATACCCGAAAACAGATTTTAATTCTTCCCTTCACCACCTGCTCTATTGCATTACATAATTAATTGGCAAAAAAATAAAACAAATATACGAAAACGAGTTCATTGTTGTGCAATGCTTCTTGGTGTGCCCTGTGCAGTTATTGAACTTACGAGCGGAGAAAGCATAATAAAGTCAGAGTGAAAATTACACGTTTCGCAATAAATCTCATGATTTTCCTTTCTCCCCCAAAAACATTGCCGTTCATTTGTATTGAAGCGAAAGCACACATGTGTGAGTGAATACCTTGAAAACGACCATTAACGCAAGCGCACAATGGACAAAAGGACATTGAATTACATGCTGTAATCACTTAAATATGTAGATCAAAATAGAAAGAAAGAACGAAAGAATTTTAATAAAATGACAAATAAAATTTTCATTCCTTCGATGTCATTTATTCTTAGAATATCAGAAATTATTTTTAGATTATTTAATGTCAATCTTCAGCATTCGCTTTCCCAAATATTTTCCAAACTCATACGGTTTCATTTTAATTGAATTATAATTTTCCTATTTCCAATCTGTAGGCTGAGTTATTAATTTCATTAATAAAGTTCTTCCTTTTGAGAATGGGTAGAGTTTAAACTAATTCACTAACAAGCACACAAACAAGAGGAAAAAGAAAACGCTATCAAAGCGGAGTTGTTGGTAGGCATACATATAATCTGAGTGAAACTATATTTATGGTTTGTTGCAATTTTATTGCGGTCATGCGGCTCCAACGAGTCTATTTCTATATACCATGTAAAGTTTATTTGCTAAGCATACATATAATAAACTGTTTATAACGATTATAAACATCCAAATCTGTGTTCAGCATAGTCAAGAATTGCTACGTTAAAGATTAAATATTCGAGTAATCTGACAAATGAAATATTTTCTTTCGAATGAGTTAACATGTTTTTTTGACAAGCAGAAGGGTCACCACATACTAGTGATTATAATCAAGACTAAAGCCTACTGTAACCTCAAAACAAATAAGATTAATGTTGTTCAGACGTTTAAGCATTTCACGTAAATCTTTCATTGAAAACTTCTCTACTTACAAACCAGAATGATAAAAATTCATTGTGATATTCCAAATGTTGATTTAAATCTGTCAGCGACATCACCTGACATTCGAAGAGCCCGAAGGCAGACAAAGACGGTGTAGAGGGTTAAAAATATGTATCATTATTCTCTTCAAGCGTGCAGAAAGGAAACTTAATTGTTTTAACCGTAAAAATATGTTTTTATAACTAACTGGTTAGAGGGTAATATAATTTTTGTTCTCGAAAGTCTGAGTTAAAAATAAAAAGGAGAAAAGGAAAGAAGCGTATGTGCATTCATAACAACAGTTTTAATCGTCGTATGAATGAGATTCATAATTATATGTATGCAATTTAACAGCACGGCACCACAGAAGAACAACAAAAACTCATAAAAACTTTCCTGAAAGCTGCTAAAAGAGTGAAGTGTGTAAAACAAGGGGAGAAACAGTTTGTTTGTACTTATGCGAAACTTGAAGCTTGTTATCTTCACGATTTTTTTCCTTCTCATTTTTCCACACCTCTAAACATTAAAAAAATGTAGAGGAAAATATGAACTGAAAGTTTTTCTTCGCTTTCCCGTTTAAGAATTTAATTAATTTTTGTCTGAAATAAGAGCTTTAATAATTTTAATGAGCTTTACATCTTTCGTTGAGTGGAGAGGAAATTTTCACAATCCGTGAAATTACGATGCATAATTAAGAAGTCACTTATTATATCTCTTAAACAGTCTTTCTCTTGTTTCTTTTTTTTATTGTGTTATTCAATATTATGATCTTGAAGAGGCTAAAATTCTTGTCAGAACTGATGATGGCATGAGAAGAGCTTAAAATAAACAGACTATAAATTAATACTTTAATGAGTTGCTTCCGTTTCGGGATTGTTGAAGTCGACAGACGCATTTAATTTAAGCTTAATCGTTCTCTGTCAAAATCACGACGAACATTCATTCAGATTATGATTGATGACATGTTCGTCGTACGAGATAATTATCCCCTTTATCTCACTTAGAGAATAAGACTTCATTACGATACCTCGTTTTGAATAATCATTTGATGAATTGACTTCCGCACTTCTTAAGCTATAAATAAATGACATAAAGAGTTCATTTTATTGACATTTTCAGGGACGATGCAATCGTGAAAAGCCTCCATGTAAATACTTTCATCCGCCACAACACCTAAAAGATCAATTATTGATAAATGGTCGCAATCATTTAGCATTAAAAAATGCGTTGATGCAACAAATGGGCATGGCACCAAATGGACAACCAATTATTACAAGTCAGCTACAGCCGATGGTAAGTTTTCCTCCTTCCACCAGATCTTCTTCGCTGCCATCGCCGTGTATGTATTTGTATAATAACTCGCAAAACGCTACACAAATTTTCGTTACAATTTGCCATAAAAAAGCGCCGCGCATATAAAATTCGATTAAATGTAAAGTTGAGGCAATATTTTTTGATAGCTTCGATATCTATCAACTTAAAAATTGCTCATTTTTACATTCGAACTTTAAAAAGCTTTTTTCTGCTGGCACCAAATCAAAAAAGCATTTCATTTGATGTTATCTTTAAAACGCTTTTACATTCAATTTGTTTCTATTTCAACAATGTATTTGTTCAACATCGAGAAAATTGGTGTAATGAAGGGTGAATGGTATTAATAATATTAAAATTAAGGGATCTTCATTGCATCATTAGCATCATATTTTCCATTGAAACTTGAGTTTAACTGAAGGTTCTCGAGAATCTTTCTTCTTTTTTTCCTGAAATAATTCATAAAAACCTTCCAAAAGCACGACTTTCATACTTATTCATGAATATTTAGAAGATCAAATTCTTAAAGATTACAAATTTATTTAAATCAGAAAAGCAAGTAAATGAAAGAAGCTTATGATTTAGCATTTAGATAATTCTCTCTTCATCTGCCTTCTCGATGAACAAAAGCATTCTTCCTTTGCCTTCATGTTTTATGATTTTTCACGCATCAATAAAAACTTATGTTTCGAATTGTTAAAACTTTTCCTTTGTTTATTTTTGTCTTCCTTTTGAAAAACAAAAACTTTTATTATCAACAATAAGGCTGCAAACGCTTATATAGCTGGTGTACCTGCTAGTAATCCTTACAATCCATATTTTGCTCCTGGACAATTAGTACCTACAATATTAGGGCCCGATCCATCAACAGCTACGGCCACAGTCTCACCACAAATGACGCAATGTGTTCCACAACCTGTACCCATGCCCCAACAACAGAAACTTCCACGGTCCGATCGGATTGAGGTGAGTTCACTTATGTTTCATAAATTTAAAACGTTACTTCTCTTTCCATTTGATTTACAACACCACCCACATCATATTTTATTCAACTTTTCTTTTCATGGAACGAATTATTCAATTTTCTTTCATATTTTTTTCAAATTTTTTTTACCTCAATAAAAATTGTTTTATGATTGCTTTCGTCGTTAAATTATTGCAGTTTATTGTGCTCTCTTTCCACTGTTTACATACAATATTATCCTTACACCTCCCTTTACTGCATCCCTAATTTGAGAGTTGATGACGAGAAAGCAATTATTTTCCACGTCAATAATTTATCGATATTCGGAAAAATCGCAATTTAATATCTGATTTCATTATTGATAACCAACAACACAATATTTCTGTTCCCTTTTGTGATGAAAGGCTTTTTCTTCCCTTTATTTCATTCTGTTTTGTTATTCATGATTTCAGAAGAATGAGACACTTTTAACAGCTTTTATGTTTTCGATCTATTTTTATAAATATTTATATATTATACAAAATATTGTCTTACTGTATGTACACAACTCTTTTTAAATGCATCTCAAACAAATAATTTATTTTGAATAATAAAATATCTGCTTTTTGCGCACGATTGTCTCATAAAAGTAATAAATTTAGGAAATCGTGAAGAAATCGAAGGAAAATAGAGAAAAATATAAAATAAATGATTGTCTTTCTTGTTTGAATCGAAGCGAAAATAAATCAGGAACTTAATGGCAAAAGTAATCCCATTTTAGTTCGCTTCAACGGAGTTGGTGATTCAATATAAGGAAAAAAAGTAGAAAGTCGATGACTAACTTACTAAAATTTAACTTTATCGATTAAATTTAAAGAAAAAGAAAACGATGATTTGACACACATTTCAATTAAATAAAATAAATTTAATGATCATTCAATTTTTAAAACTTTTCTATCTTTTCTTGACGTTTTAAGCAGACGAGAAGTTTTCTTTCATCACAAGAATATAAAATTTTTAAGGATTATAATTGCATGATTGAAGAACAAACTTTTAAATCCTTGAAATAAGCTAGGAAATGAAAGTATTAAAAGTTGAATGCAAATAAAAAAACGAAGAAGTTTACACATTAAAGGCTTAAGCATCATTTTTATTCATAAAAAGAAGAGCTTTTGGAGGACGAAAGATAAAAGCTCCAACATCAAAGAAAACTTTGTGCAACATGCTTAATGCGCTTTCTAAATGCAATTAGGAAAGTTTCTCCTCTTGTAGGAGAAAATTTCTTGCTTCTTTCTTCTGCACTTGTTGATGTGATATTTTCAAATTATAATTTAACTAAATAATTTCTTATTTTGATTTGACGGAAAGATGAAAGTTTATAATTATGCTAACATCTTCATTTTATTTTTCTTTTATTAAATAATCTGCCTTCGTATATTTATTACTGTAATGTTCGCTTAATCACTTTGATGCTCCTTCTGCTGCTTAAAGAAACGACAATTTTTTTCGTAATAAAAGCAACCTTTTTTCTTTTATCATGTTTATGCTTAATTATTCTTTTCTATATAAAAAAAATGATGGAAATTTTCTTGCAAAGCAAATTTCTCAGCGTAGCTCAATAATTGAGCTACATAACGACTCGTTGAATGGCTGCCGCATATTTCCAAGCGCTTCTAATTCTTTTCTTTTATTGCTTTAACTAAGAAAACTCATGCTAAATATGGATTCAGTTTTATTAAGCTGACTACAGAAACTTTCTATTTTATTTTTGCTTTCTTTTCTCTTTACTTATCCAATAAACTGAAAGCAAAAAGCTTTTTCATGTTTTTGACGATGGAAAAAGTTTATGCTTACTAATTAGTAAGAAAAAAAGAACAAAAAAAGAAAACTATGAACTGTAATTATTTAAGGTTTGTCGCGAATTTAGTCGGGGTGCCTGTAAACGAGCTGAATCTGAGTGCCGTTTCGCTCATCCGAAAGATGGTGTGACACAACTCGACGATGGCTCCGTAACTGTTTGCATGGATGCCGTGAAGGGTAGATGCACTCGTTCACCCTGTCGCTATTTTCATCCTCCTTTACACCTTCAGGCTCAAATAAAGGCTGCTCAATCACGCGCGGTAATAGTTATCTTTACAAAATCCAAAACAACCATCAAACTACTCAACCAATCTCAGTTAAACTTTTTTGTTTCTAAAATATTTTTCTCATAACTCTTCTTCTATTGAATGAATAAAAATAAATGCAGAAAAGTTTTCCAAAAGTTTGAATATAAAATTTTTATTAAAATTGGCATCAAAAATTCTGCATTTTCAAGTTATTCGTCTTACAGTTTAACCTCTTAAGAATAAGATAATAATTAGATCGAAATGTGAAAAATTCAGAGGTTGAATTGTTGCAAATCTCATCATATCGCTCTCTATCTTTTACCATTTCCAAGTCCTCCTTCAACCAGCAAAAATTCTTTTCCTTTTTCCCTTTTTACGTTCTTAAGCATTTCCATCAAAATTCTTTTTCAACTTTTATCGTTTTCATGATGATTATGATTTTTATATCAATTTGCAGTTTTCAGTTTCAATCGAAAGTTACATCATAATTTATGAGTGCAATAAGAAAAGTTTTCTAATTTCGGAAATAAAAAATCTGATAAAAGTTTAATTGGAATGTGTGCTCGAACGAACTTACGTCATGACAAACAGTTTGTCACTCTCAATACGTTATCTGATTTCAGAGTTAATTACATATTTTAAGCTCTTGACTTGAATAGATATCTTTGTTTGTATGATCTTTTAATGTTTAGAAATATTTGTTATACTGTTTAATTCATCATTTTGTAATATTTCAACAAGTTTGATGTTAAACTCTTTACGTACAAAAGAAAGTGAATGAAAATTCTTTTTTATTACATAATTTGGAATTGGAGGAAAATTGTGGGTAGTGCGATTTTCATTGTAGGTTTTCGTGTAATCAATCAAGCCCTTCTGCTTCTACAAATCGCTTTGCTTCAAACTTCGCTTCGCTTCCTATCGCTAAAGCTGCTGTTTGTCTAAAAATGTTAATGTTGATCCAGTTTCTACAAATAAATAAATGAAAAAAACATTGAAAAGTTAATCTTACTGATAGACATGCTACAAGTGGGACTAAGAAAGAAAATGAAGAAAATTTTCCACTTTATTGATTTTTTTCTTCTATCCCCACGTTAATATTCATATACATATAAATTTAATTCATTAAATTGGGTATGTTTGATCATTTCATTTATTTTTCTTTCGTGTTTGTGTTATTCATTAATTCTCAACAAATTTATTTTCGGTATATGCGATACTCTCGTCTCCACTCTCATTAACCTTGTTTTTATTTGCATGAAATGCGGCATATTAACATTTTTATTTTGTGTTTCTATCGTAAAAAGTTCTATTTTCAATTTTAATTTGATTAGATTAAAGAAATTGACGCATAAAATTCCTAGTGTAGTTAACTATGAACTTAGATGAGTGGATTAATCAACAAACTTTGTACGATTTGCACGTTACTTTAAGATTGACAAAGTAGACAAGCTATCAAGTATTCAAAATTAAACAATTTATGTACATATCCACACAGCAAAACTTTCATTCACTTTACTTTTGAATTTACGGAATTATCAGAATAGAATAAAAATATGAATAATTGCATAAATCAAATCTTCACCATTTCATGACCGGTGATGCTTTAAATATCATCAGTACCATCACTTTAAATTCACTTAGGGAAAACTTGCTTGAGAATGTCAGCAAATTACTGCATAAATTTAATCTAATTATGAGTCTGAAATATGGGAATACAATGGGCCTCTGTAGAGTGAGAGAGAAGAATTTGCATAATTTTATGCAATATGCTAAATATTCACTAAGCACGACATCAATTATTTTCAACTCAATCTCAATGCACAAAGCGGGTACTATGCCGGGAGCATTTCAACATTTTTAACGAAAAGATATTTGTTTCTAAATATTATTTCATTTCATATACGCACCACTGAACTTCGTCCTAAGACTACGTTTTTTTATGTTGACTGGGAGCGTTCGGTTTAAATGAAATGAGATAAAATTATGCGCATAAAACATGAACTCAGACTCGTGCCGCAGACGTGATGGTCGCTCATAGAAATGTCAGAGTATCAGATTTTCTGTAACTGTTGTGAGCTTGACTCTTTATGCTTGGAATATTCCTCGGTTTTCTATAAGTCAAAAGTCAATTCATGGTTCATGAATCTTTTTATCAAAAAATGGAAAATAATCTTATTGAACACATTTATAGCTGTGGATAGAATAAAACATAAATATCAACTCACTATTAACTCAGAACCGTCTACCATAAGGAAACTTTTCTCATTTATGTTTCATTGAATGGAATTTGGAAGATTTTATTAATTATATTAATATACAGAGAACTTTTCTGTTCGGAAAATATGAGCAGAAGGTTAAATTTCTCAAAACCTTTCAACTATTTACAAATCATGTTCAAAGAAAGTTCTCTCTATTTAATAATCTTAAAATTTTAAAAATTTCACAGAAGACAATCATAAGAAAATTAATCATAAAACTATTTCAACATAAATCATTCCTTCTAATTTTTAAATTAAATGATTTCGGACATATCAATTTATAATTTGTCATCATAAATACTCGATTTATTTTTTATCCATTTTGTTTAAAAATTTCCTTTTCCACCATGTTGTTCACTTTCCAATTTCTTCTCTGCTTTTAAACATAAGAGTTACATCAACATAAAATTGCATAATTTCAACTTTCCTTCATTTTCTTAAGTTCTCAAATCTTTAATTAAAATGATTGTCTACTAAAGTCCATTGGAATGCTAATTTTTTTCTTCTCTTTCTTCTTCACGCTTACAGATGGATATGAAAACCATTGGATCGATATATTATGAAAATTTTGTAAGTATAAAAAGCAGCTGCGATCTTGAGAGAATTATTCATTTTAATTGAAATAATCTTCTCAGATCCCTGGCATGGTGCCTTATAAAAGGTCCGCAGCAGATAAATCGGGCATTCCAGTTTACCAACCTAGTGCAACCAATTATCAACAGCTCATGCATATGCAACAACCATTCGTACCCGTCTCATGTGAGTCTTTTAAAACAATTGCCAAAAACTGTTTTAAACGATTTTTAATCTCATTATTACTTTATTCAATTTCATTGAAACAGATATTTATAAACTCCAAGATTTTCAACTTCAAGGGAAATAAGCATTGGTCGGTATGATGTCGAGATAATTTTGTTGGGAGGGGAATACAGAAAGCTGTATGTGATGTAGAAACTGGTAAACGAAAATCGCATGCATTCACCGACCGACCGAATGACTATCAGAGATTTCGGTGGCAATAAAGAATATGAAAATTAACAATTTAAAATAATAAAAAACAATAAAATTTAAAATTAATCAAAATATATTGGTCTATTAAAACATAATATTGAAATGGTCGCAATTATCTCCAGCAACTAAATGTGCTGTATGCGGTGCGAAAAAGTCTTGAAAAATTCAACAGATCAGGATGTGGATGTGGAATATTCGTTCTGGTTCTGGAGATGGAGGAATATAATGTTTTAAATATTCAAAGGAAAAACAAAAAAAATAATTTTAGTCGCAGTTAGAATGCTGCAAAGTATCAAATTAAAAACGAAGGTTAATAAATTATTAAACAATTGAAAAGAGAAACCAAACAATCCACACAAACTACATACAATATTACTTACATCTCGTGTGTTATTAAAGTAAAAGTAATTGAACTTTTTTATAGTAATTAATTTGTTCTTTAAAGTTTAAAAACAACACACATACACACACAAGTTACACACAGTATGTTTATTATACCATAATGAAAAGTGGAATTAAAATTATTTAAATTTATATTTAATAACTAAAAAGAAATTAAGAAAAAACTATGAAAATAAATTCGATTGCACAACCAAAAACATGAACATTTTACAACAATGAAAATGATAAAAAATACCTACACATTTTTAATATCTAATTAAAAAAATAGTTTTCAAAAAAAAATGAAGAAATGATGAAAATGAATGAAATTACTGTGAAACACATATTCATCGATGATTGTAGATATCTAATATGGGATTATGAAAGTGAAATTATTTACATTTTATACAAAAAGAAACCAACTTTCCTTGAAAATCTAGTTCCAGTCTTAAAATGACTTTAACTTATGTAATTTAATGAATTATATCATAATAAAAAAATTATTTGTTATAATCATGATTTCATTATTAAGACATAAAAAAAAAAGAAAATAAAAAAAAATATTCAAAATAAATTCTTATGAGAGTTTCATTACGCTCGTACTTCGTTGCGTATGATTAATTGTGTTTTCAGAGTAAATTGTAATGAAAATTACTCGCAAAGATGGTGATGAGGGGAGGATAAAAAAAGAAAATGTAAAGAATGAAAAATTACGTAATGAGCTTTGTGAGAGTTTTTAGAGTGAAGTTTTTCAAGAGCAATTTTCGAGAGATTTTCAGCTTTTTGGTTGATGAGTGTTTTGCGCATTTGGAGCAGTTGGTCAGTTATGTCACAAATTCTTCTTCTTGAAAAGGTGAGAAGTTTAAATTTTCTTCTTGAAATTCTTTTCTGGTGACATCATTTCACTTCGAACCAATTTTAAATTCTTTCATATGCCCTAATGAAACTTATTTACGAGGAAACACGAACAATGAACAAGAAAACGCCGTTTCACTGCTAGTACAAAAGTGAACATTGACGAGAATTTTGTTTTTTTTAGATAGATAACTTTTGATTCTACTTTTTTTATCTTATCTCATGCGCCAACAAGCTTGAAACAGAATTTGTAACGACAACAAAAGGCCCTAGAAACGATAACTTTTTCCCCAACAAATTGCTTTCAATTGTTCCTACATGATGTTATATACACTTGTTTGCTAAGCTCGTTTAATTCCATAATTCAATTAGTTTTGAACAACAGAAAATTTTCAACATTTTATTTGAAAACAGAAGAAAAAAGATTTGTGAAAAAAAAGGCAAACATCAATTGTTGTAAACCTTTCAATGTGAATGGATTTGAAGTTGAAAATATGATTGAAACGACATCGGATAAAAACGAAAATTTAGTGAAAAAAGAAAACTTTAACTTCCGTCAAATGGAGGATGCTAAGAGTGAGTTGAATCGGATGCCCTAATATATCTTCGAAGTCATTGTCTGTTTCCTGCTTAACTGATTTTCACAGCATTTATCTTGTTCAATGTTCATCTAAGAAAATTTCTGCTTTCAGAGCCATCAATAATTCATGTGATTCTATTAAATCGTACATTGAGGATTCTTCTCGCGCTCAGCATCTTTTGTACGATTCTTCCAATCGTCATTTACTTTTATTTCTACTCAACAGACATTACAGAATATCACATCGATGATTCTGGCATTTGCAGCCATTATCCCATCTATCAAATCCCTTGTGGTTCTAAGGTAAAGCTTTCATTTCTTTCTTCCGATACTTAATTTTCTTTCAATAGCTTTTTCTGCTTAATTTGCAAAATTACGTGAACTGCTTAGACGGAAATTGTTTTAAAGCAAAATCTGGAAAACAAAAGTCTTTGATTAATATTTGTGTGCTTCAATCAAAACATTTTAAAGTAAATAATTTGAGTTAAACTTGATCGAGAATTTCCTGAAGCTTCCGGCTATTTAAGGAATAAACCTGGAAATTTGTTCAAATTCAAAGTCAGAATGAATAAATTGAAACTTCTGTCGCTGACCTACACTCGTGTTAATTTTCTAACACTCACTTGATAATCTACAATTAAAACCATTGTCAATAATTTGAACATTCGCTTTTTAAAGAAGTGACTACATACAAAGCCAATTTCATCTCTAAATCCAATCAACGTTTTGCTTTCTATTTGCAGGATATAAATGAATCAGAGTGCATGGAATATTCATGTTGCTTTAATCTAAAGACCGGATGTTATCACTTTTTACCATCAAAGTATCAATATATTGTTCAAAGCGCAAGTGAAACGTCAGAGGAATTTTTTCTACCAACGAAAATAGTTTCGCCATTGAAGACAAAAGCTTTTAAACGAATGAAATTGGATATTCAAGAAATGAGCGATGATTCTTTATCTGTTTTGCTATGGAATCCGGATATTGTTTCCAGAGAAAGAGAATTTAAGGAGCTTCCGTCAGAAGCTGAATACATGTTCAAAGTGTTTTCACCTGAAATGTTCGTTGAAGTTAAGCGGAAACTTGATAATAAAACAATATTCAGTACCGCCCGTGGAGCATTGATAGCAAGCGAAAACTATTTCGAATGGAGTTTTTTTCTAAACAGCATGGAACTGATGGGATTCGATGAATTGCATTTGAAAGAAGGTCACAAGCTTCTAATCAACAACGAATTCTCGTCAGTTGTTCCATATGTTATTGCATTCGGTAGATAGAAGAACAATGTTGACAATTGGGAAATACGAACAATGAATGAATATCGAACTCATGAATCTTCCGTTTTCTGTTTCAGATCGTGAACACAAACATTATCATGCAGTGAAATTTGAATCGATTGATGGCCCAGCAGAACTGCAAATACTTCACTCAAATGTTATCATCATTCGTCAGTACCACAGCTCATCATTTCGCATCCGAATCTTTATAGGGCCCGAATATAATGACGTAAAAAAGCAGATAATGAAACATTTACCGCATTATCTCCCAAAGGATTCATGGTCGTATGGCGTTCATTTTTGTCAATCTACGACAATTTTTAATGAGACTGAAACAATTCTTGATATGAATCACTTGTTGGATGATGCAAACATAAAATCGATTCCTTTTGATTCTCATTGCATTCATGATAAGTTAACTGCACTCGTTATCTCCCGTAATGACACAGAGACTGTCTTTGATAGCTATAATGAAGTTGTCGAAAAGCTTCAAGAGAACAACAAAACACTTCTTTTACATGTGAGCTTTAATTTGATAGCTGAAAATACAAGCGATGTTTATCATCAGGCAATCGAGTCTGAACTTTTTCTTAAAGATGATGAGGGTGTTAACTTTGCCGGTTTGTATGGAAAGAATCAAAAAGTTTTCTACCTTGATTACTTCATGAAATCAAGAGAAATAACTGACATTCTTCTTACTCCACGATGGCTTGAACTTCAAGAGTTTCTCAATCTCACTCAAGGCATCTTCTTACATAAGAGTTTTCCATTCGACGGAACCGCAAACAAATCGTTAGATTACCTGAACGATTTCAACTTTAAACCGAGTAACATTGAGAATTACGTGAGAAATTTAATACCGCTCAACTTACGATTGAATGAAGATGAAATGCTGATCCATCAATTAAACAACTACGGACGAAAGCAGGTTGAAATTTTCGAAACTCTAAACCACGAAAATAAGTTTTGTGTAACAGATTCCTATCGAGACGATACTCAATGTGCAATGTTGTTTCGTGAGTTCAAGCCAAGTTGGATAAGTTTTCAGGGAATTGTTCAGAAATCAGTTTTCTATTCTTTAATTGGAATGTCGTTCTATGGTGCGGAAGTCTGTGGTAGCAATCATGGAAACATTCAAGAGGATTTATGTATTCGATGGTATCAATTTGCTATTTTCACTCCCCTTTTCTATGTGAAAAGTGACAAATTGCCTCTGAAATTTACAAAATATGCTGAACGAATTATGACGCAAGCGATCGGACCTCGCTATTCATTGTTGAGTTACATTAGAATGCATTTAATGGAACGACAACCATTGTTGAAGCCACTGAGGTTTGAATATTTAGATCTGAGTGAACATATTGAAGAATCTACCAAGCATCAGTTCATGTTCGGTACATCGCTAATGATTGCACCAGTAACTGAACCTTTGGTCGTTGAACTCGAACTTTTCTTTCCCGAGCAATACTTTGAATTCTGGTCGGGAGCTGCGATGCCTCGAAACACAAGCCACTTCTCACTTGTCATGCACGACATTCCAATATTTGTTCGAGCGGGTCATATTGTCGCACTTAATCTTGCTTATGAATCATTGTCAGCAAACGAAGCGAGCTTAAAACCGTTCTTTCTCGTCGTTGCCCTTTCTTGCACAGAGAGATTTACATGCCACTCGGAAGGAAAACTTGTCGTAGTAAAAAATATCTTAGAATTTCGTTTCGAGGCGTCTGAGAATCATCTCAACATAACAATAATTACGGAAAATCCTAGTAAAAGCAAAAACACAATTTGCGATCCGGAACGACTCGTTTCAAATGAATTTCTTCTAGCTAAAATTTATGGATTGGATGAGTTTAAACCGAAATACCTTAATGATTATTTATCACTAGATTTAAATGTTTGCGACGATGCAGACTGGAATAAAACTTTTAGTTTTTTAATTTAACTAAAATGAAAATGTTTTCAACTAAAAGAAGGAAAGATAAAAAAGAATAAGAAGAAGAAAACTCTTTTATTTATTTATTTTTTATTTTTTTGTTGCACAAAATTTGCTTTTTTTTCTCTTCCTCGTTTTATTTTATTTTATTTTTATCTTTTTTATTTACTTAAAGAATATAAAACAGACTGTGTGCTATTTTTTATGTATATCATCAAATCCATAGAGCAGTAGTGGGTGGAACTATCTTCCACCCACTCCTCTCGAGAAAATAAGAGAAAGAGAGATAGAGAGAGAGAGAAAGATATAAAACAGGTAAACAGAAATGTTTAAGAAGAACTAGAACCAACAATATTGTTTCTCTTTTTATTATTTAAATGTAAAATTTAAGGAAATTTTCTTTACTTTTTATTATACAATAGAAAGATTGACTCAATTTTTTCATTTTTTTTCTTATAAGATATTTCATTATTTAATATCATCTTAAAGTGAAACTCGTTGATATTTTAGTTATATGTGTTTGTATGTGAGAGTGTGTGTATAAATTAGGTTGACATGATTGTAAAGTCATCAACCAGGACTTTCTATTAAAATTAATCATTGAAAAATAATATAAATAGGAAATGTCTGAAAACGACTTCAATTTCCTTCGATAAGTGTCTCAGTTGATTAAGTTTCAGAAATTTTTTATATTTTCTTTTCTTCTTTCATATAATTTTGTGCAACCTAATCAACAACTGTAGTGATAAATACATATTTGTTTGCAGCAAAAGTAATTTAAACTTTTGTCATCTCTTCTTTATTTTGATATCTTGATAGATATTCAATTTGAGTTGAAAATCTTAGATACTTAACAAACTAAGTAAATTTATTTTATTTTTCTATCATAGAAAATTGATGTTGATTTCAGCGAACAATAAACTTTTATTCAAACATTATGATTGTACATAAAATGTCTCCGGTGTCAAACTGTCACCTTCTGTTCAACCTAGGTAGGTAGTACATGTGTATATAAACTATAATCGCATTTCTAGCGAATAAAAATTCCATTCCGTTGGTGTTTTTTTTTTCCTTTTTTTTCGTTTAACGAGTAAAAAAATTGAGAAGAAACTTTCCATCCATTGCGATTTGAAATCCCTTCTCGTTGTTCACCATCTTCACTTGCTCCTTACTCCAAAAATAACAGAAGATCCATGATAAGTAAAAAAACTGAATAAAATTTTCATCCCGACTATAATTCACGTCGGGGTTATGGGTTTTCATTTTCGAAAGTTCATGATGAAATATTCATCTCTTTCCCGAGCGGTGCAGTTGGAAGTTTAAAGATATCTATAGGAAGAGTGAGTTTTCCCGATGAGGGGGCGGAGAAGAAAATAAAGCAGAATTATTTATGATCTGGAGATGAGACTAATGACAGTTTTGTGCGCAAATTGATAGAAGCAAAGCTCGCTTGTTTTTACACTTGCGGGATACTCACATGAGACGGGTACGAATGGCTGCTGCATATGCATGATCTGCTGATAATTGGTAGTGTTCGGTTGATAAATTGGAATGCTAGATTTGTCTCCTGCGGGCCTTTTGTACGGCACCATACCAGGATAAGTCTGTAAAAAATGGCAAGAACGAAATCATAAAAAAAGTTATTATCCTCAAGATCTTGATACGAGAACATTTGTTATCGAAGTACTTACATAGTTCTCATAATATATCGAGCCAATAGTTTTCATATCCATCTGAGTGTACAGCAGGAACAATGCAGGGGTCGGGAGAGAGAAAACATAAAAAATGTTTTATTGAAAATATGTTATAAATCGAGTAATATTTCCACTTCAAAAGTCTTTGGCATTAAATGACTTCTAAGCTCATGAAACTCGAGAATCAGCACGGAAGCAGAATTTCTCTTTAATATTAGTTTATTCAGTCAACTGAAGTTAAGAATCAACATTGAATTTAAATTTGGTACACGATAAAGCATTTTACGTTGAATTTTACTAGCGCATAAATAATTAGAAATCGCGGTATTTAATATTAGGAAATTCTTAAGAAATCTTTCATGAATTAACATTCAAAGTCTTAGTATATTGTTCTGTTGGAATGTTTAAATTGCAAAGCTCATGAACTTTGAATGACTTTCGACTTTAATCAAATAAGTGATACGATAATACATAACAGGCATAACATGGGTTTGAATCTCCCCAAAGGCCATCACGTCTGTTTACCTCTTCTGATACCTGTTTATTCTCCGTCAGCCGACAATACATCACAATGAAATTGTTCACATTTACCAACATATAAATGCGTATATGAAAACACTTTTTAGGTGACGTTAAGCTCAAAATATCATAAAAGGCTTTTCAAGTATATAAGAGCAGAATATTGAAATCAAAATTTACTACGCATTTTTATTGGACATCTCTGAAGGTAAATGCGTAAGTAAAGGGAAACTGGGAGAAAGGCAAGTTAAATTTGTGAACGTTGTAAATAAATTTTTATTTCACTTGCTTGTCCAATTTTCAGCCTTATAAATTTTATTCCCTTTTGATTTGTTTCGGTGAAATTGGTAACAAGCTTTTCATATTTTAAATGCGTTTTAGAATTGTACGGGTGAGAAATTTTAATGTTTGAAAATTGATTGTCATAACGCGGTGCATGTGGGGGAGTGAGTGATTAATACTTAGTTAAAAACTGTCAATCCTTTGCATTTATATACACTTCAGTCATTGACTACTTAAGTAACACATTGCATTGAGACATCACGAAGCGAAGCTGCAAAATCAATAATATTCAAAATCAACCGAATAAACCAACCCCAACACATCAGTTTAAGGCTAAACTTGAGTGCTTCCTACATTGTTTGTTATGACTATGAAGAGAATAATTTATTATGCTTGATGCAAGAACAACGTAAGTATCAACCGATCAATACTAATTATATGCTTCAAAGACTCACACATAGCAAAATGTTTTCTCAAATGAAAATTTAAAATTTATTATCGTACAGGATAGAAGGGAAACGTGTATGTGGGACTGACTTCATCCAACAATCTTTGATAAATTCTTTCTAAAAACGAAAAAATGTTCTTAAAATTAAAAGAACATTTAACTTGTATCGTGTGCCATAAATTTAAAATTATTGTGATTTATGTAGTTATGTTTAAGCACATACATAACTAATTGATATTTATGATATTTAATAAGAGATTAATTCGAAGCCCGATGAACTTTTACCGCTGCACAAACTCATCAAACATAATTTAGTTCTCAATTTGGGAAATGAATAAGAGATGAGAGATGGAAGTGAGGAAAATGTTTAATGATAATGAAACAATTTTCACCGTGCATATGCAAAGCACTACTATGAATGGCAAATTTTAATAACAATGTTCATCTTTTTGAAATTTATCTATTTGAATTAAAAAATTCAGCATGAAACTTTTGCCACTTAATTAAATCCATTAATTAGGATTTGGCAAATTTAATTACTTTGAGCATTTAATGATGATGATGACGTGGGAGCGAGAAAGAGTGAAATTCGTGTAACATCGCCAGCATAAACTTCTGTTTCTCTTTTTAGAAGTATTTCAATTTTGTGTTATAGAATATCGAGATAACTGAAAAAAAGAAATCCCTTTTCACTTCAAATTGTTTGTCTATCGCTTTTCAAGCTTCTTATTTTTCTCTCCACCCTATGCCATTCAAAGTTAAATCACTTAAGACGTTGTGTTATCTTTGGAGTTCCATTCAAGCACAACGAAAATGAGATTACTTTTGCCATTAAACTTCTGATTTATTCTTCATCGATGGAAAGAATGTATAGCGAGAAAATCTTTCTCAGGTTTATTTAGAAGTCATTGCTATTCACCTCAATCCGGTCGGAATGTTGGGGATGTTTCTGTTGTTGGGGCATGGGTACAGGTTGTGGAACACATTGCGTCATTTGTGGTGAGACTGATGCTTGTGACACTGTTGATGGATCGGGCCCTAATATTGTAGGTACTAATTGTCCTGGAGCAAAATATGGATTGTAATGATTACTAGCAGGTACACCAGCTATGTAAGCATTTGGAGCCTTTGGTGATGAAAATACAAAATGTGGAAACATTAAAGTTTGTGAAGAAAGCAAAAACTTCTTCCTTCAACTTACCATTGGCTGCATCTGATTTGTAATAATTGGTTGCCCATTTGGTGGCATTCCCATTTGTTGCATAAGAGCATTCTTCAATGCCAAATGATTGCGTCCATTTATCAACAGTTGATCCTTCAGGTGCTGTGGTGGATGATAATATTTGCATGGAGGTTTTTCACGATTGCATCGAGCCTTTAAGTAAAAGAAGAAAGAAAATTAAATTTCATGATTATTTTAACATGACAAAACAAATTGTAGATTATGCAACACAATCTTCTGAATTCTACATCAAGAAATGAATTCTAGATGAATATTAAATGAGACTCAAAGTCAGATGTTTACTGAGATGCCTTGATCGAGACGCAGAAGGAAGAAACAGACAAGGAAGTTTCTCATGCCTTGAGAATCTTGTGGTGCTGTAAATTACAGCTAAAAGATTGGGTACGAAATTCTTTCTTGCTTTGTAAATATTTTATGAAAACCAAAGTGTATACAAACTAAGGAGTGGAGAGAGCATAAATTGTTTATTTAGTGGCTTTGTTGAATAAAACGTCAGAATAGTGCACAACACAAACTTGTTGTGAGACATAAAGTCTAACGTCTATGAAAACAGTTTGTGAAAACAAGCGGAAAAAACTTATTTTTCCACATTTTTATTTCTTCAACGTTACGACATGAAAGTTTCATCATCGAAAACCGATAGGGAAAAGGCGGAGGCGTTTGCTACTTAAGTATCAAGTGCGAAAACTGCTATAACATGAAAAGGAAACAATTAATGCATAGAATGATGAAAGTCTTTAATAACTTAACTTAGTGGGGTTTAAGAGAAGTTTTCAATGAGAAACTTGAGATAAATTCAAGAGTGAAGATTTCAACAACCACACGAAATGAATTTTGCAGTAAATTTCAAAAGAACAATTGACGTGGAAATGAGGACAACCTGATGAAAGTTTCTTCATAAATTTAAAAAGCTCCTGGAGTACGTCAAAGTCACCCTAAATGTAAGTATTTAGACGGAAGAAGGCATAAAACAACAGCCGCATTTTATCATCCCATATCATTCATTCTACTTGCTATGTACTTTATTATTCTGAATATAAATTTTACTCTAGTGGATACTTAAAGTAAATATAATGAAATAACGTATTTATCTTATATATTATTTAGAAAATTTTAGTAGTTGAAAATAAGCATTTTATGTGTGTGATAAATAAGGAGATAGAGAAGCTTCCTTTTCATCTTCCACCCACGCAAAGGAATGAAATGGAGTCGAAGTAAGTACCTTTTGTTGAACCCTTGTTAAATCGGTAATTATAATATATTTAACTCTTGAAGAGTTAAATGTTTACATTTTCCCTAACTAGTTTGTGAAACAAAGTTTTGGAGGGGGAGAATGAATCGAAGAAAGATAGAAGGTTGAACGAATGTTGACCACAATCTTAATGGGTGATATGTGTGTTTGAAAACTACCAGACCATGATGCCAATCGTAATGATTTTTCTTTAAGCACTTTTTTTGGGTCAAATAAATAGTTTTTCGAATAATTTATGAAATTGTTGGCTGTCCAGTTTGGCAAGCATGGCAGGACTGTAAGAATGCATGACATTAAGACGAAACAGGATAAGAATGATTGCGATGTTTTCTTATAAAATTCAATATTCGCCTCAAGTCTTGTACTTCTTGTACTTCAATGACGGTGAAATGAAAGCAGGAAAAACTAGAGGAAAGCGATTGAAGAAAATGAAGAAGCACGAGTTATCAGCAGACGTGAACGAACAAATATAATTTTATATTAAAGTTTTTTTTCTGCCTACGTCTTTTTTTTCGTTTCCCCATTTATACTTCTCCAACATGCTGAATAAGAAAATTTTCCTCTTGTTTCTCTTCTCACACTCAAAATGTGAAGCTAAAAATCGATACGAAAAATTTTCCTCTTTTCTTTCTTTTTTGCTTTATTTGAGTCAAGACTTGAAGAGACGACGAAGAGATTCTCAATAAGGAATACGTTAAGGATTGTTTTATGTATTTTGCAGTGGGAAAGCAGCAAAATCAGAACAAGGTTCATCAAAAGCAGCCAATATTCAAGAAGTGAAGCTGATTTTGACAGAATTTCTCAAACGTCTTTTAAGATGCTTTTTAGTTTGAATGCAGAAAAATTTTAATTTTGTGAAAAGCAGAACTTTTATCGCTCGTTTTCTTTTTTTTAACGATTGCGGGGGTGGCGTGGAAAATTTATTGTGTCTTTCCTTAATAATATGTGTGAATATGAAGAGATAAGATAACGAAGTACTTTTTTTTAAGGCAGGAGGAAATAAATTACTTCATCTTCCTCTCCCCTTCACATTTTTTTCCCGCGCACTTTATACACGCCTCCATCCCCGCATTGCATGTTTATGTGACACATATGAGTGAATGAATGAATACACAAGCACGTGGAAAATTTCACGTTTCCCATGCTACCTTTGACAAAGATACTTTCCATTCTCCCTAAGCTAAGGGATTTTTTTATGTTGCCAGTTGATAATTAAAGACACATAACATGTTTTGGGTTTGCGTTTTGTCGACAGTTCTATTTTCATTTCATTTCATACGAAGCAAAAAAAATGCTTTCAAAAGATTGCATAAAACAGATAAATAGGTGCCAGTGGCGAATAAAAAACTTTGCAATGTGTGCATGACTCATATGAAATTTGAAAAATTGCATTATAATAGCGTTAATTCAGCATTTTTTTGCTTCCCTCTTACTACGGGTGTCTCTTCATGTTTCTCAACATTTTTTCGTCCATTCGTATATACAAATTCTCAAAGCAATTATTTATTTTGCTTCAAGCAGAATTGTTAAATAATAAATGTATGAACGATATGATGAAGGAAACATTTTCATTTGTTCTGCAATTTCCCAAACAACAACTGAAAATGTCTTACGCTCTTCCGTTCCTTATTCTCCTACTTTGACATCGAGTCGAGTACTGTAACTTTTTTGAATATTTTCGCTCCGAATTGTTTGTGAAATATCATGAATTCGATATTATGGGACAGGTTAGTGATTTATGATGCATGCTAAAATACTCGGCATATGTGCAATTTTTCATTCTCTCTACAAAGTGTTATGTACATTATGTGTGTCGATGTCGATTCCCCAAACTATATCAATTTACACCCACACCCTACATCGAGGGTTGAAATAAAAATTCTGAACAATTCTAAAGAGACAAAACGTAACTAAAGCGAAACTAAAAAAATATGAAATTAAGAAGAAGAAACACTCACGTTGATGTTTAAATTTCATTTTTATGTATCTATTGTATTTAAACACGCAAATGAAGTTGCTAGTTAGGTCGAGGGGTTTTCAGAATAATTATTTCATTTTTTATAAAAAGAAACCTTTGAAAATAGTTTTTTTATGAAGCAAATTAGACATTTAAAGGCAAAAATTGAATTCGCATGTCCATCACTATCATGAAATGTTAAATTCCATCTAAGCCCAACATAAGTCTAACTCATAAAAGGATTTCAAAGTGAAAATTCATGAGGTTCAACGAGAAAATAAATTTATTGGATTAAAAACTTTGATGAGGAGAATTTTGAACAATTTTCTTCAATTTAATCATACATATTGAATTCAGCAGGAAAACGATGAGAACAGGAGAGATTTTTGATATTACTCGAGTGGCAAACCTCAAACACACAGGCATGTGAATGTTCCACATTCTAGAATCACCACCATTCATGGATAGTGAAAAGTGAAGGTGGAAAGGGAAAGAGATAAATACAAACTTAAGTGTCAGCATTAAGAAGCAATTAAAGTGGTTTTGGACGGAAAAAAATGGAATTAAGTTTGGAACAGATTGCAATTTACAATTTAATGTTTATTTGATTATATTCATGCTAAGGCAGAAGAACTACTACAGAAAAATCCACAAAAAGAAATGTAACATCAACTCTAACGGAATACAAAGCCGGAGAAAATCGATAACAGAATTCTTTTCGCTATTTTACATTTTCCACAACACATTTTGCAATGAGCGTACACGGATGTGTCGCATTATCGGTTACGACTTGTAATCTTTATAGTCTTTCACATTGCGCTTGCGTTAATGATCATGCTTTTCCATAGAAGAACATTTTATTCCATAAAGAAGACTGCAGTGGTGTTTGTGTAATTCACTGACGATAGTCGATTGCGGTAAATGCGAAAATATTTGTAACTTCGTTATAACCTTCGATGTATCGGAGAATGCATTGACACACAACAAATTTTATATCAAACCAATTAATGATTCATTTAAACGCAGATGATTAATGACGTAATGCATTAGATATGACTCAAGGAAATATGAACTGTATCAACATAAGAAATTGAAGAGACTCGCTCACTCATCTATGATAATGATGGATTTGCTTGTTAAAATAAAGATTTATTCACTTGTTCTTTTCTCACACGCTTCCTAATAAATCAGACGTATGTATCATCTGGCCTCACCATGACTTTGTTTTGATAGAATTATGTAGTAGGAGTAAGGAGACATGAGATGTACATAACATGGAAAATATATTTAAGCTTGACTATCATCATAGATAGAGATATTCATCGAACAGTTTTTCTTAATAAAAATTTCGTATTTTTGTCTCCGACAGCATATTTTTTGTGTTTTCATACATAAGAAGATATACACTCGAGCTGCAGAACTATGAGAACGAAAACGGGTTCATCAACAGCGGAAAGATGGAGAAAGAAAAGAAAGAAATCTAATTTTTGTTATTTTCGATCAACAAGAACTTTCTTCCTTTTCTCATCTGTTTATTTTATTTTTCCCATCTTTTGCCACACAATGCCGTTTTGTCGTTGTATTTATAGATGCATGGAATAAAAAAACCCGCATTGGAATAGCACAAGAGTGGATGAAAACATCTATGGGGCAACTAGAAATGTCTTTCGTTGATTGGATGTGTGTGAAACGATGATGAAAATATATTTTCTTTTATTTCTCCTTTTTGTTATCATATCAATTTGTTGGCAAGACTTAAAACTAACTTATATAATTTTCGACTATTCAATATATTAGATGGAGTGGATTACTTACATGATTCGCATGAATCAACGGAATTAATTTCCCCAAAAATCAAAATTCAGCCGTTTTAAATATATTTAACATTCAACAGTGAATAAAAACGAAATTTTTCACAAAATTGAATAATTGAACAGTCGACCCTAAATTTCCCTTCTTCACATTAAGTAGAAACTTTTTTTTATTTTGAATTTTCCGGAAAATTTTTTTGTCGTCTTTTTTAAGCGTAACTTTATTCAGATCACGTTTTCCTCTTCTTTTTGTGGGGGGTTATTTTTTTTAGAAGTTTTTCTAATATCCACACATAGCATTACACAAAGCAACATAGAGTTATATTTTCAAGACTATGGAAATGTATCGATCAAATCATCATTAGAGCATGGAGTAAGCAATATCTGCTCTATTGGGTTCCCTTACGTGTCTCTTCTTGTGATAGCGAATCAAATATTTTCATTTTCATTCCTTAGTTGTTCAGTATTAAGTCAATTATTCCCAAAATGATTCTGATTGCCAGATCTCTTTAGAGATTTCATCTCATGTCTTTTATTAAACTATAGTTTTCCATGCATTTAAGTTACGGGGAATGAATTACAAATGTTGTTGTTGTTGTTGATGTCGAATTCTTACAATTTTTCATAAAATATTTTCAAAGAAGTTTCATTTTCTTTTCTCTTTGTCAAGTTTAACAAGTTTTTTTATCAAAAAATGAAGGGAAGAAAAAGAAGGAATTTGGGGCCAAAAACTTTGTCATTAGATTCATGTGTCTAGAAAGTAAAATAAAAACGAAAAGTATAATGAAGCAGTCATGAATAAACGACAAATATTTCGAATTTATTGGCAATTTTGTCGAAGTTTTCCTTTGGTGAGATGAGAAATATTCAAATGGTATGATGGTGAGTGAAGTAGAAAGAAAATTCGACGAATTCCATAATCTATTTATTTAAAGAATGAAAACATGACTCCCCTTAATGCTGTCATAACAAGCCGTGACTCGCCCGTTTTGTACTTCAACATTTGCCGGTGGATGGGCAAACTTGCATTCAGTATCCGGACGTGAACACTTATTTCGTTGAAACTCACGGCAAACTTCTAACTGAAGCCAACGTGAATCTTTTCCATTTAATAAATTGCTCATGTTTACCATTGCAGCCATAATTTAAGTTCTCTTCTTTTAGTCGTTCTTCTCACTGATTAATTAACTTAATTCACCACCGGAAAACTGTTCAATGTTTATTTTAATTCTCTATGTAATCTGATCACTTATGACAGTTTCTTACTTCGTTCTCTAATGATTTATGTGGAGATATTTTATGATAATTCAATTTAATGTGCGACGTAAATTCCGCTTTAATTAATTAGGTATTGTAAGATGATTATACAAAATATAAATTTTCCACTTTAACTGTTTTGCTTCTAAGTATCTTCTTTTGCCTACGTAGCGTTTGAGAGTAAATTTTATCACACACTAACTAGGCGTCTTCACGAGACTTGTTGTTAGGCAATTATTATCAATCTTCTCCCTTTTAAAATGTATATTTAATATAAGAATAGAATGTCGTTGTAGAATTTATGCTTTCTTTGATTTATTTTCGGAGATATTTCCTTTTACGGTCTCTAGAGAAAATTATTTATTTCATTCGTTTTCAAACTTTCTGTGTATTTATTTTTTATCACATAAACTTTTCGATGTGCTTTTGATTCACTTTGATATTATATGATTCCCTTTTATGTCGCTTTGCGTGTCGATTTTGTTAAATATTTGGAATGAAAGCTTTCAGTACTTCCTATTGATAGATGCTTCCTGCCATAGAAACGTTAATATCACTATTTGTTGTGTTGTCAATTCTCGTTCATCAATTTGGGTGTAAGTCAAACACAATTAGGAAGGATTTGTGAAGCAAATTTAATTGCCGTCTATCACCCTCTCTTCTTTTTGCGTTAAGGTTCGTGCCTACTTATTTATGAAACGATGAAATGCTGATGGTGGTTGAATTTAAATTTCAATTGTTGTGATGGCAGACGAAAAGCAGATTTAGATTGTTCACTCTCAAATCCCTTTAATATGATTTATCACACGAAACTTCGTCTTGCGTTGCTGATTTCTTTCTACTGCTACACTCAAGCTAAGTTTTCTTTTTACTCGTCTTTGTTTATTCGATGTTGTGCACGTTTTCAAAAGACGGTTGAAAGCTCTCTTCTACGTAGTAAATTTTCTTACAATGTGAAAAACGAAAATGGATTTTTTTTTGTTCTTGGGTATGCAATGATTGGCGAGAGTAGTGTGGGGAAGCAATATGAAAAGGTCTGAATTGAAAAGAGAAAAAAAAGCCGTCCGTGAATGAAAATATTTAAGGTCGACGTAAGTTTACGGTGCCTTTTGTGCTTTTTTTATGTAAGTATAAGTTTGGTGAAGAAAAAAAGGATATTTTTGGTTGATTGTGAAGGGAGAAAAGAAGCGAGAAGAGTGGCAATAAATATTCTCGTTTGGGACTTGTATTGGGGGACGATGAACGGATGTTTTTCCTATAGGGCTGCTTCAGGAAGGCTTGTTGCTGAACTGGCGAGCTGTTCATGTGTTTATACGTCATAAATTGAACGCGGCATGGAAAGAGAAAGGTGGAGAAGGAATGTGATAATCATAAAATACCTCGAGAGAATGTTTTTTGGGGAAGGCTACGATGGTGAATATAAAAAGGTTTTCTTTCAATATCCTTGACTTGGGGGGTCTTAAAACCGACCATTATCGGGTTAAGTCAAGGATTTTCCGGTTATTTGATAGAGTAAAGATGAGAAATTTGAAGCAATTGTGAGAAATTTCTGTTAATGTAAGATGTAAACCTCAAGATATTTACAATGAAAATCAATTGAGTCAGAAGTTTTCAATGTTTCATCTTTATTTTGGTTAAGCTAGTTTTTGCAATATTCTTGCTTATTTAAATGTTGAATGTCAACCCTAATCCGAATAATCTGTTTTTCTTCGTCGTTATTCAACGTTTTAATGTTATGTATGTAATACTGAACACTTTTTATTCTTAAACTTATCTGAGAAAATTAAGAAAAGAAAGGAAAACGATACAAAACGACGAGAAAAGCTCGTCGTATCATAATCATAACTTCTAATTACCCCAGAACGTTCTCTCAACACTAAGCACTGATAAACCCAGAAGGTCGATTGACACATTTCATGATACTTACAATGTCTTTGTGGTTCTGTTTTCTTCAACAAGAAAAGCAGTTAGAAGCCGAAAAAAAGTACAAAGAAATTCCTGGGGATGAAGAGCGAAAAGCGAAAAAGAAGCGATTTGTTTGTTATTTTATTGCCGCCCTCACTCGATGTTTCTTTTATTCATTGATTTGCAGAATTGCTTTCCTTTTTCTTTCGATTTTTCTTTTCTTCCTGAAGTTTCTCTTTTCCCCCTTTTATACTTCTTTTGCAAAAAGTCGGAAGAGCGAGAGGAATACCAAAAAATGTTTATGCAAATTGATTTTATTCGAACGTGCCGGGGAACGTTTAATGAATATTCGTTTATTCTGTGGCGACCGCTTTTTTTCTCTCCACTTTTTTTTATAGTTTAAGGAAAATGTTTTTCTTATTTCAAATAACTTTTTTCTTTTCTTTTTCTCCTTTCTTACACAATACACTTCATGTTTTCGGTCTGTTTCGTTGTGAAGTTGGAGAAGGACTAAACTGAGTGGATCGCATGTCGATTGCTATTATTTTCTTTGTTCATAGTTTTCGTCAACAGAGTTTTCTCTGTTTCCATGTGTTCATACAATTTTCTCAGCTTTTCTCTTGTGAAAATTCTTTCTCTCCTCATCAACACATCTTCGAAATATCCTCGGAAAATTCTGTCGAAGAGAGAAGAGAGGATGAAAAGAGAAAAATTATGTAATTCATGAACACGAAGTAAAAACATATGAAAATTTGAAAAATGAGAAAAGGATAATGCTTGGGATAATGTCGAATGAAAGAGCAAACAAGAATAACGAGTTTTATACAAGGTTTTATACAGTTCGGGAGCATGAGAGGTTAAATGAGAATTTCTCAGCTGAGCATAACTTGTCTCCGTTTCCGCTGTTCTGCGACAATTTTTAGTACCAAAAAAGGGATAAATTGAAGCCGGAAAAAGTTCAAGTGGAGGAGAAAATTTATGTATAAGGATAAGAAAGCATAATGGCGATCATTTTCAAGTAGCAATCGAACCAGCGATTGTAACACAAATTGTTGGTAATTTTATTTTTCGCTTAATCTTTGTTACGTTTTTGATTGTTTTTGACAAATGAGCTGACATGATTATCTCTCGTATCTCCAATTTAACACAGTTACGGAACATGACAATATCAAAAACAGCCCACAAGTAACGGCGTTAAACAAAACAAAACGGTAAACCTCGTCTCATTAATTAATTATAAAACAATTAATCATTTTAATAGCATTTGAATTCAGACGATTACATGCAGTCATTGACCGTGACATGAAAGTGAAAATGTTTCCATACTAACAACTCTTGACATTATGTTAGAGAAAAGAAAATCTTTTAATCTTTATAATTATGTCTTTATTGAGGGTCACAATAATTTTTAATCGTGCTATGTAGTAGCAGCAATATTCCACTATTACATAGCAAAGTCTAACAAACCTAATAGGCAAGAAGACAGAAGCGAGTGGAGGTTGAAAAGAAAAAGTAAATTGCTGCACATTCTTCGACACGTTCTAAGCCGTTAAACACAATTTAGAATATTGACATGTTTATTGAATTTTCGGCTCGAAAAAAGAAATTGCATGAATATAGGCGTTAAGACATCATCACGTATGCTACATGCTTTATTTGGAGCATGTTCAGTTATTCTAACCGCTTAAAAATCATTAAATAACGTCATCATCATCCTATTGCTGACACTCATTCACTCGTCCCATCGATAGCTCAACCGTAATTGATAAATTGATGAAAATTATATTTTGTTCTATTTTTCACTTCGATTATTCCTTTCAAGAAGAAAAGAAGGAAATTTTTCTCTTCTTTGACTTATCGTTGGTACATTTTCAGAATTTATGATGATTGGCAAGTAAGCATGAATTATTTTCTCTCTTGTAAAGATATTCAAAAAAAAGTTTTCGAATCTTATCCAGTGAAGTTTTCTCAGCATGCTTGTATTGTGAATTTTTTAAATTTATAAAAAAGTTGAGCTGTGATCATCCATTCAACGAATCATCAATTTAACTTTGGGTCTAAATCGCAATGTCACACAGAAAAAGGAAATGTTAGAAAATAGTCAAAATGTCATTTATATCTCTGCAAGCTCAACTTTATCCTCATTCTTTTAACTGATTTGTTTAAAGAAAATCCTCTGCAGTGTGCAAGAGAGCTCAGCGGTAAATAAAAAAGAAGACTCAAAAGAATTTGAATAAAAATCACGTTTATTTATTCTTGGGGAAGACGGAAAAGAAAAGGAGTAAAATATTAATTTTTGAAAGCAGTTTTCAATAAAATTTTCCCAACTTCATTGAATCGATGTCTCAAAGAATGCTGACAGTAGTAAGTAGCTGCAATATTTTTTCCAATGCATTTATTTTCATTTTAAGTTCACCACTCAAGATGATTGAAGCAAATAATTTATTGACTTCTTCAATCATTCTACCAGTTTGTTGGCCTCGTGCTGCAAACCCTCGCAAACCTTCAGATAGAATGAAACGAATAGAAAATCCAGGTTCTTTTTTCTCCTTTAATAAGATTCTGCATAACGATTTCACGAATACCCATTTCTCTTATTTCAGCTTCCACCCCCCGTCAAAACCTTTTCGTTTTCATCATTAATAATAATTTTCCTTCTTTTGTTTAAAAAAAGAACACATAAGATGACACAAAAAATGAATCTATCAGTCCTGCCACAACCCAGATCAATCTTTAAATATTCGTGGAATCTAAATTGAAACATTTTTTGAATATCAATTAAATATGTATCTATATAAAAATAAATGTTTCTGTTGACAATTTTCGATTTGAAAACATTTTTCTAACATCCGATGTCGTGCCATGATGCCAAAAGATACTTTTTGCTTAGGATTTCCTCGTTTTTCTTGCATTAATAAAGATTAATTGAAAAAGTCGGAAAATCGTGAATGGAATTTGGGATCTGTGACTATAATCACGGATTGCCTTATAATTGAGAGAAAGGAGAGAGAAGGAAAAACGCATTTGCGAGGGCTTGTACGAAGGGATGGAAACTCAGATGGAATCAATTTGTCATTTCACTTTTTCATTTTAATGTTGCATCATGTCAATTATAGTTTCTTTAAAATTCGATTTACTGATTAATAATGCGATTCAACAGTTTTCCTATTCCCTTTTGTATCAGCTTCGATCACAGTTTACTGCCCAAGTAGCCCATGTCCTGATTTATTCTCCTTTTACATAGTTAGACATGATTAACGGAAACTTTCGCTCATTACAAGCTCATGGCTACAGCTTTTCATTAACAACAAGATGAGAAAATATCTAAAGTGGAGATAAGAGAAAGGAGGAAAAGCAACAAAAAATAAAAATAAAATAAATCATGAAGCACGAGAAAGTCCAAAAAGTCAACCAATCTGATATAACTGCCTTTCATTAAGAGACGGTCCGAAGCGGAAATCTTGATATAAACATTTTAGGAATTAATGATTAGACGAAGAGTGCAAAACAGTGAAAAGGGGAGAGGTGAAGGAGAAAAAAAGCTAATCAGATAAACACAGAAAAGTTTCTTCGCTCTAATTTGAACATACATCTTCCAATTTTCTATAAACGGTAAAAGTTTTTCCTCCACACCCTGCTGAGTTTGTACAGAAAAATACGTCACGTTCCATACGAGATAAACATAATGAATCTCTTATTTTGCCTTATGCGTCTTGAACGATGGCCTTCTCGCCATATTTTGATAACATCGAGTCAAAGTTATTAGTAATAAAAAGGCTAAAGTGTAATGTATGTAAATAATTTATCAACAACAGCACAATTTTGCTGCACTAAACTTTACTTCGTTTAATGATCGACGCATCGAAGAAAGAATTTAAATTATTCTCAAAACCATCTTCAAATGACATTTTAATTAAATTTTATGATATGCTTAAGCAACAAACTACTACGTTAGATCGTCTTCGTAATATTGTTTTCCAAAGTAGTTTCAAATGTAACAAAATGATACAAAATAAGCAAAATTTAAAGATGCAATTCTGATTTATGGAGGAAATAAATATTTTATCACTCCCACTCACTTCCCTTCTTAATTGTGCTTTAACAAAATTGATAACTTCAATGAAAAAGTATTTTTCTGTTGTAATTTGCTGCTCCCTACAAAACCAAGCATCTTTTTCATTTGTTTCTCCCTTACGTACTTTTTTCATCAGAATTGAGTGCTTTTCAGGGCATATTTAGTATGAAACTTGTTGCGCCCCCACACATATTCAGTCCAACCCTCTTTTGAAACTATTATGAGACACTCGAGCAGTCTCAACAACAACGAATGATTCTCAATATTTATGTGAATGTATGTTCTTAACAAGTGGAAAATTATTTATGCATTATAAAATTCGTATCATTACAGAAGCACTCGATGCATAAATTAGCTTCTGATTGTGACTCATCTCATTTGAGCTGTGTCAGACAATAATTGAGAGAGAGAATTATACTCGGTGATTGAAAGCAATGTTGTGTTTAAGTGATATGAAAATAATATAATTTGTATCATGATTCATTCGCAATTTAATTAAGTGTTTTTCCTCGTTTTCTTGTTCATTCCTCTCGTCGCTCTCATCGGGGTTTGTTGTTATATTTTTTACATAGTCATTTGCCGAACGATTTTTTTCCTTCGACTTTTCTACTCGCAACGGTTAGATTGGCGCACTTTGTGTTAGGCGGAAGGAGAGAGAAAAAAAATCCAACATTAATGTATTGAGCAAGTAAAGTACGAACACACAAGTTTTAAACAACTCTAAGGATGGCGACAGAATGTCTCGACACAGTGGCGCCAAGAATTGCAAAATTTATTATCCTTGTAACAAGAAGCTTCATTTAAATGAGGTAACACTAATTATTTTTTCTGTTAATTCAATGATTTGCTTCGGGGAAAATTCAGAATGAAACAATTATCCCGATGTTGAGTTGAAGTTTAATCAATACAATTAAAAGTTTAAAATCAATATCGGAGAATGAATTGAGGGTTGATTGAAGGTACTTTAAAGTAAAATGATAATATTGAATTGAATTTACTTCTGAAATGAATGATCTTTTGCTTCAGGCCATGTCTTGTCGTTAAGTGAAGATTTGTCATTTTCAAATTATTGTTTAATGCTTTTAAACAGACATTTTTTATCTTCAAATAGAACGAGACATGACTTGGGGGAAAAACATTTACGAATACAAATTAAAATATCGCAATCTGATTGATACATTTACGAAGATTCTTGTATTGTGACTCTTCAATGAATCGTACTTTTTATAAGCAATAACTATGGCAAATTATTTTACTTTCTCCTTAATCGCTACGATATGAGACAATACCAAACAAATCTCAAAGTAATGACGCAATAACAAAGAATGTTCCATAGAAACAACAAGGAAAGTCATTCTTTCCATTTGTAACGCTGTTTATTTTATTTCATTTACTAAACAAGCTTCATGGTTTCATCTTTATGACATGATGCATGCTGTACGTGTTTGATAATATTTATTAACATTGTTGTGTATATTTAAAGATGTATCCACAATATTAGTCCTTCGTTCTCACCTTCAAAGCTTTGATACATTCAATATAATTTACACACGGCATAAACATATAAAAAGGAAATCGTAAATGAACCCACAGTTTGCTTATGATTTATTCATATATCTTACGAAAACATTCAGTCAAGTTTTTTACGATCAAATTAGCCTGCAATTTTTCTTTCTAGCTTTTATTTCCTGTTTTCAATTTTCATATATAGTGGCAAGCCACAAAAACAAGAGTTGAAGGTGAAAAAGCGAAGGCCATAATTCTGTTTTGCGAAATGACGACACGACAACAGGGATTTTTTGTTTTTCTTTTATTTTTTATCGACCATTCAACGTCGCCTCCGATGGGATTAATAAGTTGCTTTCTCAGTGAGAGTCATTACATCTAAATGATCCTTAATTTACGTTCAACCATATTATTCGAATCGGAGCTGTAAACTTTCTTAGGAAATGAAATTGAAAATATTTTTACTGCATTTTTACTTCAATTCACCGACGACCGGAAATAACAAGAAACGAAACGTAATGTCGATGATTGTGAGAATTATGACTTTACCTCATCACAGTTTTTTATGTTTCGAACTCGTAACGACACTGAAGCATTTCAAAAGAATAACTTTCCTTCATTTATCGTTGCAAAAGGTAAACAGCAGCATTCTCATGATGTATTTCCATGTCGTCACCCTCGACGCTTCCATATAAATGAAAAGCCGTAAAAACATGTTTCGTTAAGGCATAAGAAAAAAGAAACTTTTATGATGCAATATCATAAACCTGAAATTTATTAATAATCGACGTAAAGTTGACATCTTTGGTGTCATTCGTATCCATCTGTGAGTAGAACTCCATTTCCTAGCAATATCATTTTTCTTTAGGAAACATTTTTGCCTTTGAGGTGTAGTTGTTCTCGAACTTCCAAAAACAAGTCTTCTACATTAGACGGAAATAAACTTTAAAAGTATAACATTCTGTTTCATCATAGAGACAAATTTGTTTATACATTCAACTTTCGTTCTTCTACTTTTTCTGCTTTTAATATAAAGAGCTACTTTCGTATCTAAAGACAAACTAATATTTTCCTTCTTTTTCTTATCTTTGTCATTGCTTTCTTTGGTGTAAATAACCAAACGTAAACTCATTTTGTAGCTTGAAAGAGAGGAAAAATTGCATAAAATTTCATGATGAAAACATAAGGAGTACTTAAGGTGACACTGATATTAAGATGGGGGTGGGGATGAGACGAAAACTCGACTCTTTTTCTCTGCTGTATAAGAATCAAGAGTGGCATTGGTAAATACTTTATTTAATAGAAACCTTTAAATAAAATGAGCGATTCTAAAGGAAAGATTCATTGCACATTATCGAAAACAGACTTTCGTGAAGTTGCATAAACTTTCTTTTTGTTCGATAGAAGACGAAACAAGGCAAACTTAAATTAAATATTTTGTTGCAAATAAAGAGCTTCACTTTCCGGAAGAAAGAAGAAAGGCAATAAATTTACGGAAGACCACGCTCTCGCATACACCAGCTGTTGAGAAAGTGAGAAAGGGAAAAATACGAAAACTTTGTTTCGGAATAAAAATGAAACAAACGAGTGAAGAAGGAAGAAATTATGGCCACATAAATTAAATTCATCCTGTTCTCTTCTTTCCGCGTGTTTGTAATAAGATATGATGCAAAAATGTGTAAAATTCATAGCACAAAGTTCGTTTATCCATCTCTGTGAGAAAAAACTTATTTTAGTACTGTGAAGGAAAATTTTCTTAATTAGTTTTCTTCGTTATTAAATGTGTATTGAAAATATTGTGGAAATTCAAATATCGTCGCAGTTTCTTGTGTTGTAGAAGAGATGTGTTTTGACCTTTTGACAATTACGTCAATCAGGTCCTGACCATACCGTAAGTAGAACATTCATGATTATTATTCAGTAAATTAGTAAATTTAAGATAAACGATAATTATAGTATTGAATACTTTCGATTTCTCCGTCTTGAAAATTTTATGCAATTGTTCAAATATTCACGAGTTATAAAGTTTCACATCATCAAACCTATTTATGAAAACCTTTATGTTTAAACTTCAAACACGAGCACAATTTTTCACTACGTAGATATTCAACCATTTCCAATGTTTATTTATTATCTTATTGATGTCAATCTTGTGTATTAAGAAAACAGGCGTGCAAACACATCTTCTGTCAAAATAAATTCTAATGATGAAAACACTTAGCGAGAAATGAATCAATCCATAAAAGAAAAAAATATTTTCAATATTTAATTGAAAAATGTCTTTTTTGTTTTATTTCCATTAATGTTTTTACAAAAATATATGTAATATTTATTCAGGTACGGCACTTGGAACTTGAACTTCAGGGTAGTTGCGACTGTCGTCAGTTTCGCAACATTTGCTTCCATCTACTGGTGGGCTCAAATACGGACAAAAAATGATACCTTTGTTTTTGCCATCAGGGCAAGTACCACACTTAATTCACATTTAATTCCTCGAAGAGCCAATTTTTTCGCATACGAATACTGTAATATTTAAGATAAATGATATGAATAGTATTGAGTACTTTCTGAATTAAAATTTTTTCAAGTGACTCTTGAATTCTCTTTCTCCATCTTAAAAACTTCACGCAATTGTTCAAATAGTCTCGAGTTAAAAGTTTGACATCATGATAGGTTTCATAGTCGCAGGTGTTTATACAAGTAAATAATAAACGTAGTATTTCATTAATTTCTAAGAAATGTTTAAGCTTCAAACACGAGCAGAATTTTTCATGACGTAGATATTCGACAATATCCAATTTTTATCATTTTATTGATGTCGATCTTTTGTATCAAGAAAACAGACATGTAACACATCTCATTCTGTCAAGTTAAATTCCAATGATGAGAACAACTTACACATTTATATAAAATTTATTTCAGCTTAANCATCATCTCTTTCATTCCTCTCACAATCATAACACCCTTCTGGATTTTAAAACAACTAAAATTTTAAAAATTCATCAAACGAAAGTATATGAAGTAAATTAGAAATTAAGTCTTGAAAATCACTTTTTTAAACTAACTATTCTCTTTAATGTGGTCATTTTTTTTCTTTTTGCTTTGGAAACTCTTATAAACTAAATTTTTAAATATTAAGAAAGATCGCTGCATTCAGTGAACTTTTGTTGCTGATAAGAATGTTCGAAAAACTTTTATCAAATTTTTAAATTCTTAATTGTTAACTTCTCTGTTATAACGGCTAACCTAGTTAGAAATTAATTGTCAACTCAGAAAAGGTTTTCAGCTCAAGGATGTCCACATCGCTCTTCTTATTCACTGCATTCTTTCATTACGACTTAATATGTAATAATAATAAACATGTTTAATCAACGTCGTACAATCCTTTAATACTTTATTTAATTCTTGTTGATCATCGATTCCTACATTCTCAGAATTGAATGTTGTGTTTAGTATTTCCTAACTTTCTTGTACTTGGTTGTGAATCCATTCGATTCGATTTGATTCGATATATCTTTAGGGTTTTTTCAAAACGTTTCTGAATTTTTTATGTTTTCTTGGATCGCATTAAAGAGACTAGATAGTTTGAGAGACTAGAGAGACAACGTAGAACTTAACAGCATTGCAAAGTTTGTGATAAAGTTGACTGTTGCAGTATTTTTGTACACAAGAATTGTGAGACAAAAATCAGCTCAACTCTATCGACATATACTTCTCGGATCTTAAATCTATCTACAATCAGTTAATATAGTGTTTTCAGTTACGTATGGAAAGTAATATACAAAAGACTAAATGATTATCAATTGAAAAATATTTTATATTTTCTTTTATTTCCATTATTAACTTTTTACAAAAATTAATGGAGGACCATGAAATATTTATTCAGGTGAACCAACTGGAACAGCAACTTCAGGGTAGTTGCGACTGTCGTCAGGTTCGCAACAGCATCTGTTTCCTTCTTGTGGCTCGTTCAGATATTCACCGACAATGATACGTGGGTGGCTGTCAGCAGGGCAAGTACCAGCAGCTACTGCAGAATTCTCCCAATTCTCTGTTTTCCATTGAACGTAAGTTAAACCATTTTCTTGTCCTTGGCTACAAGTTGGACACATTGGTTCTGGTTCTGGCTGTGGTACTGGTTGAACTGGTTCACATTCTCTGCGAGCATAAGCTATAAAGAAATTTTGTTAGTAAGAAAAATTCAAACAAACTGTAAGTTTTCACTTACCACAAACTGCGATAGAAGCAGTAAAAAGTAAAACGAGCAATTTCATTTTTAGATAAGTAAGAACAATTTCTGATCAACTTCAAAAATAGAATTGTTATTTTGAGAAGAAATGTACTGGTTTTTATACTTTTTTTTTGAAAGTTTTCAATTTTGCTCCTCCCATAAAACGATCTTTTTTATAAAATTAAGGCAGGCATCTTGTGATAAAAATAGCGCTTAACAAAAAGCTGCTTAACAAAAATGGAAAAAGCACAAGTACTACTAGCTCTTAAAGTCTGCAACTAGCACAACATACGCTATGGTTATCATTTCTACTTTCTGCTGTTAGAAGTTCCAAAAAATTTGCTTAGTTAAGCTTTAATTAATTTTCCCTCGAAACCCAACTTTAATTAGGTGTGTGACAACCTTTGCATTGTTTTGTCCCCTTGTGACACTAGCCTTAACCAGTTCGTGACAAGATGCAAAAAAAAAATATTTTCCATAAAAAACGTAAACAAACATTCTTTTGCTTCGTAGAATGTTAGCATATTAAGATTGTAAATTTCTGAAAGAAAATTTGGTGAGGAGTTAAAATACATTTTAATGAAAAATCGTTTTTTGAGTAAAAATTATTTAAGATAAATGATATGAGTAGTATTGAATACTTTCTGAATTCAAATTTTTCGAATGACTCTTGAATTCGGTGTCTCCGTCTTAAAAGCTTCACGCAATTGTTAAAACAGTCTCGAGTTATAAAGTTTGTTATCGTGATAGGTTTCATAGTCGTAGGTGTTTATACAAGTTGGTTTTAGAGACGATAAATAATAAACGTCGTATTTCATTAATTTCTAAGCAATGTTTAAGCTTCAAACACGATCAGAATTTTTCATGACGTAGATATTCGACAATATCCCATTTTTATCATCTTATTGATGTCGGTCTTTTGTAATCAAGAAAACAGACATGTAACACATCTCATTCTGTCAAGTTAAATTCCAATGATGAGAACAACTTACACATTTATATAAAATTTATTTCAGTTTAAAAATGAATAAGGATTATAGTTAAAAAAACAGAAAACAAAATCATTTTCATTAATTAATGAAAAACGGCTTTCAGTCCGTTCTTTTTCTTTTATGATTTTATTGATTACAGCAACGTTTCAATGACTAATTTGTCATCCTCTTCTGGATTTTAAAACAATTAAAATATGAATATTACATCAAACGAAAGTATATGAAGTAAATTAATACAAGAAATCTTACGAAACATTACAACATCCTAAATGAGAATATCTGTTTGGCCATTTTTACATTTGTATGTTTTGTGAATTTTTCTTCAATTGAATCTTCAAACTTATATGATTAATAGTAAGTCATTGTAAGTCTTGAAAATCTTTTTTTAATACTATCTTCTATTTTTATTGTGGTCAATATTTTACTTTTTGCTTTGGAAACTCTTCTAAACTAAATTTGTAAATATTAAAAAAGATCTGTGCATTCAGTGAATTTTATTGCTGATAAGAATAGTTGAAAAATTTTTATCAAATTTTTAAATTCTAAACTGTTAACTTATCTGTTATAACGGCTAACCTAGTTAGAAATTAATTGTCAACTCAAACAAGGTTTTCAGCTCAAAGATATCCGCAAGTTTTCTTATTCACTGCATTTTTTCATTTCGACTTAATATGTACTATTTCACATATTCTTAGGTGATCGAAATCATAAACATGTTTAACAAACGTCGTACAATTCTTTAATACTTTATTCAATTCTTGTTGATCATTGATACTTCCATTCCTTATTCTCAGAATAGAATGTTGTGTGTAGTGTTTCCTCACTTTCTTGTACTTTGTTGTGAATTCAACATTTTCCACATTAACATGGAACTTCATAAATCACCTTTGGCTCATGTTCAGGATTCGATTTGTCTTTAGGGTTTGTTCAAAACATTTCTGAATTTTATATGTTTTATATATGTTTTTTTTTGGATCGCATTAAAGAGACTAGATAGATAAAGTGAGTCTGACACTTGAGGAGGTTTATTGTGCGATCACATATTTAGACAACGTAGAACTCAACAGCATTGTAAAGTTTGTGATAAAGTTGACTGTTGCAGCATTTTTCTACACAAATATTTGTGAGACAAAAATCAACTCAACTCAACTATGTATCTACATCTCGGGTCTTAATCTATTAATGTTTTCAGTTACGTATGGAAAGAAATATTCAAAAGACTAAATTATTATTGATTGAAAAATGTTTTATTTTTTACTTTTATTTCCATTATTATCTTTTTACAAAAATTTAAGATTAAAGCTTTAGAAAGGCTGGCGCTTAATTAAGTCCTTATTCTCCAATTTGTAAAAAGTTAGGAAATAATTTGAAATAAATATAATTCTCTCTCATTTTTACAAAAATTAATGGAGGACCATGGAATATTTATTTAGGTTGGCCACTTGGAACTCCAACTTCTATGGTGCTGCTTGAACATTTTCACATACTTCGCGAGCATAAGCTATAAAAAAATTTTGTTAGTAAGAAAAGAATAAAAAAATTATAAGTTTTCTCTTACCATAAGCTGCGAGAGTAGCAATCAAAAGTAAAACGAGTAATTTTTGCATTTTCAGATAAGTAAGTACAATTCCTGTCGTCAAGATTAAACTGTAACTTTTAGAAGAAATGTACCGGTTTTTATACTTTTTCTGGAAGTTTTAAATTTTATGCTCCTCCCATTATATTCTTTAAGTAATTCGTATAAAGACAATTTTTAAACCCAGTTAAAAGTGGTTATTAGGGTCGTGTGCATTTTGTTTTGATGAAGAGTTGAAGAAATAGATAATATGATAGTATTCATTATTTCCATTTGTTTCGTAGTTATCACAATGGCACATGTTTCATTTTATATCGTCATCTTCATAAGGTCTTAGGCAAGTTCTGTTTTTGAAGGCCAATGACGACGATGAGATCAGAATTCACATGTTTCACTTGTGTCGATTTCAAGTGAATGCCAGTCAAAGGATATAAATTTGTGTAACTTCCATTCCTGATTTTGCTTCGCTATTCAAAAACTTAAAGCTAATTTTGTTGTTCTCAAAAGTAGAAATAAGTATCAATTTACAATTCCAAAAAGAACAGCAAGCAGCATAATTGACATCGTAAGTTTTAACAGTTCTCTTCTTGCTTTGCACACACTGAAAATGTCTCACGTTACGACATTAAACAAAGTGAAGCGAACTCCCCTGTTTACTTTAAAAAGTCGTTTAAAAATGAGTTAAATGACAACGAGCAAAAGCGCTCTGAATGCATAAGGGGAGCAGTTAAGGAAGTTATTACAAATACATGGAAGAGGATGATAGAAGGAAAAAACCATTTCAAAATGGGACCATTTACTATAATAGATATTTTGTGATATTATTTAATAATGTCGTCGTATCGCATGTTTCAACATATTTCGTTTATGTTTCTACTTAAGTAGCATTCCTTGTCACAATTCAGCTTTATTTTGTTTTTCGTACTTCAAGTGCATGATATTTAAGAAGGGACAAGTGAAGTATGAGCAAAAGAAAAGCCAAACCAAATATCTACTTCGATTGTTTCCAAGAAACCACAATATTGGAATTGTTGTTGTTGATATAACAGCTGAAGGTAAAATTGATTTTTAAATAAATTAACAATCGGAAAACTTTGACGTTCCAGAAAATTTAATTGACAATGACGTTGCAAATATAAAAAGAAACTTTAATTCTAACTAAAATCAATTATCTATTTGTAAATTGCAATCCCATGCGATCCAAATATTCCCCACATGTACAATTTAATTGCATCTAGGAGCGACTCTTGAATTATTTATTCAATTTGAAACTCTTTATACGACCGAGTTTAATGTTTTGCATATTCTCATAGCTTATATTTTAAGCGTAACTTAATATCTATTGTTCCGGCCACCAACACCCATAAATGTCTGTAAAATTCAAGATACAAAAAATGTTCAACCACAACAAACATCCATGTTCACCAGAACGGTCACGTTTAAAGTCTTACCTAAAAATGTAAGGAAAATTTTGTGTTTTATGCAATTTCTATGCTAGGAAAAACGTCGTCATAGAATGGTTCACTTTTAGTATTTTCATCAAAGCCCTAGTTCAGTCTACTAGACACGTATCTTGCCGGAAAACTTAATAGACAAGGCAAATGGCCATATATGCATAATGAACACATGAACACAGACAACTATGGAAGTGAAAACGGAAACTCAAGAGTTTGAGAGATCATAGCACGTTTGAAGTGTAATGCGTAAAACTTATAAATATTTAAGCATTTAAGGAAAATACTTTCGAAAGTACTTTCAGCTTCCACTTTGTCGATATCATTGTATGAGTTTCGTTTCTATTTCATCATGAAAATTTAATCTTAAGATATTGTTCCAAAATAAAAGTTTTTTCTTTTTTTTTTTCAAAGAATTTTTCTTTTTCGTCCATAAAGACATCAAGAATTTGTTCTCTCTTTTCGTCTTCTTTTATTAGATTCTCAAAGCCAACAAAGCTATAATGAAAGTCACATAAATCAAGCGAGACCATCTAAAAAATACTTAAATGAGATAAATCGTCTTGCACTATTTTCAGTAAGACGTTATTATAATTTAACTCGACGAAATTGTTATACTATGTAAATAGATAGAATGATGTACAGTAGCAGTTTTGATAGATATAAAGAATAAAAATATATAACAATAAATAAATGTACAATTCAAGTGAATTACAAATTAAAATAAAAGAAATTCCACTGTATATAAAAAGGTCGGATGATTTATTGGGGCGCAATAGCGAGTGTCATATGTTTGGTAGTTTTATTGTTTAGTATGATATATATGTTGCGCATTAAAGCATTAAAGCGAAAAATGATTTCGTGAGTGCTTGCTTTGTATTTAATTTTTAAATATACGCTAAAGAAAAGAAAAACTGAGGAAGGGCAGAAAAAACTTCTTGATGTGAAAGAGTTAAAGACTATAATGAAACTACAGGTTGTAAAGCGATAGAAATCTTTTGGACGATGGAGAAAGTTTTTGCCACTCAACCCTATTAGTTAACAAGAGAACTTAATCTTGCAACCCTACCGCCACTTTGAATATAATCTCAATATAATCTTTCTCAAATCAGGAATGTTTTACTTTTCTTCTTCGTCTTCATTTTCTTGTGATATCAGCTGTTCGGTGGAAACTTTGGAAAGACCAATTATAAAGTTTACGAGTTTTTGTTCTTTTGCTCTCGAAGTTCAGTTGAATGCTGAAGAGAATTAAAAAACTTCTTGTTCAGGAAATGAAATCGATATCGAATGAGTCTCATAAGTTATGAAAGTTTGTATGTTTTATGATTCTTCATGAGAAGAATTTAAGTGAACGACCGTGCAATTTACGTTATGAAAGAAAAAGCGGAAGTGGTAACTTTATAAAGCAGCAAGTGCAGCAATACATTTTAATTAATACCAGAAAGATATGAAGACTTGCTTATAATGATTTTTTATTCCAAATGCGTGCTATTTTTTAATTTCCCATTAGAGTTACCACGTCAAAAAATTTAATGTTAATGCTTCTCACACCGTCGTTGATGCTTCGTTTTTGTTCTTTTTGTTTGTAAAAGAAAAGAAATCCGGAGAGAGAAGAGAAAGGAAAACTTCAATTTAATTAGAAAAAAGAATCTTATCATCGCTTTCCCTCACATTCCCTCACAAGAGATAATTTCTAGTAGACAAAAAGAACTTTCTCTGATATAGACGAAAATAATGGAATACAAAGTAGCGGCAATGTTGATGCTGAGGTCTCTGATTAACATAATTTTAATTAACTTTTGTTTCGCATTATTTGTAACTTTTTCTTATTTTCTCCTTTTTAGCCTTCACCTGCCGTCTATTCTGTAATGATTTTTCTTCACAATCTTAATCTAATTTCTGATGAGAATGATAATGGAATTTCGAAAGCTCATGGATTACAAATGACAGGAACTGATTAAGAGAAAACTGCTTAAAGTTGTTGTTACGGAAGGAATTCTTAATTGCTTTCATGTTAAACAACCATCAATTGTGTATTCCAAGACAACATAACTTTTGATGTTATTTTCGTGCCACTTTTAAGAAAAGAACAGTTTGAAACTTAATTTTTATGACACAAGGAAAAAAGGAAGAGTCATTAAATGGTTTGAGCACAGAGCAATCATTTTTATTCTTTAATTCTAATAAATATGTATTTCTATTTCAGCTTATCATTTACATAAACCAAACATTTCAAATCCATAAGACATTGCATTGTACTGATGTCACAGACAAGCATAAGAATATTGCATTATATTAGCCTTTTATCGTTATCTCAAAAGTCAAAAGCAACAGAAACACCATCATCATGGTGCACTTAAATTTCATGTGCCACAACATCTGCATTTTATTCTATCATGTTAGCTTTCAACACAAATTTTTTCATTTATATTCAGAAGCCGACAACAACATCAGCAGCAACAAACATAACTTTGAAACTTTTCTCAGAGCTTCTGTTCTTTAATCATCAACTTTTGTTACTCTGTTATTTTGATATCAGGTCAGCATTTGTCACAAAGTACAAAGCATAATGCGGGGGAGTGAAAGGTGAACTTTATCAATTTTTAACACGCTGGATTTTAAGGTGTTCCAGTTGACCGGAGAAAGGTCTTTGAAATAAGCAAGTTATCGTCAGAGACTTAATTAACAAAAAGAAAAAAAGAGAAAAAACGAAGGAAAGTAAAAGAAATTTAAAAAAATTATTTTGTTGGTAAAAGTCATTTTCGTGTAGCGCAGGAGATGGAACGGAAGATGTTTCAACATTGCGATTTCCTTATTTAATATTCATGACAATGATCATAAAAAAAACTTCTTTTACTTCCGACATCATTTTTTGGTTTTTCTGCTTATTACATTCTGAGTTTTTTATTCAAGCTTTTGTGGGCGACGTTTCAGCGACAATGGTAAGAAGCAATTGTTTAATTAATGTTTTCTCTTTTTCACCCGACTATTGTCTTATCTGCCTTGCAATATTTTGATTAACAAAAAATATGTGCAGAATGGTGGTGGAAGAAAAAGACAGAAAAAGCTGCTGAAAGAAGTGAAGTCACAAGGAAATCATTTAACATTAATTAAAAAGGGAACATAAACAAGAGAGAACAACAGAATTATTAAGGAATGTGTCTTCGTTTAAAAGAAAACTTCTGCTGCTTTGTTTCCTTCTTTGGCTTTCAACGAAAAGTTCAAAGCCATTTGTTTCGCATGTCAAGCGTTTAAGGGACTTGAAAAGCAACTGAAAATTAAAAGAATTTCTTTCTCTAATTGTTTTCGCTATTTAGAATAGAAAAAAATGTATATCGTAATAATAAATTTCTTACGAAGAAATTATTTGAGGCTTTTTCTCTTGATCTGAAGAATTTCAATTTCCAGTTCCGTTATTAATTCCGCTGCGGGTTTTGTTCTTTCATAATTATGCTGTGACATCATTTCAGCATAGAATTCTCTTTTTTACCAGTTCCTTGAAAGCATAACTTCATAAATTAACACAATGTGTACTTATATAGAGTTTATTTTATATTTTCTTGCAATTTGGCTTTGAGAATTCAACATCAACTTGCTAACATAAATACTTTGAAGTACTTGGCGCCATTACTCTTCTTCCTAATGCGAACATGGTGAAGTTTAGGCCTTCGATGTCACCAAATGTATTCGCTAAGAAACCATTTCTTGCAAGATCCTGGCACGAAATAATTATTATGTAATTCAGTTTCTTGGTCATAAAGCAGATGAAAATAGTTGAGGGAGCAAAAAATTTTCTCTGTTTTTATGTGTTCACGAGAAGGGAAGCGGGATGAAGACGACAACAATTAAAACGCGGAAGAAAAATTATAACGTTACTCTCCACAAAGTATTCGGACGATTAGAAAGCTGGAGACAAAAAGTCTAGCACCATCTGCCAACGAAAATTAAAGCGAATTAAAAAGGTCATTGGGGTTAGTTAGTTTCCATAGGAGAAAAAATTTCATTTGTAACAGCAATTACGGGCCTCGAAGCGCTCGTCTTTATTTTTCTTAAATTATTTTGCTTGTTTTTCTAGCCAGAGAAAAGGCAGAAATTAAATTACTTGAAAGAGAAATCCAATTAAAATTCAATGATTTTACTTCATCTCCCTAGAGCGATATCAAACAAAAAGGAGCAGAATCGACCTTCACAAAGCGTCGCCTTACGCACATTTCTCGGTGTCGTCCGCTGTCATAAAAATATCTATTCGACACCTCGAGCAATGTAAAATCATTTCCAACATTGATTACAAAAACTTTCTGTGGTGGGGTAGTCAGTAATGTCATCAAATCGCGCACAAAATTGTTTGATTAATTTAATCCGCTCGAATTTCAAGCATTGACGGCTCCAAATGATTTCATTTCTTTTTCTTCGTTTTTATTGAATGGTTTCGTATCATTGGCAAATCATTTAGTGCTGGAAAGCAGCCGTAAAATATGTCATTTATTTTTATTTATTCATCAAGCTGAAACCAATTTTTTTGGCTGTTATAAATTAAGCGAAAAGCCCAAAATCGCGTTAGATAATTAAATGTGAAAATATTTTTGTATTCATTTTCCGCTTCAGGCTTCCTCCAGGAAATTTTGTTTATTACCTGAAATTTGTATTGTTCGCTGAAAGCAGCGATAAATCTCATCGTTGATGTTTCATTACTGTAGTCACATTGTTATCCATCATTTTAAATTAATTGAGCTGCTGCTGTTTAGCAGGATACTTTCAATCAGAATCGTTTTTGTTTAACAGGAAAATGACATTATGAAAGACGACATGTTTTACGTTTAAAATGCTTTTATAACTTGAAATTTTCAATTGATTTTCTTACTTCTAAATGTTGATGGCTAATGTATACATTTCTAAACCTAAACTAAACCAAACTAATTTAAACCCTGCATTGTCAAATGATTGGACTTTCTCATTCACTTTTTATCCAACAATCTCATTCAAATTCATCTCAACTTTAAGAGATTTTAACCATTTTTAGCATTCCTGCAAGAGTGCATTGAAGTGTCATCAATCTGCTTCCAGCTTTAGATTTTATTTCAACTTTTGAGATTTCTATTCTATAAGTGTTAAAAATTTAAGACTACATATCGTAACGAGGCAGAGAAACTTTCAATAGCTATGAAACCATAAAATTCTCGTGAATTCCTAGAGATCTGAAATATCGAACACAAAATAAAAAGTTTTGAGGAAAAACAAAATTAGAATTTAAAACTTTTTCTAAGCTTTATTTCCACAATGACATTTAAAGTAGATTCTTTACTTTGAATTTATGATGCTTGGAAATTTCTTCAAATATTTACATAACTCGATAAACATTCGACTGTGAACTGTGAAGTTGAAAATGCAAAATGTTTGATCCTTAAAAGTCAGACAAAGCGCTTGCGTTAATGATCCGTTGCACTATTCTAGTGGTAGTTGAGAATATTTTGCCACCATAAAATTGCGAACTATTTTTGCCGACTTTATTACAAAGTCATTTTCATTTTCAGCTCTTCAGTTTTTTATTTTATGTCGGGTTGATATTTCGACAATTTTTTTCTGAATAAATGAAAGGAATTGTGCCATTTAACCCATTAATGATGCAACATGAAAGCACAATGATTAATGACTCGCCGCATATTGCTAGTTCGTGCATGTTGTTTCGTCTATGTTGTTTGGGAATATATTTGAATAACAGAAAATTCATAACATTAATCCACGTTATGTGCACGGGTTTAGTGTTTCGTCAACATTATGTAAACCAGCACTACTCTGTGATTATAATGACAGTTTAACAACGGCGGGTGTTTGTAATGTTTTCCAATCATCTAAGGATGAAAGAGTTTGTTTGTTTAACATGGTTTTAGTTTAGTTATTCACAATCACAACCTTGAATCTTTGGTCTCTTATTAAATGAAGATAGGAAAGGTTAAAAATTCATTAAATTTAGAAGGCAGAAATAAAAAGGCAGAAATTTACTCTTTGACGTAAACATCAAAAATGACGGATTAAATTAACTGAACGTAAAACTTATCAGCCTTCTCAGTTGTGTAATTAAATTCAATCAAATTTGATGATGTTTTCATTAACTTATTTCATTAATCTGTAATAATAATAATTTAGAAGTTTCAAGTTAAAACTTTAGGGGTGTGGGTGGGTTTGAATGGAACGTAATCAGATCTTATTGTTATATTTAAACTTATGACCTCAATCTAAATATAACAAAGTTTAATTTGCAATCTTTAATAAAAATTGAGTCATATACATTCACCATATGCTACTTTCTAGTTACTAACATGAGATTCTTAAATATAAACATCAACATTTGATCACAAAACAATCAAAATTGATGACAACTTTTGAATGTGATTTCAACAAAATTTAAATGGAAGTTTTTAAATTTCCTGCAATGAATGCAGAACATAATAAATTACTTGATGATTGCAAAGCATGAAAGAAAAATTTCCATTCTTAAAAGTTTGCATAAAACATTAACGACGGATTTTTTCCCATCGAAATCTTATTTCTCGAGAAACGAGTTTGAAACTCCATAAAAAAACAGACCATGTTAAAGAAAGAAGCTCTAAGCTGAGCTGATACAATTTTTTCCCTATTTCAAAGACTTTCCTTTCTTATTTTTCCTCCCCAGTTTACGATGATAGAAAAATTTGAAAAATTTCTATTCGCCATTCAAAGCACGTTTTGTGTTTTCTTCATTTTCATTCTAAATAGTACAGCATGGAAAGCCATATATTTCTATTTCTATATATATTTATATGTTGTACTTGCTGAAAATTGGTGTATTCGCATGGGGAGCATTAATATGTAGTGCTTTCTTGTATTTTGTACGATGATGCGGAAGAACATGAGAAATATTTGAAATCTATAACATGTCCAAGAAAGTTGGCATGCATAAGAGACTTGCAATTTTAAATCAAAAGATAATTTGTTCAATATCGTCTTCTCTTCCTGTGTTTCCAACGACTAAAAATGTAAATAAAATACAGAAATGTGTTTGTTTTTTGCCTTCAAAATAATGTAGTCGTGAATGACTCTAAGCCTTATCATTTATCCCACATCTAAGCTCGTTAAAGTTCAAACAGCTACTAAACTCTCAATTTATTTTGTTACGCTCAATGATGAAAGAGCCAGAACGAACAGCCTCACAAATACTGTTGTAGATATGAAAAACACATTTTTCCCATTTCATTTATTTCCTGAGAGGGAGAATGGAAAAAAATTGTGTATTGTGGGAGAAAAATGAGCATTGAATGTAGTCGGATGATGGCACTACACTAGACGTTTTAGAGCAACGTTCAAGATGAAAAATTGTTCCATAGTGCTATGGCATGATGGGGTATAAATGGGAATAAGATTATATGGAGAGGAAAATTAATCGAAGGGTTTGAGGCTTGATATCAATGATCGCCTTCACTTGAAACTTGAATATTTGTTGCATATGTCGTTATTCAACTTTCATTTGGTATAAGGATGCTTTGTTGCGACCTAAGTATGACATCAACCATAAAAAACTTTGCTAGTCTCGTCATGTGCTTGACTTTCAATTTGAATATTTCAACTTAAATTAACATACATATAAAGATATCCCAGGCTTATAACTCTCAAGCACATTCACCGCATTGACATGAAATTTGAATAGAATTACTAACTAAACTTTGTACACCTGAGAATGATTGACTTCTTCTTTTTCGAAATTTTATTTCTACTTGAAAACTTTGAAATGTTTTAAGACGTTGAGAACTCAAAAGTACTTCATTAAAGTGGAAGTTTTGAGGGGCTTTCTCCATTGCAAAGAATAAAACGAAAACAACAATAAATCGGAGTATATTTTCTGAATCATTAGACGATTGAAGTTCACTTCATTGACTGTTTATGTTCGATGATAATTGATGCTTTGAAGTCTTCTATGACGAATTCATGTCGACAAAGCACAAAAATGATTCCGATCTGAGGAAAAATAATTTTATTCATCTGAAATAATTCGAGAGAAGGGAAATCGATAAGCTTAAGAATGAAGAATAGAAAGATTTTCGATGAGTTGCAAGAAAATAATACGAAAAGAATGTAAAGTTTGGAGAGAACGAAATCAGCTGCAAATATCATACACGTTTCGCTGCTTAAGAAAATCACGGGGAGTTGGGAAAAAATTCATTTGAAAAGCGAAGGGTGAGGGATTGTTCATGAAGTTTGTCACTTACTTACAAACATATTTAATCTTTTATCGTTCTCTTGATATTTGCCAAGCTACTGATTATGGGGAAAACCCTCAAAGTAAAAGAGAAACGATAATCTTGAAAAAATATTTGTTCTTTTTAAGCTCCAAGGTAATCTTTTGAAAAGTGTTCGTAAATCGTAGACAATGCTCGTTAATGTATTGGAAGTGAAACGAAGATAAGATTCAATTCAATGTGCACAATAAAGAATCGTTTTCAATGTTATAGGAAGAAGCGACAAAAGCGACGTTGAGTCGTGACTATGATGGTGGTGTGCTTGCCATTTGATAGTTAAGTGAATCGAACCTTTCAATCAAAGAAGATGAGAACTTTGTTTGTCGATGGATAGAAACGAAATTGATTTCTGATCAAAATTTCCACCGAAAATGTTTTATTCTCCGTTTTGTCAAGAGAAATTAAATGCTTTGAGGGATGCCAGGCTCGAATTAAAGCCTTAAGATTTCCATTTCAAGAAATATCACGACAGAAATTTGTATTATGTTTAGACTCAACTCAAGTTTTATTTCCGATGTTTATTTTAGAAAAATATCCGATAACGCGTGCAAACATTTGCTGAATGTGTGGGACTGTTTTGCATATCCATATTTATTTAACGTTGAGTGAACAATTGACGTAAAATCATGTTTCATTGCAACACATACAAAACAGCAAGAATCTTCATAAAAAATTCATCAAGTGCCACTTTGAAGTACTCAAATGAAAATTCTTTTTTGCTTTCAAGGATCCTTGAAACTCCTTCACTGGATAAGCAGAGAAGTTGATACTTTTCAGCATTAGAAATTGAGTGAAGTATCAAAATATTTTATTTTAAAATCAAACACTTCCTTATTTATGTCAATTACTCACCACTCACTCGAAGTCATCCGATATTATCCAACCCCTCTGTTGAGACATGGCAAAGAAGCGAATGCCAAACAATAAAATTTTACTGACAGCGATATTTTCCTTTATACTTATTGTGTTGAAAAAAAAAACTTCTCCATTCCATCCATTGCTAATATTAATTCCCTAAATTAATTAGAACGCAATTTTGCTTACAGAATTTGATTATCGACTACATTTTACGAACCATTTATTAATGAGTTGTCGAAGTATAAAGCGATGATGCCTAATCTGATGATGAAAAAATATTACCCGATAAATAATGAGAAATTCTCGGATGAAACTGGTCAATTATAATGACATTACGCTTCAATACCGCGAACCCTTCGCAAAAAAATCGTTTCGTTCCAATGAAAACTGAAACAATGGCGCCTCTCGGACGCGACAATTAACATAGCAACGAGTGGCGACTGGGAAACTATGCAAAAATTGGCTAAACTTTGAATTGTTTTGTTACGATTAAGGTACATGAATTCTAATTATCCGTGATGTATTTATTTATTCCTCAACGTTCATGCCACGACTTTGAGTTGTTTTTTTGTTGTGGGCATTAAATATTTTGAATAAATGAAGTAGGAAAAAAGTTTTTGAAGCTCACGAAGGAAGTTGAGCTGGTTTAAAACAATTGATATTATGGATAAGCGAGGTTGAAGTTTTCGTGCAAGCTTGGAAATTTCCGCGTTTATGAGATACATTTATTACAAGAACACGAGGCGAAGAACATAAAGCGGGTGAAGTTTTTCAACGCGATATCGATTAATGGTACCGAAAATAAAGTTCAACCAAAATATTATTCTTACTATTGCTCTATTTTTTACTACTTCTCATCCACCCCCGCAACATCTATTTTTAAAGCATTGTAATTTATTTCCTTCGTCAATGGCGTTTCAAGCGATTTATTTCCTTCTTTCAATTGATTCGAATATGTTTTTGGATTTAAATGCAATGAAGAAGGAACAAGCGCAGTGAAAACAATTACAATTGAGAATTGATAAACAGAGTTAGATGTTCTTATTGTCTCTCTCCCTCCCTCTGATTCCTTTGGTAATTCGACCATGCATCAATGAACAAAGATATGTATCTAAGATGTTTGCTGGAAGGGTGAACTTGTTGCTGTCCAAAAAAGAGATCTATCGCCTCTCTGGAATCTTTTCCTGAACTCTGATTGCTTTTTACGAGGCTCGTGGCTTTTTGCCATTGCTGATTTATGTTCCAGATTTATTTTTATTAATTTAATCAATTTTTTTTGTCTTTCCAAACGACTCAAACAGCCTTGAATAGACAAAATTTTCTGTTTTCATTACTGCCGTCGATTTCATCAAAAAACTATAAAAGACGAAACAACATTTGCTTTTGAAAAGCAAAAAAAAACATAAATTTTCCCATAAAAAATCGAAAGAAACGGATGGAAACACAAATCGTTGGTTGGTCGGAGATGGCTCAGCTCTTTTGGGTGGAAATTAAAAAAATAATAATAATATTTATTCTATCTCTGAGTCATGCTGCTAACCACGAAATATTGTTGCGATGAGGGGCAGCAGAGAAAAAAAAGTTAAGCCATAAATATCTCTTGATTCGATTTCGAGCATTTTGGAATTCATGAATCATTTTTCACCCACGTTTAAGAAGTACTTTTTCTCCCCAAAATGTCTCCCCTATGCATTCAATTGTTACATGGTTGTGCTTCTAGGGGATTTTCCATTTCAATAGAGTTATACGATGTTAGTTGTTTAGATCTAAGAAAATAATAAAATTACCATGCATCATCTTCGATAAGTAATCGACAAATTTAATTTTCTAAGAAAAAAGTTTTTGTTGAACAAGAGCGAAAGGAAAACAAAATTTTATTGCATAATAATTACATAATCATGCGCTTAGTAGAATGCGTTGTAACGAGAGATTTCCATCGTCAATTTCTATATTTTTATTCTGCTTACAAATATATTCATTTTTATTATGGTTGTTTGCTAACCCTGAACATTTTTCCCAACTTTTCTTTGTTCACCCTCTCTTCCACTAGCTAGCATCATACGCAAAACAAATAAAATATACCAAAATATTAGAGTAATGGTGGGTGGAATTTTATGGCCTATTCAAAGTTAGAAGAATGAAGAAAAAAACAACTTCGCGGTGTAACAGTGCAGGGCGTTAAAGGAACAAGCTGTAAACCTTGGAAACTCGCAGTTACGAAAACTTTTTTTGGTTTACGACTTCAAAATCTTAACTTTATGTAAGTTGTTAAATTTAACATTTTAGCTTCAGGAACTTTTCTTTTGGTTTCAAATCAAATATTTCATTTTTTTTGTCCTGTCTTATGTTCAAGGTTTTCCATGAAAATCAAACATTTCATTAAGTAGTTAAATTAAATTAAATGTCGAGAATTTCATATTCAATTAGCATGTATTGTTTACATCTGCCTGTTAAAAATCAAAATTCTCGTTTCCTTTGACGATATGCACATATTTTCAATTAAAATCTTGTAGGGTTTCAATGATTTGTGTCTTCAAGCTTCAAATATTTTCTGTAAATAATTGAAAAGAAGAAAAATATTGAATTTCTACGTGACGAGAAGGGTCGAATTGAGGTCACAGATCCAAGCTCATGTTTAACCTCAAACGATGGAAAAGAAAGAGAAATGAAACTTATTTATAAATCTACAATTTCTTTTAAACTGAAAACAGCAAACGCAAGCAAGTTTTCGAGGCAATAATTTAAAATGCCTTAAGGAAAATGAAAAAAGAATATTCACCGAAGAAAAAAAAAAACGAGAAAAGTATGTATACAGGGTAATAAAATAAGATTTCATTTTAAGACAGCAAAAGGAAAAGGAAAATTGAAATCAGCAGATTCTGGAAAATTTCCCTTCATTCCTTCCATCGTCTTTTCTTATTTTTTTCTGTTTTTGGGAATAGCATGGCACCATCTGGTTTAAAGCTCCATGCAATGATATTTCTTGCGTCGGTAGACTGGTTCGATGAGAACACTGAAAACTTTTCGTTCTTTCTTTCATTCTATTATCAAGCATGTGTATGTACAACAACAAGATCTTTATTACAGTCAAACGCTCTTGAAAGCACGCGAAGCAGGGGACAGAAAGAATGTCAAAGCCTAAACCCTATTTTCTTTGTGTCGCATACGGTAAATTAGCTTTTAAAATGTATAAAAGATTCCCCAACATGTCATAAAATGTTGGAAACACACTTGAACGCACTGAAAAGCGACAGATTCTTCCAATCGACACTTAAACTTCGTTTCGTTGCTATAAAGTAACCTAATTCAGTTTGAGGTCATAAGAAAAATGTGTCGATTAAAATGAAAAGCGAAACATCATAACGACTATCAAGGAGACTGCCATTATAATTATTAGATACAATTTGAGAATGAAAGTGTCTCCGTTGTTCGTTTATCTGAGTGATGAACAATAAATTGTGTTGGAAATATTTTTGTAGATGATCTCAAATAAAATTGTACAAAATAAGTTTTTCTTTCATTTATAAGGTAGATGAGCAAGAAAATCTTTAACAATAAGGATAAGATTTCAAGTCAACCATTATAAATATTATAAACAATAAAGAAGACATCCAAGCGTAACATGATCTGATGAAGCTTTAATAGAAACTTTTGTATGTTCGTTGTCAATGAGAAATTGTGAATAGCTGAAGGAAGATGATGAGAAATAATTTTGTAAGATATGCTCAAATAACGTCATTTATATTCATTTTCCATTTACTAATTAAAACAGCTTAACTGAATTCATTTTATGTAGTTTTTAAAGAGATCTTTGTAAACAAAGTAATCCTTGTTTGTTTGATAACATCAATACTTATTTGGAAATATTTTGAATATTTTAAGACAAAGTGATTAGAATAGAGAAATAATTATTTTGATAACAATGAAAATTCACATTACTTTTAACTGTTGAATGAAATAAGTTCAGGTATTGTTCGACCAACGACTTTGCTTTGTAACAGGAAAGACTCAATGATAAGACATCTGAAACAAAATTCTTTCAATAATTGGAAACTATAAAGTTCAAGTGCAGAATCTGGTTTGAAATTTGTTCTGTTTAATGTCCACCAAACCACTTTTATTCTTACTTTCTTTCATGTTCAAATGTACTTTGTAGCTAGTTTTAAATATTTAACATTATCTGTTCATCAAATGTTCATCCTGTCTTAATTGTGAAAGAAAATTCAATTTAAAATAGCATAAAGAGGAAAATCTTTTGTTTATTTTTCAATCTTTACACAGACGAAACTTTAAAAGTAAATGAAGAGAGTAAAAGGGGGAAGAAAAGAAAGCACACAAATTAATGTCTTTGTTTTTATCTTTTATTAATCCAAAGAGAGAATACAAAAAACGTTTCGACGATGCGAAAACATCCAACAACAGCAATCAAATGACATTCCCATCCTTAGTAATCAAAATTGGTTTAGTTTCCTTCTTTTCTCTCTTTCACTCCAAGCTGTCGCTGTCATGTTGCAATTTACTAGCTTCACTATGTCGGAAGAGAATGTGAAATTTATTTTTATGACTTACACGTTGAGGTTGTAAAAGTCTTTGTATTGTCGTACACCTGTGGACTTTGTGTAATTTTGACTGAGTCTTCTTCATTAGAAAAGAAACAAAAAGAAAAGTTTTCTTTCTTGTAGGACATGTTGTTGAAGCAACATCTTAATTAATTCCACTTGGACTAACGTTCTTGCACATGATGAGCCTTTTTTCTTCAAAATCAACTTTCATTCTTTGCTCATGAAACGTGTCGTTCGGGTATAAGACTGGAACGCACATGCACATCATATAATTCAATTTACCGAAATGAAAACTTAAATTCTCATAAAATTTCGATTTCATCTTCAAGAAATGGATCTTTACACAAGCCATTATCTATTCTGTTCACTCTCAGTAGTCAGGCGCGTCTATTTCTTTACAACTTGAATACCTCGAGTAGAAATTTTCTGCAAAATTGCTTTTCCTTGCGAAACGAGTCTGGAAAATAAAATTAGCCTTTCTCCTATCCAACAACGTACCAAATGCCTTTACGAGCTTTTCCGAAGCTCCATTCTCCAGTGGATTTTCTTTTATGACGTTCTTTTCTTTTTCATTTCGCTGTTCTTTTTAATACGGTAAATGCCGCATAGTAACTCGTCTTTATTCCATCCATCTCTAAAATTAAACTACATGAAAGTTTTACAAGATGGAAATATAGATGACAGATTTGTAGCCTGTGCTAGTCACGATTTTCTCTTAATTTTTTTAAGGTCATAAACTACGTAGTTAGACACCAACATGAACTGAAAAAAGAGAATTTTTTATAAAAAACTTTTCTTAACATTTAACATAACTGACATAAGCTTGAATGACTATTTATTGTGAGATGCCTTCGTCCAGAGTGAAATTTTTATGATGCTTTAGCGTCGAAGTTGTTCAGACATTTAATTCTTTTATTTCCCTGCATCCCAATCCCACTGAAGCCTTTGCAATCTTAAATTATTCTCCATTCTCGCTTTCAGTCCCAGACAGAAATTTATTCGAATTCTTGTTTAAATTCATAACGGGTTAAGTCAATTTAAATCTTGATAATTTTCACGGGCGATTTAACAGACGTAATTTGCCTTTCTTTTTTTCCATGTTGTAAATATTTCAAGAAGTGGAAGATAATACGTTAAAGCTTTACCGCCCTCCCAAACTGGGTGAAAAAGAGTGGAAAATTTTCATTAATTCTGCTTGGGCAATAAATTTCTCGAACCGAAGCAATATGTATCAATTTTTACTTCCGGTGGATAAATAAATTGCAATTTAATATCAAGTTTTATTGGCCTTTAAATTTTTACGCCGGAGCTTGTCGACACCTATAGCGACGAGACGATATACGATAGAAAATTGAAGAGAGAGGTTTAAGAATGTTAAATGTAATTTGCGATCATAAAATCGAAATTACTCAGCAAAAGTAAAAGGGAAAATGCGGAATAAGAAAGCAAATATTTGTTTTTCTTTCTTCGGTTTTCTCTTTTAAAAAGAAGAGAAAATTACAAAATAAATAATTAATTAATTCGTAGAGCTTTCCTTCTTCTTTTTAAGTTTGAAATGGTGAAAATTAAAGGATTATCCAACGCCCTTCCGTTCAACAGGGGAAGAAAGCAGAAATTATGGTTTCATTATTTCAACAGTGAAAAATCTTAATTCTTTCCTTTCTTTCTATCTTTTTTTTTTGGGGTTTTCCATTGCTTTTCAAAATATGTATTTAGATGGCAAAAGGGGAAAGAAAGTAGCGGTTAGACTGATCCAACCATCATTGGGCGTCGAAAGTACACAAGAGAAAATTTGTTTTTACAACTGACGAAGACCTTTTACGCTCTGATGCTTTCTTTATTTGCACATACACTCGACGATGTAGCCCCGCACGAGTACTAATCTGGCAGCGACGAAGGGCTCAGTTACCTTCTTGAATGAGGAAATAAATCTCTCGTGGCATTATCTTACACTTTTTTGTGTGCTCTACTGCTTTTGCCTTTATGGTAATATGTATCAGAAAAGGTGGTGAAACAATTTGTGATTCCATCCGGCGAGGTTTTATGCCTTAATTTGATTTACAAACCTCTCTACTTTCTGTGTGTTTTTTTACTTTTGCAAGCCGTGTTGGATAGATATTTTCCACAAACGACTCGTTTTGCTACCGATACAAAACACTAAAGTCAAAAATATTCTATTTTATGCGAGAAACCTTCGAGAAGCAACATATTTTTACTTTTATTAAAAAAAGAATCTTGCACTCAATGTTTTTAATAAATTGAGGAAAAGCGTTCTTCCTTCTTCTCTTTGTCGTCTTTATTATGCCGCTTTTTTCTCTTTATTAGTCATTTACATTTTTTCGAGACATCAAAGATGACATGAACATTCAAACTTTTTGTCATATTTTCCTTTTCATCCGCTGTAAAATAATTCATATCCACTCACACATATCAAGAACATGAGAAGGAAAAAAAAGTGAAATTGAATTTACAGGGAAAATTTTTTTTGCGTATGTTCAGTCACAAAATTTCCTTTCGGAAATTCCAATGAGGATTCCTACGTAGCGTGTGAGAGGGAAAGGAAAAAAATATGCTACATTTTGTTGTGGGGGTGCATAATCATTAGATAAGGTTGTGAGACCCCTTTGAATGTGATAATTTTCTAATTTAGTTATCAAATTATCCCAATTTTCTCTCACTCACAAAAGGAGTGAATTTGAATTTTACATCATTAGAGAATACACTCTCGCTTACAGGTTTCATTGGTTTAATATTGGGACGAAAAATTGTGCGACTTCAAAAGTAAGGAAACATGTTAGTTGAACAAATTCCTAGCCACCCAACATTATGGAAACTTTCTTTGTTGTAATATTTTCAAATAAATGTTGAATAGAAAGTTATGTGCCTCCGCTCTATAAACGAATAAATCCTGAATTTCATTATTTTTCTCTTTCACTTGCTTCTTTTTTTGAAATATTTTTCATCGCAATATTTTTCATTTGTTTGTTATTGTAACCAATCTCCTAGAATAATAGGATACATTCTATAGTCGAGTCGGTAGTATTTTCACATTTTTTCATTTCACCCGGAAAATGCCAATTCGTACAGTTTTTTTTACACTATGAGTATTCGTTTGATAGCAAATATTATGTAATCTTCTGTATCCTTTTTTAAAATGAGAAAAAAGTACAGAGAAAAATTGTTACACGAGATGCCTTACTGCATACAGCACGCTATGAATAAATAACTTTCTGTCGAATTTTTATTAATGAAAAAGAAAGGGAAAAGAAGAAAAGAAAATATGCGTCTGCGAGTGAAAAGCATTTGGGAATACTTTTGCATAAGAAACATATTTTTGACGGTGGGGGAAATGCAGACTTAAAAGCCTCATAAAATTAAATAAATTATGACGTTTTCTTTTTTATATTTCCTTTTCACGAAGAGTTGGAATGGGCAAAAGGTTCTAAAACGAAAATTTCTCTTCAAACATTCATAGATGTTTTTCGAAGCGAAAAATAAAAGTTTAATCTAATCAAAAACTTTTAAAATAATTTTCAATAGCATTTCACTTATTTTTAAACTAAAATTAGAAAGGTGATTGCTAGGGTGAGCGTATGTTTGGAATTCATTCTTGTTATGGGTTTATTTTATCATGCAAGTGCATTTTTAAATTACAATTGAAAAAAAAAAATTTATGTGCACGTACTTCCTTCATGTAGATACATAACTTTCAGATATGCTTTTAGTTGATTTTCTGCCACGAATGAAATTCCCACAATTTCCAACAGAAAAAAAATCGAATGATTTTATGCCATTAGAATTGTGCGAAAAAGTTCGCAACCTCTGCATAAATTAGCCGGCAAACATGTGAAAACCATGAACTACTTTTCTAATTAAAAGTAAATGTGGCACCTGACTTTCGACGCCTGGCAGACTGGCAGACTAGTTGTCTACATGCGTGATTTTAACCAATTTCAATTCATTTTTTTATTTTTCAATTTCCTTACCAGCACAAAATTATATGCTTTGAACTGGTTTAGTTAGCATTACTCAGAAATCAGAAACTTTGCATGTATAGAAGTGCGGTTAGACGATTAAAACTTGAAAGAAATTAGGATGATTAAGGATCAATTTTGTGAGGTAAATTAACTTGTTTTTAAATAAATATTCTTGAATCAAATAATGAACAATAATTCGCCTGTTGAAGTTTATAAAAATTCGTGGAACAACAAAATAAATTTAATATTTCTCAAAGTTGCAATCCATGTGACATTAAGAAGATCAACTTTAATTAGAATTAAGAACTTCTTCTAGGAATATTCACATGTATAGAATGAACGAAATTTCTCCCCTACTGCTATTGTCTAATGGGAAAAATTAAGTTAAATCGGGTTTAAAGGTAATTTGCATGGCTTTGTTATGACTTTGCAACACCTCTTCGCTTCATATTGTTTCTTCTTCTGTTCGTTTTGTAATCCATGCTGAGATAAAACAACTTTTTTAGTGTTCAACACCATGGGGCACTTAATGTGATAAATCGGTAGATCCTTTAATAATGTTCAAAAATTTGTGGCTGAAACGATTTATTTTTCTGTTTTTGTATGGTTGATATCTCGACAAATTATGTATCGAACTTTGAACGATTCATTCCTACGACGATTTCGGAGCATGACTTAGTCAAGATTAACTACAAGGTAGGAGGATGTAAGAAGATTTACGGTGTAATAATACACATTCATTCTGTAAAAGGCGTAACCTCGTCTTGTTCTCCATTTCTTGCATCATTGGGGGAAACTACACGCATCTTTTCAGATAATGAACGCTACATACTTGCTTTTTACGTTATGTATGATACGCATTAATAACGATATAAATTATTATCTTTTTCCCGTGTAGCAGTTTATGAGTTTGGGTAGATTATTAAAACAATCATTCTTAGCTTCTTATGTATCATGTTGATGTTATATTTACTACTACATAGATGAGTCGAATATATGAGAGATTAATTATGAAGAATTTTAGGATGTTTGGTGTGAGAATTTCTATCTGCTTCCTTCAAATCATTTAAATTCAAAACGATCGATGACATCTACTAAAGTTCTTTTGAACTACATACTCACATAAATCCAATTCAATTCTTATTGTTATCTAAAAATATCATGTCATTGAAATTAAGTAATGAGAAAAAGAGGCGAGAAATTATCCATTAAATTGCTTTCCTCCTTTACTTCCATTCATTCATCGAACATTCGCTTGCAACGTGATGTAACTAATGAAAGGAAAACTTTCTCTACGTTTCGACAAGGCAAAAGTTCAACATTTGTTGAAGATTAGAGAGAACACAAATGGTGAAAAATTAATGAAAAATTCAATTAATTTGTAACTTCTCCAACCGCCCGTAGCGTCTAATTTATTGTATCCTAATTTTCGGTTGAAATTAGGATTACTTAGACGAATCTTGGAAACGACTCACAAACGAAATCAATTTGCTAAGGGTGATGGGATCGGTAACAGGGAGCAGTTCGGTTGTTTATTCGGTACCGCTGCCGAATAAGACAAATCAAATATTTACCTTTTTTACAAGGCAAAGCAAGGTAGAAATATCAAGTAAAAGAAGAGTGAAAAAATATTTGTGTATTCACCTACCGCTAGGTGATATCAACCCACCCACCCTCATAATTCTTTATTTATTTTCTTAATTGTCATTGTGCTGTACTATGAAAGCAACAGCGAATTTGAAAGAGATAAAAAGCTCTTCGTTTTCTTCAGTCAGCAGAGGAAGAAGCGAATGATGAAAAGGGAAACGAAGAAAAAATGTAATTTTGCTTTTTTAAGGATTCAAGGCGGCATAAGAGACGAAGGGAAAATGGGAAGGAGCTAAGAAAATGCTTATTGGAATCTTGACTTGAATAATAATTAAATAACGGTGTCATGTCTTTTCTAGTGAGAACCCGAATCGGCTTACTGTGATGAGTTTCATCGTTTTGCGGGAGTCAACTTCTAATTATGCGGACTTCCACCAAATGTGTTCTTCCGTTATTGCCATTTGTTAAATGTAAGATGAGCCAGAAGTGGGTGAGAAAGAATGGAAGATAACAGCATTTGTGAAGAAAAAAATGGATTACGACTGATCCCAAGTCATTTTTCTTTTCCCCGCTATAATTTAATAATTACGATTTTTCTTTCTTAAGACCGTCGTTGCTGCTGAGTCGGCATTAAACTTCCGTGAGACAGCTTAAGGTTAAAACGATCTACGAGTCAGTGAGCGCAATCGGTAAGCTACAGGCAAGGAAGATACATAAAAGACAAATACAAGAAAAGGGACAAAAGATAAACACTCAGATGGTCAGAAAAGAAAATAATAAATGATTCTATCATTAAGTGAACATTTTTTAGAATCATCTTTCCTTTCATCCTTTGGTTATGAAAGTCAGAAAATCTTTTCTTATATTTTTTTTGTGTCTATGCCTCAAGTTAAAAAATCATTAACTTTATCCTTTAATTCCTTTAAAATTCTCCTTTTCTACACTTTTAAGAGAATTTCAACAAAACTGCGACCTTCTTTAATAAAATTGCAAAGACTTTTATTATCCAAAATTGAGCATCGCATGATCATAAAATTTTTATAAAAATGTTCATTAAAAATTTATAAGAAAAATTAAAGGAAGCATAGGTTTAATTAAACATTTTTCAGATCATGAGAGTTCAGGGACATTATGTAGAAAAAGAAAGACTCAGACGGAAAAATGGTCTCGTTTCCATTTATTTGCTTAAAATGTCATTGTGAAGCTTCATTGTGCAAGCAAATGGTAGAAAGAGAAAATTTACTTTCTTTATGCATTTCTCCAGTTCTCTTCTAATGAGTTTTTAATTAAATTTTGATGCTGTCGCTATGTGAGACCAATACTCTAGTTAAGTAGATTTGTTTGTGTTCTTGTTTGCTTCCACAATTTACAAGTTTTCTTTATTCCTTTAATAGTTATTCCAACGTCCTACAAGTACATGTATAAGAGTGTTATTTCTAATTTCCGAAGCATTATAATTTTCCTTTCTTTTTCTTCGATTTCATTAAACTAAGAATCAATGGAAATGACAAAAGTTCAATAACATTTATATGTACATGACAGAAATGTGTTATGCTTGTGACATAAATTGCTGAAAGTTCCTTAGTTAATGGGAGGAAAGTCTTTTGTTAGTGCTACTGCTGTTTGTTGTTATCCAGTAGTGGCTAACTTGTGTTTCCTTCACCAAACATCTTTTCATTCTTAGAAAACTTTAATAAAGTAAACCCTTCGTTAAAGTTGGCAATTCCTGAATTAAACATTGCAGTTTTTCTATGAAAGAGAAGTGACATGAAATTAAATTTACTTTATTCCCTTTCTTATCTTCTTCCTCGAACCCTCTTGAGAAATAATGAAAAAAATAATCCTGAGAAAGAATATTTTTTCCATTATTTTCATTAGTTGACTTTCCTTTCTTTTCTCATTCACTTCTTTCTTGAAATGATTTTGCATTTTCCTGCGTTAGCTTGAAAATCTTGACTCATTATTCTTTAACACATATTTTCCCTTTCTTCTTTCCAGACTCCCTTCGTCTTCTTCTTCCTTTTTTCAGCCTTTATTCGCTTTTTTGCTCCCTTAAAATGATTCAACAGCAACAGGTTCTTCCTTCCACTTGAGACAATGGCGACGTTCCAAGTGAACAAATCATGGACATGAATATTTTTTTTTATTCTCTCGCTTTCCCATTCCAAGTTGAGAAATTCTTTTGTATATCTTTTTGTTGCTACTTATTCAAATTTTGACATTAGGACAGTTTATAATGTCAATGAATGTTCGCCAATGACTTACTTAATGGCAGACTAACTTCTTCATACATTTATCTATCTCTTCATAAATATCACCATAAAAATGAGCGGAAAGAAAACAGGAAACCTCAATTTTCTTTTTAGTTACCATAATTAGATGTAATCAAGTAACAAGTGACACCCAAGTGAGATGAGTTCAAATTTGTTTTTGTTAGAACGCGCATCTGAAAAATATGATGAAGTGAAAATCGTTTTCATCGCTCCTGAAAAAGCACAACGACAAAAAAGAAAATTCTGCTACGAGCTGTCATCAACAACAAAAGAAGAATCTGTTTCGTTGTTTTTCTCTTTTTCTTTACTTATTTCCTGAGGGTTTTCATGTTTTCTGTTCATGTCTGTTCACACTTATTTTCTCTGGTCTTTGTTAGGCGTATGTTTAAGAGGGGAAAATGTTATAACGTTCTCGACGACAAACGTTTTTCTCACCCAACATCAGCTTCGTTTTAGCTTAATAAGTAAGTAGGTATTACTTCTCACAATATAAATAAGAACGCTTGAAAAATACGTAGCAATAGACTACTTTATTTGGAAAGGTATGAAGAAGTGAAAGTCATGAAATCACACACACACACACATATAATGACTTGACAAAACTAATGTTGAGAGCATCTGTGCTTTGAAAGGAAAATTAATTCCCGGAAATACACTCATGAAGCATATTCGATGTTATCAAGACAATCGTTTAAGGCTTAATGGGGAAGGCGAAAATTCTTCAAAGTCACCGGAAGGAAAATACTCTCGAAGCGTCTGTCTCGGAAAGTGGCGTTGATTGAAGATGATGAGCCGACATTCGATGTGAAAAATAAGCTTAAGAATTGGTGAAAAATTTAATTTTATATCAAACAAAATTAAAGCTCATCTTTTTTCTTATTTCTTATTTTGATCCCTCGACAATAATCTCTGCTGTAAAATTTATTTACCAATGATGCGGGGAAGCAGTCTTAAAAAAAGCAGAACAAGAAAATTTCGCTCACTTTTTTCTCGCCAAATCGTTTTCACCGCTTTTTTATGATCGCAAGAAAGCACATTATGTTACATCTTGAAGTATTTTTCCATCGTTCTTTTTTTTGTGCCCGGGAACGGTGCTCTTTAAATTGAAAACAACATTAAACTTTGTAATTTTATAATACTTAATTTTCATCCAACCTTTCCACATTTAATGGTTTTCTTTCTATGGTTTCTGTTTCTTTCATTCTTCGCCTCGTTTACTCTTCATTGATTCTGTTGTTTCAAAGCAAGAAGAATTTTGAAAAGAAAACAAGAAGACAAAACGTTCTCATACCTTTGTTGAAATCTCGGAGCGTTCAATGAATGTGTGAAAGTTACGGATTTTATGTTTATATAACTTAACACCCGCGCTTTGGAAGGTAAATAAGAAAAAAAGAAAAAGAAAACTTCCATTGTTCAAAGTTTATTGAACATCATCGCTTCAACATTTTCAATGTTTCAAAAGTTGCTAAAAAGGCAAAGGCGACTCAGGAAATTCATTTGTTTGGTTGAAAACTTTTCAAACAAAGCGGACGAGGAACTCAAACACCTACACCTAAAAAGTGTTTCCTCCTACATCCGCAACAAATTTCTCAAATATCATACAATTCTTCAAGGAAATGAAAGACTTTTCAAATATTTACATTTTGTTTTTCCATTTTCATTTTTTAATTGAAAGATTCAAATTTAAATTTCTTGAAAAATCTTTATCTGAAAATCTCGTATTTGATATCATATCTACTCATTTCCAAGACATTTAAGACTCTTTTCTTCTAAAAGTTTTCATCTGACTGATTAAATAATTTAAATTCAGTAAGAAAAAGTCAACGAAATTGTAGGAGTTCAGCGAGTTTTAAATGAATTCATTGCTAATAAAATCACATTAAGTTGTATAAATAAAAATGAGAAGATAATATGTTTCATTTTACATCGTCGACTCCCCTTATGAATACAGCAAAAAGCCCCATCATCCTTCTATCTGTTTTCTTTCACTTCACTTCCTTTCCACCCACGTGATATTTTGTGTAATTGTTAAGGTAAATATTTTAAGATATCAAGGTGAAATGTTCTCGCCTCACGCATAGCAGAGAAGAAAAGTTTTGTGAAGAAAATTTTACAGACTTCGAGAGGGGAAGCCGGTTACGGGGCTACAAATCAAGTGCCATCCTACAACGCCCCCTCATCACAGGCTCGAAGTTCAACATTTTTAAAGGAAGGGAAAAGCAAACTCAAATATTACACACAATTTAATGGCATAAATTTTTTTAATCAAATTCCTCTGTTGGTAGTTACAGAAGCCGAGTACCGAGTCGAAAACATATTTCAGTGGCGAAAAGTTTAAGCGAAATGGAGAGAGAATGGAATCAAATGTAAGGGAAAATGTGTTGAATGTAAAACTATGGGAATTTTAAGACTCACAAAAATATATTGAAAAAGTTTACGATTTTTTTTTTGCTTTTTTGTGTGTCAAAGTTTTCATTTTAAGCGAGAAATTTAGCGAGAAAATTTTCCCGTGCTGCAAACTGTAACATGGAATAAGAAGAACAGCAAGGGAAAAAACAAATGAAGTCATTGGAACGGTTAATGCAGTTTATACATTAATTATTAGTGACATTTAGATAATAAAATTATGTTTGATATTCAAAAGCAACTATCAAGAATTCTTCTTCCAATAATATGTTAGTGAACTCATAAAAATTCTCATTTATTATTCTGATGTTATGCATGAAATAAAGAAAATTTCTTTTCAAATCCATTTTCACCACAAACTTTTTTCCACAACACCAAATACATATTGAGAGTGTCAGAGTTGTAAGTAATCGAGCGAAAGTGCTAAGACAACTTTGAAAATCTCATCAACTTTCATTAACATCTAATTTTCTCAAGTTGCAAAAGAAGAACCCTGACGACGCATCAACGTTTGATTATCTGCTATAATTCCACCGATAATCCACCTGATTTATTCTCATTTCCTTCGTTCTTTGTCGCTTAACGGGACTTAAAATGCAAATTGGGGAGAGAAAAGAATCGGATCACTGTGGCGTATGCCATTTTTGCTGATACATTGCGGAGGTCACCCCTCATTTTTACGGTTGAAATTAAATTAAGTCAAATATTGTAAGACGGGAGATGAAACGAAAACATTGAGAGAGCTGAATGAAAAGCTGAAAACAACTAAAGCATGTAACAGTATAAGAGCAAAGCATAGAGAAGGAAAAAATCTTATTAAAGGAATGATAGATTGTAATCTTATCTGAAGCCATTTCATTATGGAGCAAGAAGAGAATGCTAACCACTCAGAAAAGAATGGCAATGGTAAAGAGATTTTCCTTTGCGACACTCTAAGGTGTTATTCTATGTGTGAATTACCGAGAAAAAGACTATCATCCTTTGAAAAGCGGAAGTTGAAAAGGCGGAAAATGAGCATCGAGATAAATGCTCGATGCTTCTTTCTATTCTTCGTCGAAAATCTTTTCATGATGCTTTACCAAAGGGAAAACAGGGCAGGAATTCATGCTTACATAGCATAGAAATGATGACAAAAATGTCTTTAAAAATTCAAAAGATTTTAATGACACTCTGATAGTTATAAAAAATTTATTGAAAACGATAACAAATAAAAAGTTGCTTCCTTTTGAGAATGTTAAATTATTCCGAAAGTCTCGTCTGATTTCATCTTTAATCGAATGAATGATTTGAAGGAAGTCAGTAAATGCTATGCTTATAAAACGAGGTGAATTTTCTTGGTTGCTTGATGATCCTTTTAAGAAAATGACAAAACAAAACGTGTGTCACATAAATTAATTTAACGTAATTTTTTCTTATGTAAGAAAAGAAGAAAAAAAAGCATAAAACAAGCATAAATGTGGCTTTTCTGCCTCCGAAAATGAACACAAATTTATTTATTTAGCATGCCACACATACACGATGCTTTATGGGTGTCTTAATGCATGGCTCTGCTCTTTCTAACATTGATGGGAGTTTGCTTGGGAATGTGTCATCATCATTCATCCATCGGCAAGAGAGTGGAAATTATTTATGTATGAAAATAATGACGTGAGGAGGAAGGAAAATTATTTTGCGTAATAACAAGAGATAAGAGGGAAATGCGTTTGGATTGAGTCTTGAAATGGAATTGAAGCGGAAAAAATGATGTGAAGTTAGATTACTGAAGCTTCATGAGTTGTTATTCTTTCATTAATGTGAGAATTTTTGAGGCATCTGCGATGAATTGTTCACGAGTATAGATATTAAAACCGATAACCGAGAACCGATAACCGGATGGTTTTTCCGGTTATTTCGAATACTAGGTTAACCGAGATTTCTATCGGTTAAC